ATCACCAAAATTATTAAACTTCATCCTCTGGAGACCACCAGATGTTGAGATACTTCAGTCTGGAACAAAGCAGTGGACTGACAGATACTGCCATTTCTAGAGCCACACCCCTGGGATTATGTATTTTCACATTCATAGCATTTCTTTCTTAATTAATCACGACAGCTTCTGTTGATTGCATAACATTTTCAAGTTCAGATTTATCTGAGAAGAGGCCAAAACCAATAAGCTCTACCTGAGGAACTCTCTTAGTGCAGGTTCCACATGCCAAACTTAAGTCATTTAGATTGGTAGCCCTGGCCAGAGTTTTGGACTCCAGCCCAAATCCGAGGCCAGCATCAACCTAAATCAATAGTGAACCTGAGGTATTACTATATATCATATTCAAGTGGTAGGTAGTGTGGGCTGCCAGACAGAGGACAGGACCACACATCAAATAAATTTAGGGAAATTTGTCCCTGACGCACAACCTCTGTCTCCAGACTTAGCACCACAAAATGAAGAGAGATGACGAAAATGACGAAATACAGAAAGATAATACTTTATGTTGCTGAGCAAACAAGTGAAGTTCTACACTGATTTCTTCATTATGTAAGGACATAACAACATAAACTGCATTGAGTTTTATCCTGCATGAGACTGAACTGGACAATGCCATATATGCAAGTTAAGAGTCCTGCAGTGACATTGCTCCACCTAGAGAGGCCATAAAGCTGGATTACTGACCCACCTCTTGTTGTCAGTTATATAGATCAGGGTGATTACATGCATAATACATGAAGTCAGTCAACCACAGGTTCCCTCTCTGAACATGCCTCCCCAAACCTAACCTGTACCTGAACCATTCTCCCTTAGTGCAAATCAATCAATAAAGGCATCAGTTCCTGTCCAACTAATGTATTACAGTCAGTTCATCAAAACGGTCATCAATAGATGAAGCTGGAAAGCTTTTCATTTACTGGTCCCCTGCTGTCTGACAAGCTGGAAACTGCACAGTGTTCCAGTTGGAAAGAAATCCTTAATTTTCTGGCTTCAGCTGAAATTCCTGCTGAATTGGGAATAGAAGTAAATCTCCCATTTCTGTGTAGCATAGACCTTTCACAAGTAGGGACGGTCTTCTACTTGTACATGGGGTGATGATTCTGCCGGCCTGACAGATCTTTCACACTTGTTGGTAATTATCAAAAAGAAGAAACACACACTATAAAGCCACATACAAACCCAATCGACTCTTATAAAAAATATTTTTACTTCCACAATTCTAGGGATTGATTAAATGAGAAAAGAAAAATGCGCAGTTATCACTAATTAAGATACAGTGGGCACTGATATAAGAAAACCGCCCTTGTATTCTAGGTACAAAAATGTAGACTTATCAACAGAAAATGAATCATAACTATTTTGATGACTGTTTAATCGTTTTTGTAATTTTTTAAAGAAAAATATCAAATATTTGCTGCTTCCAGCTTCTCAAATGTGAGGATTTGCTGCTTTTCATTGTCAAATATAATAGTAGACTGAATATCTCTGGGTTTTGGATTGTTGGTTGACAAAAAGTCACCTTGAGCTCCAGGAATTTAAATTCGCTTTTTTCCTCTATTTTCTAACATTTTGGAGAATAATTTATAAATCAGATGATCAAGAAAATCAATTATACAAAGATAAACCTGAATCCTAAAGCATCCATCACCTTAGATCTTAGAGCTTTTTACTGTTACCTTGCTCTGTCTTTCAGTTGGTCTGTGTTTAATTAGTCACTGGTTCTACATCTTTGGTATGTCATTATATACACACACTCTGAAACACTGTTTAGCTTACATAGCCTAAAGGCCTTAAGCGTTTAGTCTGAAAAAGTAAATTCCTCCTGTGGCCAAAAGCAACAGTTAAGTGATCAATGCAACATCCATCACAAACTGGAATCTCATTTCTGTTATTTTAAGCTTTGTGACGATTTTATTCACAAGTCTAATTGGTTTACTGATTAGAGTTACAGATAACCTACATGTATACTTACACTGACATGCCTACTAAGTGATTAAATGTTTTAAAATACTTTTTTTACCATAATTTTTAAAAGTTGGGTGTACTTCATGTGGGCCTGATGGTCTGAACTTCCCCAAGTTGTCTGTTAATGGCCTAAATTAAACCCTGCAAGAGCTCACACTGCTGAATTTTCAACATTGGTAAGCAGTCTAAATAGTTGTTGAATGTTTTCAACGGGGTATAAATAACAAACCATTTAGCCGTCACACTGAGGAGACAATAATAGGGTGCCACATTATCCCCAGCATTCACCCCTTTCTACTTTTGCCAATTTCCTTTTTTGTTCTTTATTTCATTCATATTGATCAGAGCACATATCCAGTCTTATTTCAGATGTCTATTTGACAGTAGCCAGCAGTTTGTGTGGTTGTCAGACTCACATATGATCAACCTGTTTGTCCTCACTCCCCTTTAATCCTCTGAGGCCATAATCAATATGTCCCTGGGAGACCTTTCTCCCTCTCTCTGCCACTCCACCTTGAGACGCAGTGTGAATTTAAAGGCCACAGCAGTGTGGCAAGGGAAACACCCGCTGGAAAAGGAACACCCACTCACTCAATCAATTCATGGCGTATAAATCAAGTACTGAGTTCCTTACTTAAAAGAGTAGCTGTAAAACATTTGTAGTCAGCCTACTCATACCTTTAATACTTTAATACAGTTCATTTATCCCAGGAAACAATCTTTTGTCTTAAACTGGGCCAAAAAAATCACTAATTCTAACAACAGGTGACATTCATTTCACAGCATCTTGCCTAATATTACGTCAGCGCCTCACACTAATGCTCACATATTCCTCACCTATCACCCGCTATTAACCTGGATCATGAAGTCCCAAACACAGTCTGCTATGATCCAAAATGTCCTTTAGTGTCCCTCTTTGCCCCTCAACAAGAAATAAGGTAGCCAGACTAGCAGCTCTGGGGCTGCACTTTCGCATGATGGGGCTTTGAGCTAAATATTAATGTTATCATGCTCACAATGACAATATTAGTATGCCGGTGTAATGTTTACCATGTTGACCATCTTAGTTTGGTGTGTTAGCATGCTAGCATTTGCCACTTAGCACTAATCATAAGGGGAAGCTGAGGCTGATGGTAATGTCATTAGGTTTTTGATCATAAATTAAAGTATTGGAGTAGAAATTCTGACCAACTAGGGTGCTAAAGCCATTTGAATTCATCATCTGAAGAACATGAGTGTCTAGTAAATTTCATGGCAACTGAGAAATATAATAATTCAAATGTAAACTCACCTTCCTGGGCTGTGAAGGGATTTGCCAACTAAAACCATATCCAATCCTGTTGTCTTAATAACTAGAAAAAGCCAGAGTATACTGACAATACCTTCTTGTGGAAAAAAAAAAAGAAAAAGAAAAAAAACCTCAAAGCTAGCTTCAACTGAAAGATGACTAAGTTAGCTAGCTTATGTCAATTAGCCTACTTGAAGGAAAGAAAATCATATTATTTCAGTTTGTTTAATTCTATTACAATTGTGACAACTAACAGAAACATGCTTCAGTTGGCATCTTCGATATCCTGACCCTAACTTAGTTAGTAGCTAATTAATAACTGCAAGCATTAGCTAAATACATTTCACAACTCGGAAAACTTGTTAGTAGTTACCATAACAACAAGCTCCCAAGAATTGTAGCCACAGCACGACATTAAAACTACAAAGATTTGTAAGCCCACCAAATAAACTTATCCCCTTCGTATTTGTATTGAGAGTCATTCACTTCTGTGGAGGTCAGACTTTAAAGTGACCTCACTGAGCTTTCGTTTCCAATTCAACAGAAATCTGTTCAAGCTGTTGCGGTTTTTCAAGATATCCTTAAAATGGCAGAATTCTTGCAGCTTTGTTTTACAGACTGTGTGAAGCTATATAGGTTTTTATTTCAGACCACAAATTCATAGGCTGGTCTCACTTGCATTATTGTTTTACAAGCCACGACCCCCTCCTATCCAAGGATGCTGCTGATGCTGCTGCTCGCACACATCCCCTTACAGTATCATGTTGTTGTCCGTGTGTGGTGAGATCACATTATCTCACATCACAGGGAAATGAACAAAAACAATGGCTCCTCCCACTCTGCCTTTTGCTCTTCTACACCCCCCCCCCTCCCCCCCGCTGCCCTCCCTCCTCCCTCCCCTCCCCGGTCCTCGGTAGCAGCAGGTGTTATTCTCGTATAACCTGAAGATTTAGGTGGTCATTAGCATTACCTCTTAGCCCCAGAGAGTTATTTATGCTTCATGCTAACAGCAGGGGACACGAGTCGAGTGTGTTTGTGGGCACTCGATGAGAGAAGAAATCACGCCTCAAAAACACGTGGGAGAGATTACTCAAATATGCCTCCTTTGTACCCTCTTTACCCCTCTCGCTGCTGCACGGTTACCCATCCCCGTTAAGTAATAAGCTGCAGCCCATTTCGTTAGTATTTGTGCAGGATGTCGGCAGCTGTAAAGCACTACATATAACCTATAGAACACTTGGGTTTCATTGTAGCTAAAGGCTTTGACCTTGTGTTATGTTGCCCTTAAGTAGGCTGTTGTAAATGTCCAAAACATTAACAAGACAAGCCAATGCACACCGGCAAAAAATTATGCATATGACAAAGTGTCTCTGTCTACAACAGATTCACAATTAATCGTTCACGGTGCATTGAAATAAATGCAGGACTGGGCAAATGATAAGCATCCTCCTAGGAGGCAATTAACTGCACTGATATTACATAATGACAGCCCACACTTTTGATCAACATCACCGGTCCATGCCAAATGATAAGGCTGTTTAGAAAAGAAAAAGCCACACACGTTAACGGAGGATGTGTGACAGTACATCCCCACCTTTTCATGTCAGGCAGTCACCTCAAAGAGAAACAGCGGGTCAGAAATGAAACACCTTGAAACTGTCAGGATGCTCTTCGCAAAGAGTGACAATTCTTAACAGGATCTTACCTTTGCTATTGTCCTCTTCCCTGTTCAGATACATGGCTGTTATTTCACTCCGAGGCTAATACGATGGCGTTGTCTCAATTATTTTGTTGGTACTCCTCTGGCGTGTATCGTGAACTCCGCTGATGTGGTTTGTAGTAGTAGCTGTTTGTTGTTTTGTTGCTCCTCAACAGCCTATCCTCTCCTCCTAGTGGATAGGTAGGCTAACCAGTTTGAGACTCCCTCTCTCTCTCTCTCTCTCTCTCTCTCTCTCTCTTCTCTCTCTCTCTCTCCTTCACTCTCGCTCCCTCTCTCTCTCCCTCTCTCGCTCCCTCTCTCTCTCCCTCTCTCTCTCTCTAATAACCACCGGTTCACAGTGGCTCAGAGGACAAAATGGGGAAAAGTGACTTTTGCAGCTGTGTGAAGAAGTCTTCACCGCCTGTTTGATCTGCTGCCACTGGCATTGATTTCTCCATTGATTTATCAGTTTAAAATTACATGGAGGCTACCGAGGAGTGCAGTTACAGCCCAACAAACTGGGCTTGAACCCGAGTTACATGAGCTATGGGAGTGGGAAATTTCTTTCGTGGTGTAATAAGTATGCAGATCTTTTAATGAGACAAAAGGAGAAATATCACAACGTATAAGGATTCACCACACAATTAGCCTATAAGTAAAAGTCATACATTCAAAATTAAAATTAGGACTAAGAAAAAGTATTAGGCTATATATCAGCAAAATCTCATTATGCATAATGGGTCCTGTCAGAGTAGGCTACATTCACAAAACACAACATAAAATGAAATAATAGAATCATACAGACTACCATGATATAATCTGCTTCATTATCCCTGATTCATTAATAGGTAAGTAGCATGTTAATGTTGTACCTGGTTAATCTGGAGCTAATTTTAGCTGCACTGTATACAGCTGCATATTTTAATCAATAAAATATATCTTATTTCATGAGTGCTGAAACTATTAGTTGATGGCCAGAAAATTAATTACCAACTATTTTGGTAAGACATTGTTTAAGTCACAAAAAGTGACTATTTCCAGCCTTTCTAAGGTGAAGATTTGTTTTCTCTGATTTGCATTATTATTAAAATGAATACATTTGGGTTTTGGGCTTTTGATTTGATAAAACAGGAAATTTGAAGTAAGGCCGTAGAATAACAAGTGCTATACTGAAGTACAAATACCTCAAAATCATACTTATTCACAGTACTTGGGGAATGTCCTTAATTACTTTCCCACCAGTGGATCTCTTAAACCATAATGATAAATGAGTTATTAAAGCAACAACATACTGTTGTCTGATACGTTTTAATGGATCAGTTTGTAAAACCTTATGAAAACTCTGCTTAAGTGTCAGTAAACACTGATATAAGGAAAAATCCATCTGGCCCTGTCACTTCAACCACGCTCTCCACCTGCTGCATATCCACATCCCCATCCCTTATACAAATGGTCATCAGATGGTCTTGTATTCAGGACACTGTGTGAGTTTATCAACCACATTATTAGGCACAGGCCAGAGATTAAGAGCTCTCAAGGAGTAATTGGGTGTGTCCTCTGCCAGTTTTTGATGCAAGGTGATGTGGCTGCAATGCAAATACTCCCCAAATTAGATGCAGGAATGAGATGTAGATTATTTTACCACTCAGTATTCAGGCTGTCTTACATCACACATAAGCAGCCCTGTAAGTGGAGAGCGAACAATTTGTCCATGACCTTGACTTAGTCCTAGAAAAATCCAGTCAGAAGGCAATTTAAAACACTTTCAACAATTATTTTTCCTCCTTGTTCTCAGAGCAAATTTCCAATTTGTGATGGAACTTCTTGCTACTTTAAGCTGGTAGACTGAGACATGGAACATTATAAAATAAATGGGATAAGTCATGACAGCTAACCACAGCACAAAGCCATAATGGCATTTGGTAGAAATGGTTAAAATAGAAGTAATGTAATGTCTTTATTGTACTTCACAGCCTTTCAGTGGCTCACAGTGTGTGCCTGACTAATAAATATGCAGGTTCTCCTTACAAGTCTGCAAAACAGTAAGCTAATATCCCATTCAATCATTTGACTCTCTGATATTACAGATTACAATTCAATAGGATATGAGTAGAGCTGTACTGTAGATGCAAATGCTGTGAGCATTTCCAAAACCACAACTAACAGTTTGCCTGCGTTTTGTCAGTAGAGCTGGGAAGGTCATTTGCTCAAAGCATCCTGCAGTGATTTCCATTTGATTATATTTTGTTTTGCACTGCGCTCCGTGCTATTTGCTCACTATTGAGAATCTTTTGCCATTTGTTAGGAGAATTCTCTGCAGACTAATTTGACCACAGTCTATTCCCAGATTTTCCCCTCCTGTGCTCCCAGCATCATTGTGCCTGTCACTGATGCATCTGTCTCCACTGGTATCTATAAATACCTCCTTCTCTCCCCTTCAAAAACCTGATTCCCATTGATTTAGTGACCTATATACACATCACCACTATCCCCTCCCTTCCTCCGGCTCTCTGCTCCTTCTATCGATGGTCCTTTACTGTCCCCACGTCTTGCTTTCCTCTTCACCTCCATCATTCTCTCCCTTTAAGCTCAACTTTGACTACCTCTTCCTCCACCTTCTCCCCTCCTCTTCCAAGAAAGCATGAAAGGCTAATAATAGTTCACGGTGGAAGCTTAAGTCATGACACATGAAAGGGATTTTGAATGTGCAGAAGAACAGTGGCTGGTGCTCACTCTTATATTTCAAAGTCTTGTCATTGTAGTAAACTGAGCCCTTGGCTAATCTCTTATGTGTGTAAACACTGGAGTAGATGTGTGATGAAAGGAGGAGGCACAAAATTCAATCTGAATCTGGCTGAAATAAGATCTGGATACAACAGACGTATAGAAAGACAGCAGTGTGTGTGTGTGTGTGTGTGTGAGTGTGTGTGTGTGTGTGTGTGTGTGTGTGTGTGTGTGTGTGTGTGTGTGTGTGTGCAGGGTTATATGAACGTGCTATGATGTAATTATGCTGCAGGGTGCTGCAAAATAGCACCCTGGAAACTAATGCTATAAACAGTTATGTTGAATACATCGCAAACAGCAGAGGATTAATAATGAATAAACCTCCCGTTACAGCATCAGTTCTGCTGAAACGTGCAGGAATCATGTGGGATTTATGAACCACAAACATTTGGTGAAATCCTCGCAAAGATATATTTCCATATTCTTATCGTAACACGTAGAAGCACATTATTATCAAGTGAAACAACAAAGAGCACAGGCAAAAAAAAGAGAGGCACATCTGTCTATAAGCTATATCACAGCTGCAAGAGACGGAAACTAGCATGACTGAGGATAAGGCAGCTCGACAGAGTGAGATCGGAGCGCATGATTTACTGCCACATCCCCCAAGCTTAGCATACACCTGTAGTATATAGCACTGTTGACACTCTTCCCACTCCCACCATGCGGAGGATCATAGCTCTACTGCGACCCCACACTGACACCTGGTGGCTCGGCAAGGCAGCAAAATCATCACCATCACAAAGAGGCTCAGCTGTTTTTGTGCCCCAAGGAGCCACAGTGTCATCCTCATACTCTTCAAAACATCGCCCTGCTGTTTGGGTTTCACAGCACTACAACAGACACACACACACAAAAAATAAAACACAGCAGCGTCAGTTCCTTTGTATTCTGTCACACGACCACCAGACCTTGAAAGCAGATGCAGTGATGGGTGTAAGAAAAACACAAAAGTGTAACCCTCAGCACAGACGACTACATCAGGAGATTTCAGGACAGTCAGTTTATTGAACAGCAAATTGTGACAGGGAACACAATATTTTATGTTTTTTTTTTCCATTGCATTGTAAACAATGTCTAGGATAACTGTGTCATTCACCACACATATTCATAGACACCCTCTATGTCATAGAGAGACACTTTGTAGATGGAGAGTGGGGTGGGGGTCCTTGTTTCTTTAAAGTGCTATAATGCACAATTCCTCTTGGAGGAAGAGAACAGAGGCCTTGAAAAGAGCTCAGACCCCAGAAGGCCTCCAAGGTCCTGGTAGCATTATCCATACAGTGTGTGATGTTGTGATTGTTGATTGACAGGTTGTGTTCAGTGGGGTTTTTTTTTCTGTATTTATTCTTTTATGGTGTTCTGTGTGTGGCTTCTACTTATTGCATATCAGTGAGCTGGTTCATGAATTTTTCAGTGAATGTGTAAAGCACAAATCTTTAGATTAAAATGTAATAAACTCTTCACTATAATTATAATACATCTCAATATCTAAGTTACATTCTTATATCTGATTCATTTAAAATATGTAGGCGATATACATTTTGTGACTAACTGCTGATGGGTAACATAGTGGACACCATCACATTATGTGTCTCTTATAACGACCTGTTGTGTCAGCCCTATGGATCAAGTTTTACAGACATAGATAAACTTTCTTATAAGACTAAAAAGTTAATCTCAATCAACATCTCCACTGAAATAAATCAGGCTTTGATCCATTTCTGCAAAAGCAGCACATAGTTTTCCAAGGACTCTGTCCGAGTATTGAAAGTGGGCCATGTGGTCTCTTGTGCCTAATAATCCTTTGTGCTTTCTTTGATTGTATACACTCTAAGTCATACATTTGGTGTTTAGAGCTCCTCTGCGTTAACCTGCACCCCCGGCTGTGGATGCTGGGGAGAGTGGACGGCAGAGGAGTGTGACACACAGAGGGAAGGAGGGGAGAGAGCATGGGTCTGACAATCAAAGAGAAAAATACCGCAGTGTCACACTAAGAAGTACACGTCAACTACAGCACTACACAGTCAGACACACACGCACATACATAACCAAATGCACAAGATCAGAGAAAATTCACAGCTGGGTAAAACAAAATGACTTGCATGACATTTTCAAGATTCAACCAAAAATAGATCAAATAAAAATCTAGAAGGGTTGGGGGGGGGGGGGGGGGTTCAAAAAAAAAAAAAAAAAAATTTAAAAAAAAAAAAAAAACAGAGGGGTGGGGGGGGGGGGGGGGGGTGTTCAAAAAAACAATAACAATAATCTCAACAACACAAAAATAGGCATCATGATCACAATAACAGCATATATGAGATGAACTGGCAATTGGAATGTCGAAAAAACTACAACAGTAATTCATAAAGACAAGCTCACACGAGCAGGCAGGTCTTTTTTTTGCCATTTTCCTGTGGCTCTGCTTGTCATCTGTCAACATGGCTGGAGGTGCCAGTCGATGTCTGGCAGTTCTGCTGCCCCTCCCTGACCTATGGCTTTTAGTTAAGACATTGATAATTGATAACGCTGGGATTCACTAGCATGTAATTCAGTCAGTACAGCCTTGGTCATATTGCAGCTACGTCATGAGAGAAGCACCATTCAGAAAGACAGATGTTAGACTTGCAGTCGGATGTCAGCAGATCCCTACTGGCCTTGTCCATAGTGTATTTCATTTCCAGAACTGTTTAAGGAGTGCCATAGGTCATTCACTTAAAACTAACTACATTTCTGTGATCATTATATGATGCTTCATTTGGTCCTTGTTAATAAAACAACAGGAAACAGGACAATGAGCTGACCCACAGACTTAACCAGTAGCTTGGGAGAAAGGGCACCTCCAAAACACCATCCTAGATCTACACTAGTGTTCCCCTTTGCATACAGTAAAAAAAACCCTCATCAATATGCTGCATTTAAGTTCAAATGATGCTTGTTGCATTAAAACATGTTCCTTCATTTGATATGTCCACATCATCATAACATAAAATCACCACAATATGGATTGAGGGGGGGGGCTGGAGAGGTAGGTGTGCAAATAAGCCATCATGTACAAAACAAACAATAAATCCTAAAACATAAAGTTCATATCATCTGCATATGTACAATATAGTTAAGGTGGACACTTTGACACAGAAAAAAAAAAACGACACATACAAATATATAGTGCTATACTGCCTATAGAAAGGAATATTCATAAATAGGTCTCACTCCCACAAATGATAATACACTGAAAAGTTGCATCGCGCATCTACAGTGCGACAGTACAACTGACGAGCTGCTTGAACAGTGGGAGCGAGGAAGGAATGTGATTGGGTAATACATGTCAAAGTCACCTTGATCTCCGGTGAGATAAACCAATGGCAGGGCTTTCAGTGTTGTGATGCATAAACAAGACAGGACAGGGCTGCTTTCCCCAGCAACTTAAAGCAAACGAAACCTCTAAAGCAAACAAGCAGAGATGTTTGGTACAAACCATAGAACACTGAAAACACATTGGTTTGATTTTGCGATAAAGAATGGTTTTTCATTAGCTCTTTGGGTCCTGCCACTGAATTCAAGTTTGGAGAAAATAATTTAAATTAAGTGTCAACTCATCAACAACAATAAGAATTATGTCTGGGTCTAAGAGGACATGAGATACACCAGCTAAGGTCTTACTCGCTCTACAGTGGATGACTGTACTCATGAGGCCTCGGCAGGTGATGTCTGACCATCTATAAGCATAATTACTGAATATCTACTAATAATCTGGTATTTTATTAAAAATTACTTTCAGACCAATTTAAGTATTCAAAACTAATGCTTTCATCTGAATTCACAATGAATCACAGAGAGAGAAAGACTGCCGCTGCACTGCTCTCTGTGGACTGAACTTTTAAAGCACACTGCACTTTTGGTCGCAATCCAATCAGTGATGTCACAGCAGGTGTTTTCTATCATCCCTCAAAGGCAAAACCCCTGCTGTGACATCACTGATTGGGGTGTGGCCTCAAGTACAACATGTTTGACAGTTTCAACCCTCAAAAAAAGAGTGCAGAATTTTTTGTGATTCTGTGTCAAGGTTAAACAAAGTGCACATGTAGATCGGTGGTGCATAATGCCCACATGTCGTGCACTGTCTCTTCAGTCTAGTGTGTGAGCAGGATACAGAGCTGTCTTTGACAGAGGCAAAACAGTGGAAGCATTGTGGTAGCACTAAATATCAGATGGAACCTGATCTACTTAAAAAGCCAAGGCAATCAAAGTGTGCTTGGAGCTGAATGGCTGAGTTCATTATAACCACTTACAGGAAGGGATGTGGCTTCTCAGGAAAGATCATAGGGGGTGTGCTGTTATCGCATCAACACATTCCCTGGGTCTTTGTCTGAAACAGAGGCATATTTTGCTCTTCTTCGAAATGTACTATCTTCTTTTAAGACATAAGTTCCGGGGAAAATCTTTAACAGCATTTTAGTAAATACTCTACCCGAGCTAATGGTCGCAAATATTAGTATGGTATGTGCATTTAATTTCGCTAGTTAGGGGTTATAATTTTCAGTAGATCACTGCAGCAACCAAAGGGCAGTACATCAACAATCATATTCCAGAATGCAATAAAATGTTGTAATTATAAAGTAATATTCGTTTAAAACTTCGACTGATATTTGTGGCTTCATTTCCAGAGAGCTAGCTGAGCTTGCCTACTGGAATTTTGTGTGCCACCACAGGCAGCTTGGCAAACAAAGGCTCCCTCTTAAACTATTTCAACATTCAACACAATGAAATATGAAAAACAAAATTAACTGATCAGCCATTGCTTTGACCAATCGAAAAACCTCTTTCAGAATGAGATGAATCCTCACGCAGTTGGTGTAATGCATTATGGGAGGGAAAGGCAGAAAGGAGCCGCTTCTTAGTTGTCTTTTTTAGGCAAGAAGCTGAGGATAAATTCACCCACACCCAGGAAGTAGACGACCTGGGCGATGCCAAACAGAGGCGCAATGACCAAGGCTCGACAATAGGCTCCCTTCAGGAAGGCTGCTGGACCCTCATTACGCATAATTTTCCTAGAGAGCAAACGAAAGCTCATTATAGGATCTGAAACATTCAGCCAGCAGAAGTTATGTGTCAGTAGATATGGTGGCACACTATACACACACACAGCCTCACACATGAGGTAGCAGTGAAGACATAATGAGGTCACCTGATACAGTCAGTCACTCCACTGTACGTGTCTTCTGTGCTTCCTCTGTTCAGGGACTGCAGTCGAGTCTTTATCACTGTAACACACAGAGCTCAGGTGAGTATATAACATCAAGTGTCAGTGCATGCATCGCTGTATGCACAATGTTCAAGGTCTCACTGCTCACCATCAACAGGGTTGACAGCGACAGCCGCTGTGCTCCCCGCAAGGCAGCCTGATATAAACGACACGTAGAAAGGAGCAGGGCCATCTGCACCTCTTTTGCCCAGTTCATTCAGATTGGCAAACAGGGGGAAGTAGATGATGGAGAAAGGAACATCCCTACAAAAAGAGAAAAATAAGACAGGTGATCACGGTAAGCCTTGTTACAGTTGGTTGCTAAAACTACTCCTGGATTGCCAGATGTGTTTTTACCTGAGCAATGTGGCACCAAGGCCTTTATACAGCCCTGCGATGCCCTTTTCCCTCAGTAATTCTCTTGTGAGCTGCATGGCTGTTGGGGACTTGGTCTCCACAGTACCTGCTGCCACTGTCTCTGGCATCAGCTTCCTCTGAGCCGCTGAGGAGCATAAGACACGCAACCTTAACGACAGCAGATTCACAACTTCAAGCTACTTGAAAACAATGACAATGATTACACCATGATAATAGCAGGTATACGGGCAGACATTTTGAATTCATAACAGTGAGAAGAATGTGGGATAAAGCAGCTGCAATCTCTGACATGACCACATGAGGTCACTGTTTCTCCATTTTACCACATGCACTTCATTCTTCGCTATACCACCATCCAGATTTAATTTCCTCTTACCAATTCGTCCAGCATCTTGGAGCTGGATTTTCAACATCTCCATAGGAGTTGTGACAATAACCTACAACAAAACAAAATGACAGGTACAGTGTCAACACGTGCACACTCTGAACACATCACATGATTTTTCCTACGTGCGACTGCAAGTGATTTCAAAGTCAGAGTTTAGGGTTGATGAGTACTGAGCGTGTCATACAAAATGCGTGTCCAGTGTAAATCTACTGGCAATCATTAGCTAAATGTCAACACTTGTTTTTCTCTCTAATCCACACAGTAGTAGCTAGTTAACTGGATTACGGGTGAGATGGCCATGTTCTCAGCTGCAATCTTAATCCAAGGTCTGCTACACTTAATCTAATCACGTTCCTTGGGCTTGAAGCCTTTGCCCTCATTGACAACAGGCATTTCCCTCTGACTCACTCACTCAGTGCACATGGTCAAGCACTCTCACAGTGTCTTATCTGATCACTCACATCTAGCTGCCAGTGTATCGCCTGCTAACAGGACAGCATTTCAGTAATTAGAAATCATTCATGAAAATGGAACATTACAGGTCACATTCAGATCACAGATAACAGTGGAAATCCACAGAGACAAACTGCAGACATGTTTCTGCAACTACCACCTCTCGTTTAAATGTAGTCGTGCCTAATTCTTGCCGGCGGCAGACACAAATGAGGATATGGCTGAGGCCCGGTGGTTCGTGCGTGAGATGACATTGGCAGTGCTAAAGGCGGGAGTTCCAGATGGAGAACAGGAGGATGCAGTTAAAAGGAGCATCTCGCTCACTCACTCACTCACCTGGCATGTACCTGCCCCGCACCCAGCCAGCATCTCTTTGAACAGAGTGAGTTTTCTGAGAAAAAAAGATAAAAGCAAGATCAGACAAAAACATGCACTAGACTGTCAGTGTGAGAGGCATACAACTTTATTTCCATAGTCCTGGAAAAGGGAGTTGTCACCACCTGAGCTTGTGATGCTAATCTTTATCTTCCATATCAACATGTCAGGCATGCGGCCGGATTAATAATTCACAAGCTGAGCAGTTGAGCCAGACAAGTCAATCATTCATCAGCCTGCTTGTTTGTCACTGTAGTGATGGAGATAGATGCCCCAGAAACCCTCAAGTTTATCTATGCAGTGCTTATGAGAGACAATGGGTGCCCAGTTTCAGCAACACCAGATGATGGTTGCTAAAGTCTTGATGTGTGATAACATTGTGTGCAAATTTTACTCTGTAATGTGATTTCAGACCGGGCCTCTGCTGTCGCACATACAAGTAATTCTGTATTTTTAAGCCAGACAATTAACAAACCACCGTGAAATGCTCCGTGCCTCGGAGGAGATGACAGAGCGATGGAGGATTAACTGGAGCCTTGGTGAGAATACAGACAGCTAATGTGTCAGGTTACATGTTGGTAAACACGCCAGTTAATCAGTGTGACTGAGGGGAGTGGGTGTGTGTCAGTCAGCCTGTCAGCACTTTCATGCCTCACCCATCCTTGGAGAGGTGATGCCTGAAGAAGTCGTTGGCAGCCAATTTGATGGCTTTCTCTGGCGTGACTAGTGTTAAGTTCACCGCTGCTCCTGGGAGGATAAAAAGGGACGGAGACCAAGGAAGAAAGAGGCACAAAGAAAAGAAAAAATAGGAGAGAGAAAGAGAGAGAATGAGGCGGTCCATGGTGGAAGCTTTTTCCAGATAATTACCTGTCAGACATAAATCCCTCTATTTGATGTCTGTAGCTGAAAGTAAGAATCTAATGCTAGTGAACACACACATTAATCACAAGTTTCTCCTGTCAAAGTGAAGAACTTACCTCGATACATCCCAAAATACCCCTCTGACCGGATGGTCTTAATAAGGCAATCTGACCTGTGACACAAATACAACAGTTGGTATGTTAGTGAAACGGCTGCCTACAGGATGTACAAAAAGGATCTGCTGATAACCTGGGTGGCACTGCTGATTAATTCTGATTATAGTTAAGCAGTGAGCTTTCAGTGAGTTAGAGACTGATCATGTATAAAAAAAGTAAAGTACAGAAATTTCATACATGCTGGTGTAAAGGCGAGATCCATTTTGCTGGTTTTGCAAGCGAGTCTTGGCCAAGTCAATGGGAAACACACAGGTCACTCCAATTAGGCCAGCGATCCCCCCATTGATCAATTTGGCAGGCAAACTGCATGAAGGTGATGACCACAGAGAAAGAGACAGAGATATGACATGTGAAAGGTCACTAGATGAAAACGAGGCTAGGGGGCTGCTTCTCTGTTGCAAACTTTAGTAGTTATTCCATATTCAATCTCACCTGATCTGCTTGTCAGCCATTTATCTCAAGCCCCGGCTGCTCAAAGTGCCAATCTGTCTGTTAGCTGGTCACTCAGTGGTCGTCCTTGTGTTTTGTTGTTTGTTACAGTAGTGTGTTGCTGTCCAAAGTGGGAGTGTGTAGTCTGATTATGCTTTGTCCACTCGTATCCTTGCAGGTGTTGTTAGTTAAAGTGAAGGGATATCTGTAAAGATAGAGCAAAGGAGATGTTCTCATTGAACTCTTAACAGAACTCTTACAACAAAATAGAAGATCAATACATTTCCAAAGTTAGAATGAAGCAATGTTGTTTTCACAGACATTACAACATAGACTTTTAGTGCCAAGATGGTGCACCACCTGAAATGAACAGCAAAAACAGCAAATAAGCATCAACTAATGAATTTTTTCATTATAAACTATTTTCTCAGTTAATAGTCTAGTCTATAAAATGCCAGGAAATGGTGAAAAATGTCTATCATATGTAGTTTACTAAAGCCCAGGGTGGTGTGATCAAATCACTTATCTTGTTCATGTTCAATGTCCTAGGTAACTTAAAATAAATGCATTCAAACCAAAAAGGAACAAGGTATAGAGGTCACGAAAAACTGGAAGTGCAACCTGCCAAATAAGCAGCTAAACGCATGTAAGAGAGCTACATCATAAGTTCATAAGTGCTTTTTTTATAGTGAGATCTTAGATGGAAGTTCCAGCATGTGGTGTCGAGGTGCAGTGTGAAAAATGCTGTGACTCTAACTTTAGAGGTGAGTTCACTTTCACCGCTGTGAAACCAACAAATTACCAAGACAACCCCTTAACATTGACAAAAACCGGGTGTATATCCAGTTGAACTTTCAACTCGACTCCCAGGTGTGCTGTGGAACCAAACCACAACAAACTGACAAAAACATCCTACGCGAAAAAAAAGCAAATGCTCTGTGCTCTTTGTTAGACAGGAAATTGAAGCCCAGCTTAAACTCGCAACAATACAAGTGGTGCTGCAGGTGAGCAGTGTTTAGTCCAACCGTCACTCCAAAACCCAAAGACATTCAATTCACAATCACACAAGACAAAGAAAAGCAGCAAATCCTCACAACTGAGAAGCTGGAATAAGGGGATGTTTGGTATTTTATTTTTCCGTGAAAATCAATAATTAAAACAGTAACTTATTAAATATTAATTCCTATAGTTAATCACAGTGTAGCATAGGCAAGGTAAGCATTAGGCAACATTGCTGACAGCTCCCTTTAAATAGAGCTGGATAGGAGGGATTACTTTTTGCTAAACAAATCTATGACCACTGGAACATCTGCACGTCACGCGTGTCCTTGAACATTCATGTTTTATGCATAAGCTCTTTCGGTGTGAAACTAAAGTCATAAAGATGAAACTCTATCCTCTGTGTGCTAAAACAATCATTTAGAGCAAACAGATGATGCCGCTGAGATGCTCCCCTATTTTTGGTACAGTACAGAATGCCCTCAGTGTGAAAAGATGCATCCCATTTCCCCTTTCATTCTCTCCACCCCCTCCATCCACCAATCACAACATGCCTCTGCGTGTGCAACCCGCCTCCTCCTCTCTCCTCCTCACAGCCCTCCCCCATCACTTCTCTCAGTCACGAGTCACGACTCTACAAATGCAGCTTTTCCGTCTCAGATCTTTGCTGACTTGTGGGTTTTTTTGTGAGGTGCATTATGCGTACACTTGTGTGACACCAATATCACTAATTCCTCAGGATCAGTTTCAGAGAGACTGCACAGCATGCGTGGATGTTTAGGTTTCTGATAACGGTATCTTGCCATGAATGCAGCTGTGGTCTGGTGTGTTTAGTTTGGATGGCGACTTGAGGCTCTAGCTGGCTGCTCCAGAGGTGGAGGAAGGGGGGGGGAGGGTGCGGGTTGGGGTGGAGGGCAGTGAGACGCCTCTCTGGTCTCTGTTGGCTGGGTGCTCTCCTCTCAGCTCTTCACACTTTCACAGCTCACCTCCATCACTCATCTCCCAGTGATTGTTCATCTACTTCACCATTTCTCACCCAGCAGTGACACTTAACCCACTTTTTGCATGCTACTTTTCTTTCCCTATTTCCTGCCAATGACTTCCTCAAGAATATTCACATAGCATGTTAACACCACAGTCTGGTTTCTCTTTAAACCTGTTAGTAATCTGTTAGTTATAGGACTGAGAGGAAAATGTATGGGTTGTAAACAGCACTGCAGTCTTACATGAATCACCCATCAAACTGACATCTCTCTCCTTCTTTACCAGGCCTGCGGCTTTACTCGCCCACTTCAGTTCATCTGCACCATACAACTGTGTCTACACCAGGGTATTTATTTGACCCTCAGTCACAGCCTGGCTGCAGTGTCTTGTCATGACAATTGGAGTCTGTATGGAAACAACTAGCGCCAATGTGCTGGGTCCACAGCACAGTGGCATCACTCATCAACCAAATCTCCAAAGAATTCCTTTTATTCTCACAACACGAGAAAAAATAACAAACCGTCAGGAAACTGCAGGAGAAATGGGTAATTCTTCTCTCCAGACCCCACGTAACCACGTCAACAAATCACTTTAAAGTCATTTCAGCTCACTCAGGTCATTTTTCCATTCACTCAGCTATTATGGGAGGAGAGTTACTGCTGAGCACACATGATGAACATGACAATGGATTAAAAGTGACTGAAAAATTTCTTTATCAAACTAACCGACCACAAGTGACTTTTAACATCTTTCTTTCTCTCAGAATTCACACACACACACACAACACATCACACACCAATACACCAACACACACACACCACACACACACACAAACCCACACACACACACGACTACACAACACAACACACATACCACAATACACACATTCACACAGAGGTCATATTTTGAGTTTGTACCTCTAAAGCAGATAAGAACTGATGAGTAAACAATAGACAAGGTTATTGTGCAACTTGCAGAACCTTGAACCAGCCATTGGACACACTTGATGAAACAGTTAGTAGAGAGCCAGGAAACTGACAGACAGATAACAGCTCTGTTCTGACCCTTGTTCATCGTTTCAACTTGAACAATGAGGCAATAAACAGTGGCTTACTGACAAATATATTTACTTGTCAGTAAAGCAACATGCAGTTCTACAAATTAGGTCTTTAGATTGATAAAAAAAAAAATAAAAAAAAACTTTTATTAAAGTTTTTTTAAATTCAATAGAACAAATTTATGGACCAATGTCTAAGGTTAAATGATTAATGATAAGATTAATCGTATTGTGTAATGATCTACTGTAGTAGTCTATGTAATCTGACAAAGGTGGGGCAGAGGGTGTGGCAGCATGCTGTTTTACATACCATGTATGAATGACACCACATGTAATATGCACACAGGGAAAATAATCTTAAATATGAAAATATGCCTGCTGTCTTTTAATTCTCTTGAATTTAAAAGCAATTGAGTATTATGTGACTGAGGTGAATATGTTGAATAAAATGTTCACAACATGGTCTCAAATGTTCTTTGAATTTGCTTTAACACAATTTAATAATATCAAGTACGTACTGTGCATTTTAGGACAATGTGAAAATAAGGCTTATATTAGAATGATAGCTACAAACGGTAACCTTTCATGTAAGATCTTTCCACATCCTCTAATTCATTTGTACTTTGAAAAAGTCTGAATTGAAGTCTAACATTTTGGCTGGTTTGGTTGGTTAAGTAATTTAGCTGTCTGATGCATGGATGTCCACAGCTCATAAATGCACTAAATTCAAGAAAAATTTAAATAAAAAATCAATTATTTTTCCAACAATAAAAAACAGTTTGTATGTTGGAGATTCATTAAAAAAAACTGACAATACTGGTTCAGTGCTATAAATAAGGGAAGAAACGGTGTGGGTGAAGAGCATAGATGTGGTTTCTTGCTTTCACTAATCTGTACTAAGGCATGTCTCAGTCACAAAAAGAATCACAAAAAAGATAAATATAACCCTGCAAATACAAAAAAAATCTGGAGACAAGTCTGCCCCACTTTATTTACTATGCGAAACTCAATGCAAATTTTAGTCCTTTATTCAAATCAGCCAGAGAAAAATTTACCTCATCTATCACAGCTCCTTGGCTTCCTCTCTGTCCTCGAGTGCCAAATAGAGTAAAGGTCTTGCTGACTAAATGACAGTGAGTTTGGTGATTGATAGGAGACTGTGAGTGGCTGTAGTGACAAAGCACTGTGGTAGTCAGCACTCAACTCACGTGACTACGGTTGGGTCGAAAGGACAGTTACGAAATGAATATCACACAGGCCCTTCCTCATTAGCTTAGAGAAGAGGCTGTTGTTACTTACCAGTCCATCTGTCTCACATGAACTGGTTTGATTAAATACACGCACTCTGTAGGCTGATCCACAGAGGATCTGCACTGAGGTCTGTTTCAGACACAAGTGTGTTCCTGCAATCCTCCATCAGATGTCAAGTATTTCTCTGAGCTGTTAGAGCACAGAGCCCAGATCAAATATAAAACTCAGTCTGTCCACTGTTACGTTGCCTCTGCAGACATTATTTTTCTTCATTTCTGGGTATTATTTAAGTCTACTGTAAAGCTACTAGAGCTAGTATTACAGTATACAGCTTACTTTCAGCTTGATATTGTCCTTGATATTGTATTTGTTGCATCAATTATTTAGAAAAGGATTAGGTTTTAAATAGTTCTCTGCACTGACAACTGTATATCTACTGTTCTTCACAAAAAAACCTGACATCTGCTACGTCATCATGCTTTTTTTTATAATAACGGTTTATAAGATGTGTTCTATTTTTGGACATCTACAGCACTGCGGAAACAAGGGATGAATTTTGTGGTGTCACAGATAAATCTGATTACTATTCCCTCTTCCCAACAGCATCAGGATTATAAACCTAATACCTACTTATGAAAGCTCTCTCGCAATCTCCATTTACAACCAGTGGAGTGAGAGTTATGATCTGGACACAGCAATGCATTTCCACCACAAGTGCTCTATTCTGAGTTCGTATGGCAGCCATTACACCTGCACAATTATGCATTTTAGTAGTCGCTGGGTGCAGATCAGAAAGAACCAGATGGGCCTAACTTTCAGCCAGAAAAACTGCCCCTCCTGTGCAGAGAGGTGGTGTAGAGTTTAGTCCCTCCTCTGGCACCACAGGTATCCCTGGTGGCCCAGTTTCTGAAGTCAGCTGGGGTTTTTCTCTTGTATCACCTGTTTTGCCTTCATCTCATCTTTCCTGCAGCCTTGATAGGTAAATAAAAAGACAATTGTAAGTGAATTTTCCTTAGAAAGAAAGCCAAATGTAGGATTAAGGCATTTGGTTACAGTCTTCAGATTTCAGTAAGGCCCTGACATACAGTGTGCGTACAGGAACACAGCATCTACCCAGCATCTAACATTTCCATTCAGTGCACATATACCAGTGACATTTAGCAGTCCTTGCCTCTGGGATTTTTGCTACATGCCTGTAGCCCTGCATGCTGATTAAATAAACATTTTACACAAGGTTGTTATTTTCTTCTGAATTAAAGTAATGCAATATTTTAAGCATTACAGCCAAAAAGGTACAACATTTCAATTAGAAAGCACCGGATGAGTCACCTTACACCCAAGAATGCCTCGCTTCATCAATTATTTCAAGGCTGAAGGAATGCTTTATTACACTGCTTGGCCTCATCATAACCCATCTACTGCTGCCTATACACTAGTAACTGTTAAAAAAGGTTGCTTCTCTTAAAAGCATGAATTGCTACAAATTTGTATGTTCATCTCATATTTGCCCAACAGTTAAATGTTCCCTTATGTGTGCTTTGGATGAGTCTGAGGCCTCAGCAGGTTGAGGAGGTAAATACTGAAGGAAAGTGGGTAAAATATAAATGGTTTCCAGCAGGCAAAACATTGAGCAATAATAATGAACTCTTTTTTTCCCCAAATATAGTCCAATTGGCATTAGTTTGATTTTGTAGAAGTAGTAGGATGTTAATTTTTAGCTAGATTCTGCCTGTCAGATGTGAATAGCTTCACTTTTCTCTACCAATGAAAAAGGAGGTGGGTACAGTTTAAGTGGGTTTACCCTCCACTACCAACATCCCAGCCCACATGACGATAATTACTCCCTCGACACTGAGCGGTAGACGCCGGCAGAAGGCAGCCGCTGTGGCCGCTTACAGGTCGGGAAGAAATACGGTAATTCTGTGTTAACACCCAAAAGAAAGCAAGCATACTACCACTGAGACACAACCCTTCAAACTTGAGATAACACGTCCGCCTCTAACATAATAATGAATAACCGTTACACTCCTGTCTAACGGCTCGCCGGTTTCATGGGGGAAAATTTGACAGCCCATGTTAACGACCCGAATGTAACGGTTATTCATTCGTGGTTTTTTCACGTTAATGCCGACAATCACGGTATCTTACACTTTAAGAGTCAGCAATAGGCCCAACCGTTACCGTTACATCTTTAAACCCACCGTATGATTTTCCATATAACGGACAATGATCTACTGCCTCTCACAACGACGCGACAACCTCCCATACGTACAATCACATCCCAGTCTCCAGTGCTAGCTGTCTATTCATGTTACCTTATCTACATTTTTTTCAACAGCAAATTTAGCTAAATATGTCGCCTTCACGTAATTCCCAGGTGAGATTTTAACGGCTTCAAGCCAATAACACATTACCTGAATCAGACTGCCGCCACATCCACAACAAGAGTTTTACCGCATCCCAGTATGTACATACCACATAGAGGCGTCTCCGTTATCTGTCCTGGTGTGGTCGTAGCGTGAAATCAAAGCTTTTCCTCACTGGATCTTTGGCTGACAGACCGACAACAGCTAACCTACCGGTGTTACTAGCATTTGAGTCCAGTGGAGGGGAGGTGGGGGAGGTGGAGGAGGTGGGAGTGAAAGCAGGCAAGCAGGGAGGGAGGGGGAGCAGCCTGCCTGGCGATGGGGTAGAAAAAACACACAGCAAAGGGATTTAAAGAAAGGGGTCCTCTAGTGGTATGTAGTAGAAGTACAGACATTTTTAATATGCAGTAAATGTGTAGGGGTGGGGGATGAGGGGCAACGTCATCATGACGATTCTTCTCAACCCCATGACCTTGAACATTAAAATAGAAAAATTGCTATAGTGGAAATATTGGGGATGGAGGGGATCATGCAGCAGTAAATGTGGCTAAAAAAAAGCACGTTGCTACAGGCCTCTCAGCAAAAAAGTGATAAAATAGCTGACACGTGCAGTATTTCTTTATATCACAGGTTTATTTACAAGATTAAATTCATACATTACAAAAACCTAATATCCTGATGTGTCACTGAGTTTGTGCTGCAGCTAAAGTGGTTGCTCAGGGACCAAAGGCACACAAGGAAGAAATTTAATCAACCATAAAAATGGCCTCCTCATGCACTTTCAGTGTGTTATTCTGTCACACAGCTGCCAGTGTTTGCTGAAACCTCTTAACTTTGTCCAGTAAGGTGCAGGTGAATTATATGGAGGCCAATTCTGCCAAGAAATGAATTAAAAAAACATGGAAAGTTAGGCATGATGAAAAGAAAGATATTACTAAGTAACAAGTAAGTTAGTGCAAGTTAATAAGTAACCAGCTAGTCATAATGATGAGATACTAAGTCATAACTTTGACTAAGCTAAAAATAATGATTTTGAGATACTGGGTCAATAATGAGATGCTTAGTAAAAGGTTTGTCTTACTACTGCACAATTTTAAAATGCTTTGTACTAAGTCAAAGTAATTGTCTTACTTGTCTTACTAATATTTTTAGATAGTAATTCAAAATTATGAGATACTAAGTCAATTTTGACATGTTAAGTCAAAGGTTTGACTTACTGCGTCAAAATGAAGATAATTGACTTAATTATGAGATACTAAGGAGATACCGAGTCAAAATACCCTACCTATCTATCCATTTTCTACCGCTTATCCTCTAGTAGGGTCGCGGGGGGGCTGGAGCCTATCCCAGCATCCTTTCGGGCGAGAGGCGGGGTACACCCTGGACAGGTCGCCAGTCCATAGCAGGGCACACAGAGACAAACAACCATTCACTCTCACATTCATACCTATGGTCAATTTGGAATAACCAATTAGCCTAGTCCCCATTTGCATGTCTTTGGACTGTGGGAGGAAGCCGGAGTACCCGGAGAGAACCCACACAAGCACGGGGAGAACATGCAAACTCCACACAGAAAGACCCCGCGTCCGAGCCGGGACTCGAACCCGGAACCTTCTTGCTGTGAGGCGACAGCGCTAACCACTGCACCACCGTACCACCGTGCCGCCCCTACCTATCTAACTAAGTCAAAACTAGAGACCATCTTGCGATGGTATCACACCCGTTGCAACCCTGTCAACATACTGACGTTCCAACCCATGAGTATTCAGCAGACATTGCTACATTGTTAGGATACATGATTACTCAGCGCTCATGGGACAGACCAGACCCATCTTCAAACTCGGCCTTCATTTTGATCTCAACTACACACCTGAAAAGTTTCATGACTGGATCTTGCACAGTTGTGACGCTATCGTGGTGACAAAAATTTGTCCACAGACATATCAAAATACAAGAATACTTAAAAATGCCTCTGTGGTAGTTCTGGCTACAGTAGGTGTCTCCAGGACCACATTTCGCCATGATGACACACACACCGACTCTGAAGGCGATAACACCAGCCACGAGCTGGTAATTATGATATATGAAGTTGGTAAGTCAAAATTGTGATTTGGTATCTCATAATTTTGACTTAGCATATTAGTATTGTTATAAAGCATAACTTTTCATAATTTTTCTTCTTTTCCTGGCACAAATGAGCTGTCACAGTGCTGTTTCATGACACTGACATAGTTTTGAAAAAGTGGAAAGTGAAAAAAAAAGTTGATCCAGTTTGCTTGTTTTAATCTCTGGGTTATGTGAAAGGTGTTTCCAGCTTATACCTGACTATCGTGATTGCAAAAGAGAGAGATTTTTTTGTACTCCAGGACAGTTGTTTAGACAGCAGGATGAGGCGATGGAGGGGGATTGTAAACAAACATGTTACTCAAGTGTAAGTCAGCCATCTGCACCCAGCAAGGGCTCATCTACTGCTGTGTTTCATCGAGGGAGGAGCTCTCTGCTTCCAGGCCCACTCTCCTCAGTGACTCAGAGTACTTTCTCCTTCCTATACTGACTATGTCCTCAATCTCATCTGCAAGGTCTCTCCTGCCGCTCTCTACCATAGCGGCTACCAGCCTCGACACTGCTCCAGGTCCTGCATTCCTCTGTCCCCGGGCCCAGTGGAACAGCACGTCCAGCACCAAGGCTCCCAGGTTGTCTCTGGTGGGGAGAAGAAGACATACACAAGAAATCTCACATAATATGTTTCCAGTTGCAGTGACCTACAAAGGGGCTGAAAGATAAATTATGTATGCATTCCTACATGAAAATCTTACACACAAAACCATCCTAACCACATATATACAGAATTTTACATAATGTATCATTTTTCATCCACCTTCAGGATGAGTCATGAGAGGTTTTCTGAGCACAAAGAAGGGGGGGGGGGCAGATGAGCATCAATCTGTGTGTAATCTCCTGCAGTGTCCCAGATGGCTTAGTGATGGCTGACAGTGCAGATTAAAACAATCAAAATTCTCTACCATTTCTCTCCCACTGCAGGCTTTCCTTCAGTCACACAACATCTCACTCCATTTTGTTCCCTGAGAGGCTTCGGCTGTGCAAACACACACTGACTACATCGCAGACTCGTGTAGAGATATGAATGTACATATTTATCTGAACCTCTGCTGCAGTCAAGATAGTCAAGCTATCTAAGTTTCCAAAGAAACCAAATATGACAGGCTGAATTCATAGTATTACATTTTGGCATTGTGGTGACCATTGCGTCTCTGCGTCAAAATAAACATTTAACTGAATTGAATTTAGATCTCAAAATCACAAGTATAGAGTAAGTATATGATAGTGTGTAAAAATAAAAAATATCACAACTTGCGAATTACCAATATTGTTGAGTTCAAATAAGAAATTCTGACTGAACAGGATGTTGTTCCAACCTGTGCTTGTACTGGATGCGGTCCAGCTCCTGGTAGCTTAAGCCAAGATTGATGCCAATGACACGCCAGTCCTGTCCTATCTGAAGAGAGATGGACAGCAGGTTGGCTTCTGTCAGATAGCCACTCTCAGGGTCACCTAGGTTCAGAGGAGGATGCTGGAGCTCCTCCATGATGTAACTGTTGTCCGAGTTTAGAGCCTATCACAAGAGGGGAGATAATATATGCAGTGTTCCCTCAGGTTTTGATGTTATTTATAGGTAGCAGCTAACAAGCACAACATTATTTTGCATCGAGTTTAGATGCTAAATAATAATGCGGATGCGAGGAACATTGTACATATTTTTTCTTATTTCTAACAATATACACATATTCTGAAATCATAAAGATATAATCCAATATCTTAAATGCACAACATATTCATACTAATTTACATACTGTCCAGAAACACAAAAATATTAAATAAGGAAGGAAAAAAAGTCATTTCCACTGACAGGAAGTCTTAGTGGTAAAGTTGCAAGCCACTGGCTGTCATGTCCTTTCCTCTTTCGTGCCACTTCCTCTGGCAGATTGCTGGGAATCTCCCCTCTATAAAAAGATACCTGGAACAGAGGTCCAAAGCATATTGTCAGTGTGTTGTCCGAACAATACATAACTAACTGATTGGACAAAATAACAACACTTCACACTAAGTAACCACAAAGATGGAAAAATCCATTAAATGTTAACACAATGCAATAAAAAAACATACTACCAAATAATTACTACCTTACATAAAAAGTTCTGCTTACAATGGTTTTATTTGGGACCAATAATTTAGCCGTTAATGTTTTAAGTCATTTCTACAGTACATTTTAGGGCTGAAATTTGCAGTTTGATGTATCATTATGTTGAAAGGTGTTTTAAGTGTGCACCTCTTTTACATACACAGCACGATACAAAAACACCCCAGAACATCTCACAACAAGTTGAATCAACACATTTCTGAGTGACCAACCATTAAAGATGGTTTAGCAGTATTTATTACTGGATTTGTATTTCATTACGGAGAGCAGAGTTTCTCCTGTTCTGGTTACATAGTGTAGAATATGCTGTATTGTATGTGGATGGGTGATGTGTACAGTCTTTTACTGTAGGTCAAGTCATGAAGTCCTTGCACCATAGTTACCACTATTTAATCTGGATTTATAAGATACACAATGTGACTATACGTGATTATACGTTTTCAAAAACAAAATATGTCAGAATACATTTCCAGCCACTGCACTCTCTCATCTGCTGAATATGATGTCCGTCTTACTTGTCCTCTCACTGGCCCACTCTGACCCAGAGCTGGACAGATGTACACTTCCTTCAGATTCTTCAGGCTGGAGTAAAACTCAAAACAAAGTCTTCCGTGCACACAGTCTGGTCTGTCTGCAGAAAACAGGAACATATCATCTCAAGGCTTCATGCAAAAACTGTTTCAGGACAATTATTACACAACAGCACATCATGAGACCTTGGAAGGAAAGGGAACAGAAGAAAAAATGTTTATTTAAGATAGAGTTTCAAAGAGGACTTCAGACCTGCACTGATATCTAAGCCCCTCTCAAAGCCGGCAAAGAACTGCTCTCCTTCCAGCAGGTCACACAGGTCTGAAGGCTGAGGTCCATCATACTGCTCTGACAGAGACTGCACTCTGCCTTCCACCTGGACAGGAAGCACCATAATCATTGTTTGGCATTCATGCATAAACATTACGCTGGCTTTCACACCCATGGTGAAATCAGTTGGACTCAAACAGAGACACAGGCTGCCCTGGTGTAAGTATTTCTGATAAACTTCACAGTTACTGCACGGAGAGAATTACAACCTTGTTAGCAGGTAAACACTGTAACAAAACTTGTGAGGGATCAGTCTTCCGCTGGAGGACGAGGAACTGGACCTTAAACTGTTTTAGTCTTTGATAGACCTTTCTGACCACCCCACTAACACAGCGCTGAGTGGTGTACCACAGCCAGTACCTGCAATGGTTGACAAAAAGCTGTATTGATACAGTGTAAATATATAAATCAAGCCTACATCATGAGAATATCTTACAGGCACTTACCAGGAGAAATGTGTTATGTAGAAAATGGCATACAAATGAGTGACGTAGAGAGACACTTGTGATGTGATATCAGTCCAGGTTTGGGCAGTGGGGTCTCCATGGAGCAGATGCAAACAGGTCGTATCAACTGTATGGCCTGCAGAAGCACCACACATTTTAATACATGCTGATACATCCTGTTCTAAACATGTAAAAAATGACATACTGTACCTGTGACTCCAGGTGGCAGTGGGATCTGAACTTTGACAGGCTGCAGGAAATGTACGTTAGGAGTCTGGGAGAGGCAAAGGAGAGGGCTGACCCTGGCCTGAGGATCCCCACATAGTGTTTGTACCTCTGACACCGACACCTGCAACACCTACAGAAATAGAGGAAACGTAAAGCCGTGAAGACCATTAATAGCCACACCGACAGACTGATGTGGTGATTTTCCACTTGCAGTGCCTACCTGTAAAGTTATGGTGCGGGTCTGTACGGTAGAGTCTGGTGGGAAGTGGAGCTTGATTCCGGGGTCAGAGCTGGACACCAGCAGGGCTCCAGCTGGTGTAACAGAGCAACTGTCCTTCACTGGACAGGACACTGCCATAAACCAGGAGAACTGGCGCACTGAGCAGCACGCCAGCTACAGGTACAACAGGTAATTTTAACAATAATGTTACAATTCGCACAACCAAGAAAAAGACATGTTGATATTATAATATTCTTGTGAATTGGGAAGATTGTGCTTTACCCTGGCTGGACGTCCTCCGGGGTGACTGCTATGGTTGTCGCTTCCCCTCCTTAGATCAGTGGGCAGAGTGCTCCATGAATGTCCGTCAAACCTCCGCACGACCACCTCCCTTCTTTTAGCTCGATGATATGGCACACATACTTCCACAGGCTGCAAGGATTTTAAAGTTGAAGTAGATTTACATCATGAAAGTGCAGAAGAGAACAGAAGAGGGAGGAAAAATAACATATGACTCATGAAATAGAGATATATCAGTCCAATAGGCAGAATCAATATCTGCGTAGATACTGACCTTATTCAGCAGATCAAATAGCAATGAGATGACTGATCTGCTTTAAATACAGTTTCTTTGTGAGTGTCATTATAAATAACCACAGTCATTCAGTCAGTGCAGGCTAACAAGTCAGTTTTTAGAGCCACAACAATCTATGGCCTCATGTTACCTTACATAAAAATGATTCCAAGGAGTTCCAGCAAGGTACATAGTTTTTAAATTTAGAAAAAGAAAGCTCTGGTATTGGGTCGATTCTTGTATTGCCAGACACCCAAAGTTGAAGTAACAGGATTGTGATCAAATGATCAAACTTAGCTCAGTGCATTCCAGCTATAAAATGTTCATGTTGCTGTATCTGTTCAGGACAGCCTTCACAATCGTGATTTTGGAGAAGTTATGTGGATACAGATGTGAATAAATTAAGTTTATTTACCTTAAGAAATGTAATTCCATGGGGACGAAGTTCCAGAGGACGACTCAGTAGGATGTCATGTTCCTCCAACCAAACCCACTTCCTTTCTGGCCTTTTCTCACACCACTCCAGCCTTGTGGTTTTCACCAGGCACCCCGGGGGGAAAAGCAGCTCAGCCCCCCCTGGGAGAAACACATGACACCCAGCAGACGAAACACAGAAACTAAGGAACAAAAGAAGTATCAGAATCCCCTTAACTGCCAATATTATTAAAGAGGATGAGAAGATATCTGCATGCTGAGACTGACACTGTACCTGTGTTGCTTAAATCCAAGGTGCAACTCTGGAATTTTTGGTTCAGCTAGATCTGGTAAGAAAACAGTAATGTTACTGAGACTATATGTACTGACAGCATGTAAATACTATCTGATGAAACACAGTCAAAATGATTTGAGCACTAAATCAATTTGAAGCCCTTTTTTTTCTTCTCTGCTCACCAGGTGTAGGAGGGAGAGGAGGAGGGGTCGGGGGTTGCCCCAAAGGATTGTCACGCACATCTATTTTCAGCAGAGGCAGTTTGTTCAGACAATGGGGGATCAGACGGAGGTCATTGCTGTAGATGACAAGCTCCCTGAGCGAAAGGAGAGAGCCTGGGCAACAAGGCAGAGAGGTTTCCACATTTTTTATTGCGACATTTATGATTTTCACAAAATGACAACTACAGTATATTGCTGTAATGGACTTTCCTCAACACACCCACTCACCCATACACCCTTACCCATGGTCTCTGGTAGCCGTTTCAGCTTGTTGTGGGACAATTCCAGCTTAACAAGGTCCTCCAGAGAACCAATTTCATCAGGCAGATGCTGGAGGAGATTATGTGAAACATCCAGTGTCTGTAGTGCTTTCAGCTGACCCAGACTCGGGGGAAGAGAGACAAGCTCATTCCCCAGGAGGGAGAGGTAGGTAAGGGAGGACAGCTGGCCTAAATCAGGAGGCAAAGCTGAGAGGCAATTGTGACAGAGAAGCAAGGAAGTCAGCGCAGGGATGCTGAACATGCAGGAGGGCAGAGAGGAGAGCTGGTTAAAGGAGAGATCCAAGTGCACCAGATGAGACAGGGTGGAAAGAGTTGTGGGCAAAGTGGTGAGGAGGCCGGGCAGCGGATCACCTTGCGAGTCATAAAAACAGTATCCTTTAATTAGAAAGAAAAGTTGGTCAGAAACAGAAATATTGGAGCAAAGCAAGGAGAAAAGAGAGAAGGACATAACAGATCATAATACATTAACATAGTATTTACTGTATCCACTTAAGTATGTGAAAGTAAGCCATTTAATCATCTATGCCAACATGCAACTGATACCACATTAAATTCATCAGAAAAATACCCCGAATAGCCAGTGAGCGCAGCTCTGTCAGATGGGGTACGACATCCAGTGCATCGTCTAGCCCTGGTTTATCTTCAGAGCCCAGTCTCAGGTACTGGAGGCCCTTCAGCTGCCCAGGGATGGACGCCCATAGCAGTGGCAGTGCAGAGGCTCCTCCCTGGTACACATCCAGGGTCAGCCTTGTATCAGTCAACACAGCTGAGAGCTCCACAGAGGGAGGCAAGGGTGGAGTCAGAGACAGGACAGAGGAAGAGGAAGATGAGGATGGGGAAGAAAAATTGGTATGATGATGGCTGGATGAATACAAGGAGGAGGAGATGCTTGACATGGAAGGACTGCAGGTGTCCATGATGCTGGAGGGAGACACAGAGGGAGCAGCTATGCTCTCATCCCTCTCTGGCTCCAAGATTCCTGCTTGGCCCTCAGACATCACACCACTTGGTATCGTAGGTCCAGTAATGTCCATAAAAGGTAATCCACCTTGGGATGCTGTCGTTTCCACCTCTTCTCCATCCTCCAACCTGTCTGTCCTCACAATCCAACCGGCTGCCTGGTCTCCATTCACTTCATCATGAGCTCCATCTTCCTCGCTGCACCTCTCCATTGAAGCCACTGTTTATGACACTACACAGCTGGCTAACAGTCACCTGCTAGTCCAATATTGTCCGGGAGATTTTCTTTCTACCTGTGTCTGTAACGTTACTCATGACAGGACCGGATATGTTCATTGCCATTACTGCCAGCCAGCGCTAAATGACTGCCATGAAAAGTTATATTTTACTAGACATGTTTGCTATGTGAAGGTAGTAGTAGCTATTAGCTAACCACAGCTATGTTACGCTGTGTTAAGCTATGAACGTCAGCTAAGAATTACATATCTACTGACCTCTGTGGCTACGTTAGACATTTAACTACTGCTGCTTACAAGCTAATACAGTGTTATTTACGAAATAATGTGTAACATTGGTCTTGGGGTTAACCTATTTCTCCACTCCGTTTACTTCCTTGAACTCGAATGTTTTTGAAGGAAAGCCTTTGCATCATAGTCAGTCGTTCGATTTTCTTCACAGCGTCCTCTGCGTAGCGACGGGCGGAGTGTATCTATGAGTATCGGTTTAAAAATAAGAAGCCCCGCCCGTCCGCTTATTGTTATGCCTAAAACCGAGCGCCTCCATGCTAGCACCGCCAAAGTTTCAATTCAGGGCGGGACAGATGTGCTCAACGTGTAGCCTCGCTGTCATTCCCTGCTCGGACATTTGGTGGCGCCGTTTGCCCATGGCTCCCACTGTAAACATTTCTAATGACATAAAATTCAAATGTCTACTGCGGAAACCACCAAGAGAAGTAGTTATAGTTGTAGGCTACTTGTTATTGTTGGATCATTGCTTAACCTAAGTGTTGAATTTTAGAAAAAGGTATTTCATTTTACCCAAAAAATCTTATTTATTCATTCATTAAATTTTTTTTTCATTTTTACTAATATGACAGCCAGACACATCAAACAAATCGAATAAAAAAAAGTTTAGATCCTTTTAAAATAAATTTTGAAAATCAGTTTTGAAATTCACCATTTAAAGACAGGAAAAGGACATAATTGTTTTTCTCTGAGTTTTATAGTGCATAATTGAAATTTAATCATTTAAATTACAACTTTTTTTTTTTTTAACTCAGTTTATTTTTTTTCTCAGTTTATTAACTGATTATAATAAAACACAGCAAAAGTATATAAATGATTTCAGTGTCATATCTTTTCAGATTAAGATTTTACCACACACAAAGCATATGATCATATAATGGAATCATTTTTATATAAATAACAACCCAACAGTATGCAAGGTTGTAATATAATGATTCTAATATTATGTAATCTTCTGACAAGGGCCATTCTGGTGCCTAGTGTTGTACTCTTTATATATATATATATATATATATATATGTCTCTGCTGTTACTACACCTGCATTTTTACTTTGGTAAAATTATGAATTCAGGGCTTTTACTTGTAATGAAGTTAAAGATCTCAGTACCATTCACTGTGTTCCATTCATAGCTGATCATTAAAAACTGCATTGCATTTTAAAAAACATGTCAAAAGTTCATCTCTGTTGTGGAAACCATTTAATCATAGTGAAAAGAATTTGTTCAGTTCAGATATTGTTCCAAAGGCCAACAGTGGTACAGTGAGATATTTGGGCACAATAACAAAATGCTCCTCAGAAATCCTCCCAGCCTCCCAGTGTGGCAGTCATCTCCTGGTCAGGCACATTTCACCTTCCAAGTCACGTCTTTTGTAGCTCAGCCAGAATGACATCTCTGTTGTGAATCCAAGTGAGTCCTTGTAAATGAACACAATACAAGCGCTTAACAAACCTACTTAATCTCAACATTTTTCCCTCATCCAACATCCCCTCTGCACCATATATAGCCTGCCCAACTGCCTCCATGTTCTCAAGTACAAAGCATGCAAACATGCATAGCATAGCAGGCATGGCAGCTTCATTATTTTACCAGACAGGTTTTCTTTTCTGTGGAACTTTATTAGGTAATATTAACGTTAATACCACATGAGCACAGTATAAATAAAGATATTTCAGGTCTTAAAAGTAGATTTTGACACAGGGCCCCTCTAAAAGATAGGGCTAAAAGTTTAGATAATAATGCACGACCTTTAGTTTCATTGTACTTTGAAGGTGCAAATTCCTATAGGATCGATGCATTTTATCAAAACAAAAGGTGAACTCAGTGAACCTGAGACTTTTGGGCCCGTGGGGGAACTGGGGGAAGAAGGGATACTTCTTACCATGAACCCTAGCTGGTGTTACTTACACAATAGGAATATGCTCTCTTAGGAATCATGTCCTAAACATAACCTGGATCAATGCCCACAAAAAGTGACTATTTGCAGTCTAGTTCTGTGAATAGTTTATTCAAGGAAATGTTCCAGAAAAACATTTCAGTGTTATTGTTGAACGTGTTTCAGATGCAAGAGATTTGTAATGTCATTATTCTGTCTTGTGAAAGCCTACTACCATTTACTATTTTGTAACCAGGACATTGCAAACAAGCCAGATTTGTTCATCTTTATTATTAGGACTGGTTCTATTTCGCCTCATTGAATAAAGTTTCTCAAACCTAAAAAGATATGCAGGCCATTTCTTGAAAAACACTGAAAGTGTTTGTCAATTTTAAAATGACTACTACAACAAATAAACAAAAAAAGATAACTATTAGTGAGCACAATTGCAGTTTTCCTTTAATCGATCTGCAAACAATAGGTTTATCTATCCAATATTAGTCTACATACTAGGAAATCAATATAGAGTTCTTCCTAATGATAACACCTATTACGAAAGAAAGTCCCAATATAGCCTGTGGGGAACATTTGACAGCAGTCAAAGTGAGGCGAATGTCCGTTCACAGACTTCACGTGTGTTTCAGCGGTGCGAATTGTGATTGGTCATTTCATCAACTGTTCCAATTGTGATTGGTCAGTATGATCAGCGCTGTCGATTGTGATTGGGTAAACCGGTTTACTGTGCGCCCACCTCCCAACACACACCAAGCAAGTGTGTAAAAGTAACAACAACTCCCCGTGGTTCACCATATCGCTATATAACCAGCTAAGGACTGCTTTAATAGAACATTTACCAACGGGGTTTAGCTTCAGTACAAGAGATTATTTGTATTTTCAAACAATGTCAACTTAGCGACTCACCTGCAACGAAAGAAGTGACTTCTACCGTTAGCTAGAGAGCTAAAAACAGCTAGCAGGAAAAAGACAGCATGTGAAGAGACATCAATATCAAAAGGTGAACAGTATTCAGTCCTAAAATTAGACTCTTTGTCCTTCTGTAGTCGTTAATATTTGTGAGTGAACTTTGCCTTATTGTTAGCCAACGACCTTAGCCCCACTTGACACAGCTCCGGACGGTCACCGGTATGTTCCCGTTAGACTCGCCGTGGAACATCTCGTTTGCGGGTTGTGGATTCCTCGGCATCTATCACGTCGGTGTGGCCAGCTGTCTGCTGGAGCAGGCCCCTTTTTTGGTCCAAAATGCCAGGCACATATACGGGGCATCAGCTGGGGCCCTCACTGCCACTGCCCTGGTCAGTGGAGTATGTCTCGGTATGTGCATTTTGTTTCGTATTTGAAGTATTAGTGTGGGGAGGATTCAGAGGATTGCTTCTGGTGTAAACTGCTTATGTTAAAGTGTATCTTTTTGGATGTACACTGTAAACAAACTGGATAAACAGCAAAATGCACTTAAAGTATCGAACCTTTTCGTTCCCAAATGCGTCCTTTTGGATGAATGAAACTCTAGCTTATCTTTATCTAATCGAGTATTTGTTAACTCGTGCACATTTATGAGGTCTCATTGAGTTCTCAACAGTTCCCATATACCTTTATTTAATGTTTTCACAGGAGAGGCTGGTGCAAGTATCATCGACGTTGCCAAAGAGGCTAGAAAGCGATTCCTGGGACCCATGCATCCTTCTTTTAATCTGGTGAAGATTGTGCGTCACATGCTGCTGCGCACTTTGCCAGCTGATTGCCACCATCGGGCGAACGGACGGTTAGGAATTTCTCTCACCCGAGTGACAGATGGAGAAAATGTCCTGGTATCTCACTTCAACGACAAGGAGGAGCTGGTGCAGGTGTGCACTGTGTAGTATATTTTCCCCAATACTTAGCAGAAGAGTGGGTTGATATTAATGATGTCAGGTATCATGAAAGACTTGATTTAATACTTAAATACTGATATTATGACAGTATTTTGGGGATGCCCATGGGTGCTTTCAGATGCCATTTACATACAAGAGCACTTAAAGACAATTAGTAATGAGGATGGTGCAGTCAATTATTATGCAAAATGCCACACAAATGCCTCAAATGTGAGGATTTATTGCTTTTCTCTGTGGAAAATTGTGACAGGCCTTTTTCACTTTTTTAGACATTTTTAGATCATGCAATGAATCACTTACATGAAAAAAAATAATCCTAAAATTAATTACAAATGAAGACAATTGTTAGCTGCCGCCCATAGTTGAGTTCATAGAGCTATGTTAATAGAAGAAATAAATTTAATTTAACTGTAATGTATCCTTTAAGACCAGAAAAATACAAAAATCAAGCTATATCATGATCACTACGACAATGCAGTATGCTGAATAATGGTATCACAGTATTCATAAAACATCATTATACTGTAACATTCAACCATAATGTTTACAGTGTAATTCTTTTAGTTTTATTCAACCTTTTTGTCTGTTTCTGTTCAGTCTTGTCTAAATGTGTCAGAACAACAACAACAGCTGTATTTCTTTTTAGATTACTTAGTCCAGTTGTGTTTCTTATATATTTTTTTATGAATTAGGCATGTGTCTGCAGTGCCTACATCCCAGTGTATTGTGGCCTTATTCCTCCGACACTGCAAGGAGTGGTGAGTAGATTTAATATTATTCAGCATTTCTCTACTTTTCCTTCTGTTGCCAATATCCTGTTTTGGGGCTAATGGAGATAAGTTATCATTTTGAATTAAGAACTAAACATACAGTAGGTAGTACTGTTGGAGAGGTGTAATGGCCACTTTTCCCTCCTGCTTTGCTTCAATCATGTACTATATTTTCTCTCATTGGGTTTAGTTGTTGTTACTTCTGGCACGTTTTTGGCCTGTAAGTACCCACTTCAGAGCCCTCCCTTCCTCAAGAATGTGTTTGTTCTGAATGGCACGTGTGTGGAAACAATGATTATAAAATTCCCCAGGAGTTAGTGTTTGTCTGAGATCTCACACTAAAGGGGAAAGTAGAACTTGTAATTTTTTTCTGGACATGTTTCTAGCACAGAGGTTATAATATCATTGAGCAATACCAGCGTTCCCAACCCTCCCTTTGTGGCCTTTGTGATGGGTTTTAAGAGTTTACATATGCTTGTGTGTATGCAGGGCTTGTGAACAAAATTTGAGAGTGGCAGAACCAGATGTTACCGAGTTGGCCCAGGCTTTAGGGTTGTTCTGTCCTTTCCTCCCCTCAGTGACTCACATTCAAAAAACTGATGTCACTCTGATCTTATCTGTTGACACACTCGTGTGTGTGCCTGCCAGCACTGGGTTGAACAGTTCAGAAGCTTCAATAAAAACAAACATTAATCGATATGCAGGATATGATGTCATTATAATCATACATGGTGATGACTGTTCTCTGGCCAAATATGCTCTTATTACTTCAAAGGATTCACAGTAAATATTTTGTAGATGTTGTACAATTAATGATCTGCATCTGTTTTCTCCAATACTAACATTTATCTTTTATTGTTCAGCGATATGTCGACGGAGGAATCTCAGACAACCTGCCTCAGTATGAGCTGAAAAACACCATCACTGTGTCCCCGTTCTCTGGGGAGAGCGACATCTGCCCCCGAGACACCTCGACCAACATACATGAGCTGCGATTCACCAACACAAGCATCCAGTTCACTCTCACCAACCTCTACAGAGTCTCCAGAGCTCTTTTCCCTCCAGACCCAATGGTAGGACATCTGATAACATTCCTGATCAATATGCACACACACATACATCTACAGATACAATTGATTTGCTCAGTTGAACTGGAGTGAACTCTTCTTTGACTCATGAGAGATGAATGTATGTTTGTTTTGAGTACAGATTATGAAGGCCATGTGTAAACAGGGATACAAAGATGCTTTGCACTTTTTAAAGAGGAATGGTAAGAATCTGCGATTTGTGTTTATTCTAACTTTCTTCAAAGCTCTTTTTTAATAAAAAACCGGGGTCTGTACTAACAAGCCTAATTGATCTTTTGTCCATTGGCCAGAAGGTATTAGTGCATTCACACTGATATGCTATCAGAGCTTGTGCTTCCTGTGACCGCATGTCACCAAATCAGTAGATTGCTTTTCCTTGTGATTCGGCTTGTGTTGCTCCCTATGGCTTCTCATGTTGTTTTGCTTGCATTTATTCATTCATTTATTTTTTCAGCATTTTCATCTGCATGGGATTGCAAAATAAACTAACATATGTTGATTATTATTAACTTGTAGACTAATTAAGAAATAACCTCGACACTGATCACAGATTAAAAAAACACTTTCATATCTGCTTTTCTTTTCAGGATTGCTTAATTTCAATGGACCTCTCAGAGACAGACCCCTGCTAGCTAATGGAGAAGAAAAGGAGGATTACAATGATGATGATGAAGAGGAGGAGGAGGATGATGATAAAAGTGATGAAGAGGAAGAGAACCCACAGAAAGAAGAGAGAGCAGTGGTGATTCATTCCTCAGTAGAGGAGCATATCATCGAACACCTTCCGCCTACCCTGCACAAAGGTAAAAACACTACAGAGCTTCTTTTAAAAAATGTATATAGACTTTGTACTATAAATTACATCTAATTTACTTTATAGCTGACAATCCACAGTGTGCAGTAGTGGTTTATTGTTTTAAAAGTGTTTTAAGGTTTCTATTCATATCCATGTAAAAATTAACAGATGTACAGGTGTAATCAGTGATCATCATATCTCCTTTTACACACGACATGTTTATGACATAATACAGTTGACACAGTAGATTGATTTGGAGTTTGTACTGGCTTAATAATACCAAGACAATGTTACAGTTTCAGTACAGTTGAAGAGTTGAATTAAGTGAAGATTTCATTATTTATCAGTTAATTTTAACTTCACATTGTACTAACTTCAAATTGGATGAGGACAAATCTTTCCAGACTAGCTCAAGTTTTTCCAAGTTGATTTTTACACCAAACTAGAGACCGGTGGCTACTTGTAAATATATATATTTAAAATTCAAAACAATGTGAGGTGCTTTTCAGAAGGGTCTGTTTGATATATTGTAATGTACTCTGTCTCCTGTTTTGTTCCTGAAGAATTTTGAATAAAGCTGGGTAAATCTGCGACTAGTTATGGTAACCAGTGAGCACCTCTTTACTTCCCTCTGCAGCTTTAGTTGAGGCGTGCATGGAGAGGAGGAGCCTGGTGCAGTCTCTAAGCAACCTGCTTCCTGTCAGGATGGCCTCGGCCATGATGCTTCCCTACACTCTCCCTCTGGAGTCTGCTATGTTCTTGACTCTCAGGTGCTGTAGGACTTAATTACATGTGGTCCCATTCCCTCCTTACATATTTGACATGCACTCAAAATAGTACTGTGTCTACTCTGGTTTTATATGTGTAGTTATATGTACAGCAGAGATCATTGCACTAATTTGAGTAGATTTTTTTAAAGAATGTTTTTATAGATTAGTGGAACTGGCTATCCTGTACCTGTTGTTGTTGTTGTTGTTGTTGTTGTTGTTGTTGTTGTTGTTGTCGTTGTCATAAAGACATTCAAATATGTGTATACTGACTAACAGCTGCATGTCCTATGTGTAGACTTCTGGAGTGGTTGCCAGATGTGCAGGAAGATGTGGGATGGATTCGGGAGCAGATATTAAAACTTGTGCAGCACGTTCTTCGCCAGGCCTCCAAAAGCATTTCCCAGCATGTATCTGCCAGGTAGGTGACTCTACAATTACACATTTATGCTGTATTGTCACAAAGACTGTAGTTATACATGACTTTTTAAGGCAACATTTAACACCCAGTCATGCCAAAATACATGACAGGTCTGTATGTTCCATGACTGGTTCTAGCCAATAGCTACAGTATGTGAACGTGGCTAGGTTTCGAGTTAAATCTATGATACTCGATCATTTTTGGCCACTTAGGGGCAGCAGAAACAAATTGTGAACACAACATTGATATAATCTTTTAAGTAAACAAATCAAATTCATGAGTAAACATTTGCTTATTTACACATCCATGAGACATGGAGCAACATTAGCATGTATGTGGAGTCATGTTTCTGGAATGTAAGTTCAATATTCACTCTGCTTTAGCTCAGTTTGTGGTCCACTGTTCACCAGCTAGTTGCTAATTACGTCTTTCTGCTGTTTGAGGCTGAGCAGTAATAGTGTACAGTGGGGGTTTTAAGCTTTTTCACTGAAACAGCTGCCTACTGTGCCCCAAAACAACATTGACAGCAGTGAGAGTGAACCAGTAAACAGTAAAGTTGCAGTCTGACAACTAAACAATGAGCTTAAACGTAGGTTCATCAATACAAGTGGCCCCATTCAAATTGTTTTTGCACTCATTTATTATATTATCATTGTAAAAATATCAGTTACAGCCTCTAATAACAATAAGTGAAACTGTAACAGATGTTTCCTCATACACACCTCTGCATACTCTAGGTTTTCCTACCAGCTGGAGCTACACCACTACCAGTCCCTCCCATACCAACTCAGCTCCACCAACCTGTTTCCCACCTGGGTGAATGAGCGAAGTTCTTCAGTCCAGGATGTCTTCATGCGTCTCGACGAATACAAGAGACAGCTGCTGTCTGGAGTGCTGTGTATCAACATGGACCTGCAAGGCTCCTTCGAAACTGGACAGATGCCACCAAATAAGAGCTCCTCATCCATCCTCTCCACAGAGGGCCTCACAATGCACACAGGTTGTCTTAATATTCCACCTGCTGCCGACTCCGGCAGCGACATCAGCAGCTCCTAAGAGCTTTTGACAGGTTTCTGCTGCAGGTGCTGCAGCTCTGAGATTAAGACATACTTATTCTAGATTCAGGAACATTTCAAACTAATTTAAATCAGATTTTAATATCTGTTTACACCCTGATGTTTAGATACTCTTAAGATACCAAGAAGGTATTTGTAATATAATCAACCCTTTTGTACAGTGGGTGGAAATGGTAGTAATCTACCATATTTACACTTACTGTGTATTCAGTATCTTTTGACTAATGCATCACATTGAAATATGTCTTTTATCTACAGTCTAATCAGGCAAGCCTTTAGACACAGTATGTCTGCAGGCCTACAGAAGTGCATTTAAACTTAGCACATGCACCTAAACAGTCATGTACAAACTTGAGTTATAGGATGTTACAAACAAAAATGCGCACTTGAAGTAGCATGGTTAAAATAGGAGAGTGTTCTTGTTTTAAGTGGAATGCAGTCAGACCAGTAGTTAAACAGAGTGGTTCTGCTGTGTGCATGAAACTCTTAAGTCACTTCTGCCACACAGACAGTGAAGGACTGAAGGAGGGGGGATCTGTTTCCTACAGGTAGTTACTCCATTTATTATATGCAAATGTCAATGCATTATTTTGAAAAAAATACACTGTCTTTATGTTTTAAGGTTTTCTTTGAATGTCATTGTCTTATGTCTTTACAGTTATTTATATGAGAAATATAAAACTGCTTTGCTCTGTTTTCCCAGTGATAGAAACTTGTTTCTATCATTTGCATGTAAGTTACAACTCTTTTAGGTTTAAATTGAAATCTATATATTATTGTATTTCTGCTTTAAAATCTTCTGAACAATGATTTTTATGTTATTTGTGATTAATCAAAGAACCAGTTTGATCTGAATTGCACTTTCTCATTTGATGCCGCTGTACGACATCAGATTAAGTTCTTAGGTAATGACCTACCTGTTTAAATATTTATCTTGTACTGTGTACTACAAGAACTTCTAACTGTATGATCAAGCCCCAACCTGTGCCTTTAACTTCAAAGAAACAATTGCCAAGTGAATTTAACATATTGTCAGAATGTTGCAGGGAAAAATATTTATGTGATTATTAAATAAACTGGTATTGTTTAACATTAAATGCAGCTTATGAGTGTTTTCTCATCGCTATGAATTCTCAGAGATCAGTTAAACAGCAATAATCCTCACATTACCCAGAAAAACTGTGACTTACGATGAAAAGCGCACACAGGACAGGGAACAGTACACATGCTTAACAGAAGTCAAACAGTGGATCGTGGACCTGAAGGTGTATTTGGGAGGCGTCCAGATGATCCCAGCAAAATAACAAATGTCCACTGCTGGTTCCTGAATTGTGAGTATAAAACAGAAATAATGCATTTCTTTTATGTACTACAAGATACAGTTTGACAGCAGCTAAAGGGATAAGAGATTACACACTAGATAGTGTGTATTCATAAAATCCTCTGTCAAAGTAATTAGGAGCTGTGATGATAAAACTCAACTTATGTAATTATCATAGTAATAGATGTTGGGAAGATTCATATAGTTTCATACCTGTAACCATCTAATCACTTACAATGTAGAAAGATTTCAACACTTGCTATATTGAATTCACAGCCTTAATAATAATTCATAGTTTTTCATAATATAGCCAAGCTTTAAGTTTTAAGTCTCATATAGTCCTAACTACTTTCTTTCACAGCAGTGCATTATGTCATATGTCAACTGCTTGTCAAACATACAAATCTATTTACTTAATAAATAAAAGTTAATAAAATTGTGCAATAATGACTTAAGAGATTTATTAGAGACGAGACACTTGTCATAACGCACTGTCAACAATAGAGGCGCATTCCGCCACACTCTTTGTCAGTGCAGTCATATTACAACAGAACTCATCACACACGGTCACAGTTGTGGTCTGTTGCGAAAGCTGTTTAACCGGCTGTGCTTGGTAAAAACAGGGAATCCTGGAACCTAACAAATTACCTTCAAAGACAAAATATTTTTTGAAGTGGATTTTTCAGGCACAGAGATTTTAGAGTACGACATGAAACGTGACAATGCCTTCAAGTGATGTCGGGAAAAATGGGACCTGGAAACTGAATTTCCATTAGCCTACTAAATACCATTTTATATTTATATTTAATAGTCTACCTCTAAAGTTGTAGTGTGGAGCGCATGCAGACTTAATTTTATGCATTTTGATGTTATGTTGGTCTTTGAGTTAATAGATATTTATTCATAATCACCATTAGTCACCATTTTTGTGATGCTCCTAATAAAGTGCTTGATTCTCATTTTCACCCAGGCCCACTATAAGTTTTTCATGAATTGGCTTCAATGGAAAATTTGCACACGATCATAAATAATAACATGTCACTTTACTGGTAATTGCGTGTGTGCATGCGGACTAGATGGTGTCTTCAAAGTAATCAATCAACCAAAAGTGGTTGTGCAGCAGTGGAAAACAAAACGCAAAATAAAAACATAAAGCACATGAACACATCATATGAACACAAAATAAATAAATAAATAAAAACCACAAAAGATTTAACAAAAACATTTTGTTTTAAACATTTGGAATTTAGGTCCTAGTTACATGTGCTCATGTCACAAAAAATAAAATATATTAATGTATCATAAAGTATTTATTTGTAAAATCATTAATCAATTATTCTGCACTATTTCTATAGGCTAATTGTTTTATTATGTTTGTTTTTATTTTTATTTATTCAACTACAAATGTTATTCAACATTGTTATCCATACGTTATTGCTTGTAGCCTAGTCTATAAGTGATTTATCTATTTTTGGCTGCTTTGAAAATAAAAATATATAATATAAAATATAAAATAAATTATGAGTAGAAATATTTGAATATTATTATAATATTTGAATGGGCACAGGTGCTCATGTCACAAAAAAATGAAATGTATTAAAATTATTTGTACCATATGTGCCTATTGAAAAACGAACCAATTTGTTGATGATTAATCAGTCAAAAGGGTTCTTCGTGTAATTTTTTTGGGCTCATTCATTTATGTGTTTTTTTATTTTTGTTTTGTTTTTAAAATTTGTCATTGTCTTGTATTGCTAGCAGGCAAATTTCTGAGTAACATTTGTAATATGTACTTTTGGCTGCTTTTAAGAAAAGAAAAGAAAAGAAAAGAAAAGAAAAGAAAAGAAAAGAAAAGAAAAGAAAAGAAAAGAAAAAACGCACATTTCCGAGGAGTACCTGAAGGCAGCGAAGGACTGCCACTCAGTCAGAAGTTCGCCCAGAAATTCATGGCTTCGTCTCCATTCTGTCTCCACCAGGGGGCGCAGCCCGGGGGAGGCTCAATCCAAACCATCCACTCCGCTGCTCCTCGTACCATGAGCTGAATCTGTCCGGGACAGACCAGGGAAGATGGCGGCCACTGACCATTCCCGGTCCGAAGCTGCAAAACAGCGTCGGCAGGATCAGCTGCAGCGATGGCTGGGCTCGGAGACGGATCAGACGGGATCAGACGCGCGGGAAACCTCGGGTGGTTCCGGGACGCGGCGGACGAAAGTCCGGTTCGCCCAAGGAGCAGTGTTTATGGCCGCCTGCTCCGCCGGAGACCGGGAGGAGGTGGCAGCGCTGCTCCGGCAGGGAGCTGACATCAACCACGCCAACATAGACGGACTGACAGCGCTTCATCAGGTAGCAAGTTTATCGAGTCTAACTGTTATAAACCGTGTTTGTGTTTTCATTAATTTATTTGTTTATGACTTCACCGCTGAGTTGGTGCTAACTGTCGCTCAACTAGCGGCAACGGTTTATCCGTTAATGATCCTCACAGAGGAGAAGCGTTCACTTAACTTACCGGGGAGTTAGAGGTTAAATCTCCCAGTTAACGTAAATCCAAACATTCCCGTTGCTTTTAACCCAGCTTCTTCTGTAGTTTAAATTGAACTTTACTATCGCCCCAGCAGCAGCATTTGTGGCCTGTGTGGACAGACACAGTTAGGTTAGTAGCCTGTTGGAAGGCTGGCTCATCCGCACTGTTGTACTCAGTAAGTTGCAGGCTTCTTTTTTGTAGCATACAAGCGGGCAGGGGGACAGCAGTTAGCAGTAGGCAGTAAAAACAGCTCTGGGCCTCTGGGATCTTTGTTAGACATTAATAAGCACAGAGTGTCCGACTTGTGACAGCCAGTCCTCGGTGGACTCTCAGTGAAATACTGAGTCGTTGAATTCAGGGAGGATTTTATCATCTGATCAACAGGTTTTTAGTATTTTTCTCAAGGAGGAAAGCAAAGGGGAGTCTTTTGATTAAAAACAGGGCAACTTAGTCAGAAAGAGTGTGGTTTAGCCTTCAGTTTTTTAATTGCAGTTTATGTCCCAAATAGGCTGCACTGGCTTCTCCAGAGCATGTTCCAGCTTTAATGCAGCTCCCTCCCTCCCCTTCATTCAGTCATAACACAGCGGAGCAGTCTGGACAACATCACTGTCACACAAGCCCTTGGTGATGCAGTATTTCCTCTGCTTTTATGATACTGTGTGTCATAAACACATTGCCGCCTCTTCACATACAGTGAACTCACAGTTGGATGGATTTAACTTTGATATCTAAGCATACTTGTCAACATAAGAGATGTTGTGCTTTTAATTTTCTGGCCCACTGGAGCTGAGTGCTGGTTCAGCAGGCCTGTGTGCTTCACTGTGATGTCATTCCCAGAGATGATCGGTGTTTTCCTCCTAATTTAAGACAATTGTATGTATTTGAGAGGCTGCATTCCCATGACCAGTTCAGATGAGTGAGTGAGCATGTTCCTGCCTGGATGTTCAGTAAGTGGGCCCTCTTTTGGTCGATCCACATGTTGGACTGTCACCCAGTGTGGTCCCTCTCCTGCCCTCCATCCCTTCCTCCCCTGTTGCTCGTGGGTTGCCTGGCAACCAGAATTAAATATAGGCCCACACACTCCAAACTTTCCATCCTCTGCATCCAAAGCCTTTCTGTCTTCTCCACTACTCTTTCTCACTCTTTTGCCCCCCTCTTTCTCCTCCTCCTCCTCCTCTCTCTGTCTCTCTTTCTTTTTCTCCTTCCCTTTGCCAATTCCCCATGGAGGGGACTTTGGGGATTTCGGATGAAGAAATGGAAAACATTCCTCAAACAGCACAAGCTGCTGTTGTCAAAGGCCATTTCCACAATGAGTCATTTGATGACACAGTGAAGGAGTCTGCTGGGAGCCTGTGTGTGCACCCTCCTAATGCACAGGGTGCGAGAAATGCCCTCTGTTCATTCATACAGCTTGGAGCACCCACTTGTTTCAGAGGGCTTCCCCTCTGTTGAGAGTGAAGCCTGCCTTTGATTTGCCATGCTCTGGCTCCGGAGCATGCTACAAACCTCAGCTCAGGGTCTCACAGTGACCATGTTTTTGTTTTTTCCACCATACTCCCCGAGTAATTATCTCATATTATGAAGGAGGGATGGGGACTTGTAGCAGCTTTGTGATTAGTTGATTTAGCCCAAAAGCAAAGCCTCTTAGGTGGCTTAAGACAGGACTGATGGACAGGTTTCTGTGTGGGTATAGGCACTTGCTGCTGTGACATCCTGCAGAGTAACTGATAACATTGAATGATTGGAAAGACTGTTACGTTAGGGAGTGTAGTCACCTGATCAGTGTCATCTCATCAGCTGATAGTGATGAAATCTTACATTGAAACATATTCCTTATTTAGGTAGTCCCATGTATGAGATACACGAAGCAAACCAGGAAAATAAGCATACATAAAGGTTGGCTTGATTTTTGTTTTCCAAATAAACATAAGTAGTAATCTATGTGCGTGCTCTTTGCTTACTCCAGTACAGATTAAGATTTTTCTTTTTACATCAGTGAGAATCACTTGAAGCTGATTTCTATCCAGACTGACAAATGATAGATGGATACCAATGAAATCTTTTTTACAGAGGATGAACCTTAAAGACTTTGTCGATCAGCTGACCTTCCCTCTAGCACCACTGTGCGGTTGACATTTGTGCTTTTGAATAAGATGTCTACATTGGTACAAACATTCATGCCCCTCTCAGGATGAATTGTAATGACATGTAATAATGTAATTATTTTTTATCTGGTGCCACCAGCAGGTCAGACTTTCACTTTGTTGTATAATCACATTCCTGCAAAATGAATATAATTCCCATGTCTCAGCTGTAATTTATCTTTCAGAAATTAATAAATGTTAAGGTGAACATGGTAAACAATAACGCTATATCTGCTTAACATCCGCATCTTAGCATTGTCACTGTGAGCATGTTGCCATTTTAGCATTAGCATTTAGCTCAAAGCACAGTTGTGTCCAAGTACATTGTCACAGAGCCATTAGCATGACTAGATGTTTGTTTGTCATTGACTCATAAAATCCTTATTTTATTAAAACGAGTGAAGAATCTTCCTGTGTAGTTAGCATTAAAAAATGAATCACCAATGATTTTTGTAATTGTTGAACTCTTTTATTAAGCAAAAGTGCCTCATGTTTTACATTTACCTTTACATTTATTCATTTGGAGACACTTTTACTCAAAGCGACTTACAAGTGAGGGACAACACTAAAGCTTCAGTGTGGTAGGAGACCTTGATGTAAGCACTATGTACTAAATATATTCAATAAGGCGAAGTGCATGAAGATCAGATTAAGAAGTTCACCGAAAGTGCATAGTGCACAATATTCGGTTTCCAGCTTCATATGATTTCCATCAGACAGTTTCAAGACAAAACAAGCAATATGATGGTATTACCTTGAATTTACAGTACATTCACAAAACATGAAAAAATAATGTTAGTGCATGCTCAGTCCTCACATCATCACAGGCTGGGCTGTGACATTGATAGAGAATCAGTAATATTTTGTGTTATTCTTTGCAGAGAGGTTCACAACTCTCAAAACTTTGGCTGGTCTTTATCAGTTTTAGAGCTAGTTGCTGGTGCACACTGTAAAAACTTTTTCAATCATCTCTGTAAATAATTGAAGCATAAAACCCCTATTTTTTAAAAACAAATGAACGAACTGCTACTGTTGCAAGGTTATTAACTTACAAATTTAATTTGATACTAACTTACTAACTAATAACTTATTTAGATTTTAATTTGACACTAGTGAAGGGATAGTAGGATAGTAGGTGAAATTAAAGCAGCATAACATAACACCATAAGGTTCTCATGGGATTCATCTTGGGACTTGTGTTGGATCACATTGGGATCTTTGCTCGACCAGCCTCAGGAAAAGCAGCTAAATGGATTCGCTGTTCACTCGCGCCATGAAATGACTGTTTTGGAAAGTACTTGAGGGCTTTTAGCAGCCCACTTAACAGAAAGTTTTTATAACAAGTAGACACAGTAGTCATTGTTTTTAGACCCAGTGCTTTAGTTGAATTTAATAGATTTTGGAAGTGTCTTGAGTTTTGACTTTCACAACAAACCAAAAGGGGTCAAGACCTTCTCTACTGTACTGAAACTGGACTCTGACTGACGTGTGCAGTCTGGTTTCTGTTTTTTTAATATGTGTAACAGGGATTCCTATAATAAACAGTAAACACTTGTACAGCAATCCATCATGTGGCTGTGTGTCCTCTGGCAGGCCTGCATTGATGAAAATGCTGAGATGGTGCAGTTTCTGGTGGAGAGCGGGAGTGACGTCAACAGAGGGGACAACGAGGGCTGGACTCCTCTGCACGCTGCAGCGTCCTGCGGCTTCATCCAGATCGCTAAGTGAGTGTTGACTGTCACCACAGTGACACATCACTGTCAACCATTGTGATTTAAATACTCACAGTTATCAGGCCTACAGTCACTCTGAGTCAGTTTAGTGGTAAACATTGTATAGGCATGGACAGGACATTTTAGTGGATGACAGTGAACTCAGTTTATTCATGTGTGTATATATATATATATTATACCATTTTCTGATGTAACTGTTGCAGTCTGAACTGTGCTTTTGTTTTTGAAGATACCTGATAGAACACGGCGCTCATGTCGGGGCGGTGAACAGTGAAGGGGAGCTTCCTCTGGACGTGGCCACAGAAGACGCCATGGAGAGACTTCTCAAAGCGGAAATCAAGAAACAAGGTGAGGAATTGCTGGGTAGCCACGTTAACGCTTCCACTTGACTCAAAGTCCTATGTTGCATCTTATCAGTTCTGTTGCCACATGGCTGTGCGTGCGATCTTTATGACAATCTTAAGTACATGATAACTGTAATATATGACGTGTTTTGGTTATCATTATATATTTTATATAATTTTAATTATGAGTGCGAGAACTGTGCTTAATTGTTTGTCATTTTTCATTTGCCAAGCATTTGGTGGTTACTGCCTCAAATATGAGTTGCTGCTTTTTCTGCTTTATGTCATTGTAAATTGAATATCTTTGAGTTTTGAGTGGTTCAAGGTATTTGAACATGTGACCTTTGGTACTAGGAAACTGTCAATGATGGCGATAATGTAGATGATCAGATGCTTTTAGGTGCTTTAATGTCTTGGTCCATGTTGTTTAAATGACCGATTCCCTACAACTTTGGCATCAGTTATTTATTGAAGGCAGAATCAATTAGGAAATTATACAGAGATCTAATTGCATAGAGCAAAAGAAAATGGTGATGAAAATCTCTAAATATCTGTCTCATAAATATATAGATTCAAAACTTCCTTTGCATTTTCGTTTTTACAAGTGGTCACGATTAAAACGCCCTCATTCTGAATCGATGAAAATAGGCCAAGAAATGAGGACAGAGTCATGATTTGTACCAAGTGTTCTTTGAACTTCATAGCACTGATGTGCACAGAGGCTCCAGGCTTATATCTTCATCACTGTTAAACTCACAGTTTGCTGAGATCCAAATGCAACTGAAACTTTTTCTATTTCTCGTCCATACACACTGAGCAAACATCATACGTTAAAAATTAAACTGGCTGGGGATTTTCAGTTTTGGAAGCTCATTTGCCACTGTGTGTTTATGTGTGCGTCACAGGCATAGACGTGGACAAGGCCCGAAAGGAGGAAGAGAGGATCATGCTCCAGGACGCCATGGCGGTGCTGGCAGGAGGTGGCACTCTCACACCTCACCCAAACACTAAGGCGACCGCTCTCCATGTTGCCGCTGCCAAAGGCTACATTGAAGTCCTGAAGTGAGCATCAGTCCACACACACACACACACACACACAGCAATGACAGGTTGTTAGCTTTTGTCGTATTTTGGTGTCACACCAAGTCAAACAGCTTTTATTCATGGCCTTGTTCCTCATTCTCTCCCTCCTTGTTCCCTCCCCTCTCCCTAACCTTGCTCAGGGTGCTGTTACAGTGCGGGGTGGATGTGGACAGCAGGGACACGGACAGCTGGACGCCCCTGCATGCAGCAGCTCACTGGGGGCAGGAGGAGGTGTGCACCCTTCTCGCTGACAACATGTGTGATATGGGTGCCGTCAACAATGTGGTGAGCAGGAGACAAACAACCTTTGCTTGGCGTTCTTCTGTGTCTGTGACTGAAGCCTTAGATCGCACCGTGACTGATCATATGCTGTGAATGTCCTTGTAGGGCCAAACACCTCTAGATGTTGCCGATGAGAACCTGGTGGACGCTCTGGAGGAGCTACAGAAGAAACAGAATGCTGTGAGTCCCACCTTCACACAGGATCCACGACTATCCGACTCAGTTATTTAAACCTGATATGATTGATAGTCTTACAGCGGTGAATGTTCTCTGTGTTTATGTGTGTTTATATTCCTCTTCAGTTACGCAGCGAGAAAGAGAAACAGACTCCTGTTATTGAGACCAGCCCGCAAATCTCCATGGTACCAGTTCGCGCACGCAGGTCAGTGCCAGTGTGTTGATGTGTCGGGGTGTGTGTGTATGTGTGTGTGTGTGGGCACACGCTACGCTGTTCCTCAGCTGAACCCCAGTAATCCCAGTACCAGTTGTCTGCATGCAGGTATAATGTTTACAGTCCCAGCATTCATGTGAACCACGTTACTTCTATCCACTGACATTGTTCTGGATAGATGTAGCGCTCAGTGACACTGTGTCCCAGTATCAAGCTAAATACTAACTGTACATACAACATAAAGAAATATAGTATATTTAAAAAAAAAAAAAAAAAAAAACTTCAGCGTGGTGTAAATACATATTTTTGTCCCGCAGTGCAATGCTGAGCAGAAAGAGAAAAATAATTACCTTACAAGAGCATCTCTGCCATAACAAAGGAGTAGAATAGAAAGAGAAAAAAATAAAGTAATCAAAGTAAAATGAGATTTTATATCGGCTATATTTATTTAATTTTTTTATATGTATTGTTTTCAGCAAAATCCTGTGGTTTGTGTTTAAAATAACAGATACGAATATTTCTAAAATATTGCTAATCCAGCAAATTAAATACCTGACAGATCCAATTAAATAAATAAAAATCCAACATTGCCATGAAGCAGCTGTGCTCATTAATTTAACAGTCTACAGTCAACAGTCAACATTAGCCACAACAGTCTAATACACCTAGAGATGTATGCAATAGTTACCACATAATGAGTTTATGTATGTCCCATTCATTATGCACATGAATTCTAAGCAGGGTATGTAGAGTGAAACGTGTCAAAATAAGGCAAATTATAAACATTCACTGTGCATGTTTAAACTATACCATACTCTCATAATGCAACACTGATTTCTTTTATTGTATGTGTGTATATTATTGTATATACATATACAATTAGTATATAGTGTGGAATTGGGACACAGTAATTGTTTGCCATTTGTGTGGGTGCTGTGCTGCTATTTTATCCCTGTTGGTTTGTGTAAGATTTGCATCATCACATGAAGAAAAGATCAGACAAGCTGTAAAACAGGCGATTTGGAAAAACACATTGGTTAAAGTAACATGTAGCATGTAAATGGTGATAAGACAGCAGTTCTACACACGGCATCACAGAAATTGACCCCACCGTCCCACCCACTGGTGTGTTGATTGGCGCATGCTCGCTCTAATTGGCTGCACATGGAATGATTGCCTTCACTGATCAGCTCCCTGCATGCCACCTGTTGTTCCACCCCACCTTGGCCCCGCCCCTGCAGGACATCTATCTCTCGTATGAGCAGTAAGGAGAAGATCTGCCTCCACGAGCGGGAGAAGCACCCACCTCCTGCCCTGCAGAGCAGTCCGGCTGAGGACGAGGAGGAGGAAGGCCAGACGGGACAAAGTCAGTCTCAGAGCCAGGCAAAAGCTTCCAGCAGCTCCAGCTCGGAGGAGGAGAGTGAATCTGAGAGTGATGCAGAGTCAGGTGTGAGAAAGTTTCCTTTTTTTGAAGGAAATCTTTGGTATTGCTGCTAATCAATATTTAAGCAAAGTGTGTTTAAGAAGTAACATGTTTTAGCAGATCAGAATTTTATGATTTTATGGTGTACCTCATGATTCATTAATTGCTGACCTTTGCACGGTTGCAGAGAAAGCGAAAAACCGAGAGATCATAAATAACTTGAACAACAAACGAAACACCAGCAGCCTGCTTCCTACCTCCATGTCAACGAGTACTGCTGCAAGCCAAGTGAAAAAGGTCATATATAGAGTTATTATATAAACAATATCAAATGGCTATTTTAGCTGCATAACAGTACTAAATAACAGAAATGGTGACTTTTATTGGCTGATTAGCAGGAACCAAGCAAACCCACAACCACTGAGGCCCCGGGCTCCTGGAGAACATCTCTGAGGAAGGCTGGTAGCTCGGTGACTCTGGGCTCAGTTGGACTGTCTGACTCCAGCCAGGACGCCAGCAGACCTCCAGAGACAGGCCTGGGCATGACCCGCTCTGCCTCCAGCCCCCGCCTCAGCTCCGAGGCTGACACCAAGGTACGCACCACAGGCGCCCACATGATTCAAGCATTTATACACCCGTGAAACCACAGCTATTATTTTATAAATCCAGCATGACGTGCCAAATATAGGCTTCTTTTACAGCTTCCATTCACTGAGTCGCATAAATAACTGATGAACTGCTCTCACCCCTCGTCGTCAGGAGCCAAGGCTCGCTAGGGTACCACCCATTCCAACAAGGAGACTCTTCAGTATTCCAGACAGCAGCCCTGACAACTCCAACAGGTGGGCCTGTGCTCCGATATGCTTCCTGCACTTGTGAAACCAGAATCTGTTTTTCTGAGTCACTGCATATGTGCCCTTGTCACCTTGTCTGTCTCCTTCAGTTGGCTAAGCCGTAGCTCCTCTTACACCCGGCGCCTTCATAGTCAAACAGGGAATGATCTCACTAGTTCCACCCCCTATTTGCTTCACAGGTCAGTCATGCTGCTCACTGCCCGTCTTGTACTTGTTTGCCCTCCTGTTTGCATGCGATTGTTTCTGCAGTGTCACAGCACATTACATTCCCCCAGCAGTGAATACTAAATGTATGTATGTGTGTGTGTGGCTGTGAAAGATGCCTTTGTGTTTCCAATGGGTTTTGTCATGTTGCTAGCTCATCTTATGGAAAGAGACTGGATGACCCCACCGTGACCTCAGCTAGCACAGGAACAAGCTCTGCTGGACTCAGCCGCCTTAACAGTGTCTTGGCGCAGAGGTATTTAATTTTTGTATACTGTACTGTATGTCAATTTGTCTGGAACATTTTCCGCACTTATCTGAAAGATCTGATAGCCAGCTCTTATCTTTCTCCCAAAGACTTCCTCAGGAACAGACAGAGAAGAAGGATCAGTCTGCCGTCACCACCTCCAACTCTCAGAGCACGACCACGGGCGAACAGGAGACCAAGCAGCGGCGCAAGTGAGTTATTATTGCGGGGCTGATGGTTTTTAAACTGCGAGCCTGATGCTGGTGCTGTTCTGTGGCTTAAAAGTTTGATTTGATTTGTGCAGATCCTATCTGACGCCAGTGCGGGATGAAGAAGCAGAGGCGCAGAGGAAGGCTCGCTCCAGACACGCACGGCAGTCCCGCCGCTCCACTCAGGTACAAACGCCACCTGCTGATGAGAGGAAGATGAGGAGGAAGCCGCCCAGCTCTGGAGAAGTTCTGTTGGTCAGTCTGGTACATAACATGGTGTTGTCTCTTGTATATGAAGGGGGTGACACTAACAGATCTGCAGGAAGCGGAGAAGACCATGAAAACCATGAAGACTGACAACAAAGGGAGAGAAAAGAAGGAGGAGGAAGAGAAGGAGAAAGAGAAGGAAACAAAACCGAAGAAGGGAGAGGAGGGGGTGAGAGCCATATTTCAGAGTTATAGCCCTGTTTTGGCTGCACTTATATAACGTCATGTGACATCACTTACTGTGTTTACAGGAAGTGAGCTGGAGGTCTCGTATTGCCAGCCTGCAGAAGTCGGACCTGCTGGGCCTCACGCAGCCCGCTGGCACTCCACGGCCTCAGGCTTCTGACAGGAGAGGTACGCGTCACCACCACGTCCCTTTTATTCCTAACGAATAGACGATAGGAACGATAGAAATTGACCTAGTTGAAATAGTTGATTTGGTGTTTAACGTCCGCTGTCTGGCTTTGTTCCAGATGTTGAGGCCAGCACTGGGGAGAGTGAGACTGAGCGATGGGCCAGGGAGCGCAGGGAGAGGAGGCAAGCTCGGGCCAGAAGGAAGGCACAGAGGACCGGGGAGGTACATCACACATACCTTTTTTTTTTTTTTTTTTTTTTTTTTTTTTTTTTATCTGGAAACTTGATGCAAGAAAAGACCAAAGAAACAAAACCAGTGATGTGAGTTTTATAAGAACATGTTGCACTGTCTGTTTCAGAGTGATGACAATGATCCCAGTGGAGAGGAAGAGTTCTCAGGCAGTGGGCTGGATCCACAGGTGTGTGTGTGTGTATGTTTATTTGTGGTCACTGTGGACTGTAACCTAAGACACCAGCCATAACTTGTTTGTCTTCTCTGTTTACAGACAGACAAACACTTGAGTTCCAGGTATGAATACATCCTTTGACCTATTTGATTTCCCCTCTTTCTTCATTCTGTCAGCACAGTCTCTGTGATAGCAGTATCTCTGACCTCTGCTCTCCTCATCCACTCAGGTCAGATGTATCCTGTAACGACTATACCCAGGGAGGAGAATCTGAGACCAAGGATTTTAAGAAGGTCGGCAGACAGGGCCGATATTGAGGTCACACAATTTGTTTCTCTTATTTGTCCCAGTTATTTACTGATATATGTGTGTGTGTGTGTGTGTTTGTTTGTTTGTGTGTCTGTCAGTTGTTCGAGGAGGTCTCCAGAGAGAACAGCCAGCTCCAGTCTCAGCTGCAGGACACTCAGAGGATTATCAGTCAGACTAGGTTGGACCTGGAAAAGGCCACGCAGGTGATGACACAGATAGACAAAAGTTAAATGCAAACTGTTATTTTAACCTTCCCCGTGCAAAGACAAAAGGACGCATATCAGAGTGGTAAAACCGGTAATCTGTAAGCTCTGTCATTGTGTGCCATCTGTTTTTCTTGGATTCCCTGTTTTGTGTTCAGTTCAGGTGGTTATTACCCATCAGGCTATCCTCCCAAACCCTATTCTGTTTATCACAATTACTTTTTTTTTTGAAGATAAAAACATGTCAAACTTCTTGGTTTAATCAAAATGATCATTAAAGGTGAAAATATGGAACTTTTAAAAGAAGTAATTCAATCATCTTACAAATGAATTAATTTAAAATACAATGCGCCCATGCTCTCATACATGTGCACACATTCTCCCGTCAAGTTTGTTTTGATAGATCCCAACTTTTGTGTGGGAAGTGGCGTACACCTCCGTCAGGCCCTGTTTTGTGTGTATGCAGCGGTTATAAATGAGGCCCCTGGTGTGACCAGTAGCTTTTGGTGGCTAATATTAGCAAATGATTGCAAACCTTAGAAAGTAACTGACATTACTGAGCCAGTTCACTGACTTGTCTCTGCTTGAGCTCCTGTTACGCCACATTAAAGCAGGTCATTTAAATATTTCAGGGGTAATGTCACAAAATAAAACAAGAAGTAACACTGAACCTCAGCAGGAGACATCAATTATAGAATTCAATCATAATTCATTATATAGGATGTTCAGTGTCTTTTTTTTAATTTATGTATTTGTGTTGTCTTGAGAATTACTGTTGCCTATTTATACCCCCAATGACCTACAATGCACCATGACAAATGGTGTACAATCAGTGGTCCATAACTGAGAGCTAACTACCATAATGCCCTCTGCAGACAAGGAAAATAAGGCCAATTTAGACGGATGCCAGAGAGGTCAGGAGTGAGTTTTTTTTTTTTTTTTTTTTTTTTTTTTTTTTTTTTCTCTCTCTCTAGTAAAACTCCTTTTATATAATGTGTATACAGCTAACAGTGAGAGATTTTGGACACAGTCATGTTTTTTGTTTCCTGCTTGTCATTTGTTGGCTTGATGTCTTTAAAGCCGCTGACTCAAGCGGTTAAAGTGAGACTGTCACTTTTGCAAGGAGAAATAACAATTTTTATTTATTTTTTTTTTTTTCATATAAATGAAAAGCTAAATTAATGAGAAATAAAACACACCAGGCTCAGTTCAGTGTCGTCAGAGATTTGGTCACTACAGCCGTAACCCGGTCTGGTATAACCAATAAAGGTGGTTAATATTAGCAAAATAATGCAGTGTAACTGATGTTTTGTGAACTTTGTGACCACTTGTGCTGCTGTTACCGTTATGTTTTACCATTGTATTAACTGTCATCCTGTACTGATGGACACAGTGGTTGTGGAGCAAAAACTGCAGTCTCCTTTTAATTAAAAATATAATTTAGCAAAACGGACACATCACAGGTTGTAACTTTTATATTCTTTTTGCACACAGGCCTTCTAGTGATCATTAGGGGCCCACTGTTGTGTGGATAATGTTAATATTGTTGCTTTGTTGCATCCAACAGAGACAGGAGCGCTTCAGTGACTGTTCAGCCCTGCTGGAGCTGGAGAGAAAGGTAATGCCTCTCTGCTGATGATGTTACGTGCTGATTTTTGTAGCTTCATCTGGCTCACAACTGCCACCCCTGCTGTCTGTTGACGCTCTCTCCCCCCTCCCCCCACTCCAACCTCCAACTTTCTCACCTGTTTTCACTCAACTTTTGTGTGCTTTCCTCCTTCTTTACATCACTTCCTGTCTGCCCCCACCCCACCATCCCTTCACGTTTCCCTGGCATCAGGACCGGAGGATGTTGGAGCGGCGAATGGCAGAGCTGGAGGAGGAGCTAAAGGTGAGGAGATACTCAGAATGAAATCTGATCATGGCCACAGACACTTTGCATGCTCCTGCTTGATTAGCTTGGCTTTAGCTTATGCAGTTCAGCAGAGTGGTGAAGGCACACTGTAGAGAGCTGTTTTTACAGTGTATTCTCTCTAATGTTACATCTCATAGATTAATTTGGTTGTTGATCAAATTAATAGATGTTTTTTGTTTTACTTGTCCAACAGCCCAGCTGTGCCTTCATAATACCAGTTACTCATTTTGTAAATTGTCTGACCTTTTTATATTGAATCAGAATGAAAAAGTAGAGAGTGTAGGTCATTTTTCTTTAAAGGAATAGTTCAACAGTTTGGGAAATGTGCTTATTCCCTTTCTTGCAGAGTTTTAGATGAGAAGATTGATACCACTCTCATGTCTGTACAGTAAATATGTAGCTGGAGCCATGAGTAGGTTATCTTAGCTTAGCATAAAGACTGGGAAGCAGCAAGCCTGGTTCCAATTGAAGGTAACTGGCTGCTGGTAAAATAAAATACACTAAATACCCCCTTTTTAAATGTGCTTATTGCTAGTTCTTTGCCACCAGACTTTTATTTTATAGCTCCTCCACTCAGGGTTGTGACACTTAAGTACCACATATAAGGACCTGATAATTAGTTCAGTGTCTTGTATCCAGATTCTTGAGGCTCTGTAGGACCAACATGGGTAACAAATGAGATGATCACCTGTGTGCTTTGTTTGTCCACATTTCAGCCAAATACATGTACAAAAGCTGTTATGAGTGTGTGGCAGCAAAAGATCACTGTCCTTATCATTAGAAAATGTGCTAAGTTAGAAATGAGGCCACTGTCTTTCTTTCAGCTGTATTTAATGCAGTGCTCTGCTTCCTTTTGATACTGTTAACTCAGCTTTAATACATTAGTGTTAATTAATCAGCTGTTTCTTTGATTAATGGTTGTTTAATAGGGTTTTTTTCAGGGCAGACACTTGGACATTTCATAGCAGAAAAAAGCGCAAGTGTAATTAACAAGCGTGCAGATTCTTTGTATTGAGCTTGTTGGGTCAAACAAGAGCAAGCAAAGTGATCTTTAATAATATCCTAGTAACACTTGCATTTTTTCCTGTCACATGTTAAAATATCTGCTGCGAAAAAGGCCCATAATATACAAGCAATACAACCATATAATAGAATCATTAATAAATAAATAATAAAATCTGGTTGTGTATTTTGTTGTGTTGTAATGTGAGCTTCATTTTTACCACCAGGTTCTGGTTGACCTGAGAGCAGACAACCAGCGTCTTAAAGATGAAAATGGAGCACTGATCCGTGTCATCAGCAAACTCTCCAAATAGACATGGAGAGAGAGAGGGAGAGAGAGAGACACACACACGAAGAGCAGGGATCTCCCCCCCTTTCCCATCCATCCATCCATCCATCCATCCATCCCTCCTTCCACACATTCCTCCCAGTGCCAAAGAGTGAGAGGGGGGGAGAGGAGCAGCAGAATGTCCTACGTTACATGAGCACCACAGCTTGACTTGGATTGTGATGCCTCTCTGTGAACAGCTGGAGTGGCTTTTGTGTGCCTTAATGCCCGTTAGTCACAGGAAGACGGATGGCATGAGGGCCCGTGGCTTTGGTCAGAGCTCCAACAGTAGCAACATGAGACTTGACAACAGCCAAAACGCCCACAGCTGGTGCAACACACAAAACACAAAATCTACAACGACTGTGCATCAGGGGAACTTGAACGTGCACACACATTCCTATGCGTGCATCACATACTTCCTCAATGCACATTCCACTGAGCGCACAAGGCAGCTTGGGCCTTAAAGCTCCCACTTAGTATTTATTTTTTTGTGAACACACTCACGTCACACACTCACGAATTTACCCCACTCACAGTCCAGATCGAATGTGTTGCCAAGCAGTAAAGGTTTCGGTGTATTTGTTTAAAACTCGGCTCTGAAACACATTTCAGGCTCTGTCTTCACATTCAGTAACGTCCTGACGACACGGCGAAGTCCATGAAGCTCTGTTGGGTTGTTTTGTTTCCACGTGCAAGTGTTTGAACCCACCTACCTCTCCACCTATGCACTTCCCCACATACATTTTTATTTTTGTGACCACAGACACACTCCATGCTCTTAAAAATGACCGCAGAACCAGGTCCGTCGACCACAGCACTTTACTCTCTGCAAAGCAATAAAAGATCTGCGAGGCTTTGCCCGTCCTCCAGTCAGACAACTTTACTTTTCAGAGCAGCGCCTTCTCACTTAGCAAGTCAAGGGAGAAGTTACCCATAGCTGAAGGTCAAAGGTCATTGCACAATTATAAAAAAATTGCTGTTTTGTCAAAGCCTATTATGCTATGAATGGTTTTAATTATTACCATTGGTAAAGATATTATTTTCATAGTTTTTCATTGTCCGTTCCCCTCTTGCAAGGGAGCATGGTTATGTATATTACATGTGTATAAATATTAGTCTTGAAGAATACCCTTTTGAATTAAAATTCCATGTAGCCTTTCATCACATGTTGGTTTTCTAATATATTAAATGGATGTCTGCACCCTAATAAAAAAAAAGTGTGTTTGTAGCAACTGCCTGGTTATTATAAACGCAAATTTTATGGCCAGTTTGTCGACCTTCGCCAGATCATTCACAACGGAGCTGGTACATGCAAGATATTAAATTTAAATGCTTCCTAACATCGTACTCATCCTCACCACTGAATCTTGCTTGGATTCCTTGCTTCTTCATAATGTGCTGTGACTGATGGACTCATCAGATTTTCTCTCTTGTGTGATCTCTGGTCACCTGGTTGTTTTTTTTGTTTGTTTTTTTTCCTGCTTCATCCAAATTGTGCTTGTATCAACCCTGCATACAGTGTCAGTTGCTGTTCTCTGGTAGCCAGATGTCCTGCATCACAGGAGGAAAAAAAGAGGAACTAGAACAGCTGCAACACTGCGATGCTCACACACCATGAGCCTAACAGAGGAAACAGCAACACAGATGTATCTATAGTATGTTTGTACTGTAACATTAATCTACTGCTGCTCCAAGGTGGACTGTACACCATAAGCGGTTTGACTGACATGATAAAAACTGGTGTCATTACATGTGCAGGGTGAGTGTTCGGCAGGCGTCTGTGTAGCTGTAGGAATCCTGTTGTCTTTTGAGCTCCCGTCCTTTTGCACTAAAGAGAAGTTAACACCAGTCATCCATCTGTTTGTCTCATCTGAGAGTGGAGAGATGGACCACTGTCCTGCAGGGTAGAAGTACTGACAACAAGCTGAGCTCCTAATAAGGAAGGGCAGGCTGGCCGAGGCACTCTCTCTGTAAATATCCCTCAGGTCTGAGAAAGACAGAGGAAGGGAGCTGGGGAGGAAGAGGGAAGCGGATGGATTGCAGCCTTATATGGACAAAGCACTGCTTTTCCCAGGGTTTGTGGCTCTGACCCCCTGGCATGATGCCAGATGCTACACAAACAGCTCCTCGGCACCACCAAGAGGTGCAACTAATGTAATGCAGTTGAGGTGAAAAATGTGTCTTCTCTGGGTTTTTTTGTTGTTTTTTTTTTGTTTTTTGTTTTTTTTTTTTTACAATTTTGACAGCTGGTTTTCCAGAAAAACTTGTAATAACTGAAAAACAATGTGAACACAAAAACAAAGCTCACACAACACTACTGTCATCAGGGCTACCTAAGCCCAGCAGGATCCAGGGTGTTTGCATGGTAATTACTTTGTGGTGATTTTATTGGTTGGAAATGTGTTTGTTAAGATGCACTATAGCACGACAAAAACTGAATCGGTGACAGCATTAGTGGCTTTTGCATTTTTACCCTTTAATCTTCAGGCCCTGTCCCAAATATTTGGTTGTAATATTTTGGTTGATACAATGCCTACACAGTACATATTCTTTAAAGGGGTATTTAATACAGTGATTTAATATTGCATTGCCATGAAGTTGGGGGACGCACAAGAGACAGAAAGAAAATAATGGTCAACAATGAAATTGAGATATGCAAAAAGCACCAAAAAACTGAATCATACAATTCCCATAATTCTACTAAACAGTGTCAATAAAACCGTCTTGCCTGTTCAATGCCTACATCCTTCGAACTCCACTCTCCACAGAAGACAATATAAAGCTGTTTTTACAGACTGACTGGTGACTTTGTGGAGTGTGCCTTTAACACATTTTTTTTAATGTAATCAAATTATCATAAACAATCTACAATGAAGCAAACCAGTAAACCAGTAAAATATATTAAACCATCATATGAATACTGGATTCTGGTGGTCTAGACAAACTGGGTTGTGGGTATGTGCATGCTGGGAGTACTGGACCCACCTTCTCTCTTAACAAGGGTTTTATCCCATTTTTAAAAGAAGTATCTCTTGGACATTTTACACCTTTAATGAATAGCATCAGTTGAACGGTAGAGGGAATGAGAGAAGAGAGAGATGGGAAATGACATGCAGTAAATATCCACAGCTAAAAGCAAGGTTTTAGAAGAGTTTACTGTGCTGAATTAAAAATGTGGCCGGTAGTGGTCGTGGGGCTGCATTTGTTAACTCCCACCCATGGCCTCCATAAGGACGTGGAGAGCTCTGCCTGCAACCCCATTTATAGTAATAATAATAGAACATTAAATATGTTTAATTCTAGAGCACTTTAAAAACCAGGTAAGAAAGTTTAGGAACAAACAAGAAACAAACAATAAACGAAAGAGAGAATGTATATGTATTGTTATAGTCAAATAACATAAAAGACATGTCACTCAGAAATACTACTCAGGTAAAACTGAGTAAAAAAACCCCAGATCTCTTACACTGATTTATTGACTTACTGATTCTGTCAGCACTAGTTCTGTTTCAGTTTTTGCCTCTGTGCCATGACTGTCTCAAATTACCCTGTGGATGTGTTTTGCAAGGATTACAGTAAGACCTAATATCAAAAAAGATGAGAGGGAATTTATAGAGTGACTGGTGAGCTGAGGAGAGAGTGACGTGATTCTTCTTGGAAAAGATAGGATGAAAATGTAAACACTCTCACTGTGACCTGAAGAGTATTTTTACTGTCTCAGCCAAGTGCTCCTGGTGTTTTAATTGTGAATATGGAAGCATATGCTGGCAGCCATGTTGGCCTGCAACAAGACTCCACTCTTTAATCTGTCCAATTTTTAAAAACAATCTTCATTAATAATGTTTAGAACTTTTTCTTAAAGCTGGAGTTGACACCGTACATAATGTGATTAACAAATCATTCAAATCCAATGAGCATGTTTAATATGAAGTGGTGTTCTACCTATTGATTCAATATGCCTTATCCTTTAATCCGTGCCATGTTTTTCAGCACACCAAGAATCAATTCCAGGTTTTCTGTGCAGCACAAAGCTGCAAGGCCTCCTCCTACACTTGTAGTACTCGACTAACTTGGACCCACTTTGTCAGCAAACGTTTGAGTTCTTTACTTTGACTAGATGAACTTTAAAAGGAATTAGAGCTCCTAAGCTGTTTTTCACAGGCTTAACCGTAAAGAACCACCGGTTTGGGAGCCTCTGCAGATTTTTCTTTCACTTTGGGTTTTCCAGCATTCCTCTTTGTTGCAGAAACAGATGCCACTTCCTCTTCATGTGAGATGTGAAACACTCCCAAATGTACAAATGTGTGTGAGGGAAATATGCTGGATGTTTATGCAGAGCTGCAACAGTTCACTCTGACTTTTAAGAGTGGCTTCGCTTGATCATTGAGATTGTGTATTTATGTTTGTGCCAATGAAAGCCTTCAAAGACGATGTCAGATATGCTTAATTATTTTTTTTCAGTTTGGATCTGTGCAACTCAGGATGATGTTTGGACATGTCTCGTGACACAAAAGTGTCAAAGTACACAAACTACAAATAGCCTTTACTAACAGGAACCTGTGAAACGTGTGTGTGTGTGTGTGTGTGTGTGTGTGTTGTTCCACAGTCAAAATTTCAAGTAGTATTCTAATGTCTCTCAGCAGTACATGGTCCAAAAATAGTCAAAAAACTTTGCAAAAATGTAGCATGCAACTGTCCATAATCTCGGTGGTAACGGTACGGTAGTGGAAATACAAAAATGCTGTCAAAATATAAATGTTTTCACACCCTGCAGTGAGTAAAATAATTGTTCATTCAGTTGAAGACATCCCGTGACCTTCTGATCGACCCCTGACCAAACTGGACACGACTTCTTGGTTTGATTGAAGTTTTCCCAGCAGAAATCTCTTCCTCGCCATGTCCTGTGATTCAGACCCTTACGTCTTCTCCACCGACACTCTACCCAATGACCTCCGCTTCCTCCCTCCACTGGCCAACGGGCGTCTGGGCTGGAAGGTGTACAACAACATCATGCACATGGGTGGTGTGTATAACGGAGAGGGTGGACATTGTCACCGCGCGGATGTCCCCTGTCCTCTGGCGGTTAAAGTTGAGGTGGAGGAACCTGCCCGACATACCTACAGTCTGGACACACACACAGGTGACCTCTGCGGAGCAACCTGTGTTGTCGCTGATCTCATTTCATGCTGCGAAGAACTATCTCTGCTAACTGTCTCCTCTTCTCATCCAGGCATTTTCACACACACCATGAGCTCAGCCAGAGTAACAGCCACACAGTCTTTGTATTCACATCGCTACTACTCCAACCTGATGGTGATGGAGATTTTGTTGGTGCGGCAGGTGACGTCAGAGGAGGCAGTTACTGTCAAGCTGGTCAGTTCGTTCACACCTGAGAGCAAAGACATTGATTTTGAGTCTGGTCCTGATTACAAAGGAGGGAGGTACTGTGAACAGTGAACATGTAAAATACTTTTTTTTCTCCTTATAGTACAAGGGTGATTTTATACATGGGCCTCTTCCTCTCTCCCTCAGACACATCCAAGGCCAGACAACCACTGCTGAGTTCCCCGGTGGCTCCTGTCCCGCAGTGCACCTTCTCTGGACCTACATACCTGAGACTCTGACGCTGCCTCCAGAGCAGAGCCAGGCTCGCTGGGGCTTCATCTTGATTGTGGCCAATAGTTTAGACTCTGCTGAGGCCAGTTTTGATGAGGGCTTGGATCTGATGGCGACTGGTAACTTGCGTCCCTCTCACGAGAAGGCCTGGAAAGAGCTGTGGCTGCAGAGCACGGTGGAGGTGACAGGGTCAGAGAGTCTCTCCAAGGCTCTGATCGGCTGCATGTTCTACCTCCTCAGTGCCTTCCCCTCCATACATGACACCTCCAGCTCCTTTGGTGGAGTCAGTCCAGGTGGGCTGTCAAATGGTGGGGATGGTCAGGACTACTGGGGCCATGTTTTCTGGGACCAGGTAAGGCTGGTGGAAGTTAATGCCTACATATGTCTTTTTATGTCTTTTTTGGTTGTATGATCATTGTATCACACAGTGACTGTACCTTCCTGTGACAGGACATCTGGATGTATCCTGGGATCGCCCTTTTCTACCCCAAGTTAGCCCGAGCTGTGCTGGAGTACAGGGTGAAGACTATAGATGGCGCAAAAGACAACGCCCAAAGGCAGGGCTTAAAGGTATGAAGATCAGTGGGATAGTCAGGTGTCACCATCAAGCTCTTCTGCATTCACTGACACTCACGATGCATGTAGGTTCACAGCTAGTTAGTGAGCTAAACACACTTTCAGTGAAGGGTGAAAACTAGTAGGCTACTGGGAACTTTTGCCTTTATTCTGATAGGACAGATAGACAGGAGGGTCAGGGAGCGCGAGAGAGAGAGAGAGAGGGAATAACATGCAGCAAGGGCCTGTGGATCGGCCTCAAACCCATGGCCGCTGCGGTTAGGACTAAGCCTATATGCTACGTGCTCCACTGGGTGAGCCACCGAGGCGCCCCGACTGAAAACTACTTTAAGCTCAAACTTAATCTCAAATAAGTCACAAATAACTAGAGATACTGATCCAACAAATCAATATTTCATATTAGATGCATGATTTGACAAAATGGACGACGTAACAACAGTATTTTACACAGTGTAAGATACTGTGTGTGTGTGTGTGTGTGTGTGTGTGTGTGTGTGTGTGTGTGTGTGTGTGTGTGTGTGTGTGTGTGTGTGTGTGTGTGTGTGTGTGTGTTCTGCATTTTACTAATAATAATGAAGCTGTGTCTGAGTCCTCTGAAGAAAAGATTGTATCTTTGCAGGGACTAAAGTTTCCGTGGGAGAGTGCTGTGTCAGGGCGGGAGGTGTGTCCCGAGGACATTTATGGACAACAAGAGATTCACATCAATGGAGACGTGACCCTGGCCTTCCAGCACTATCTCTACCTCACTGAGGTACAGGCTCCTCCTTTATCCCCACTCACCATCATGTTGTCTCAGCCTGTGTGAGGGTGTTAACTGCAGCTCTTTGTTGCAGGATCTGTCCATGTTCAGAGAGGGACAGGGCAGCGAGGTGATATACGGTGTGGCTGATTACTGGGTTTCTAGAGCAACATGGAACCCTCAGGAGCAGAAATATCACCTCCTAGGTAAAGACCATTGTTAGAAAGACAGTAATTACATTGAATTTATTAATCTTGCCATGGTTATCAGGCTGACTCTTTAATAAAAGCTCAATGAAATACATCTGACTCGTCTACCAGAGGAAAAATTCACTATCACACCAAAAGATGTCTACGGAGAAGTGGAACTTCGCTCTCACTCTTATTAAGTTTTAAATGTTAACACCTCTTAAAAAAAAAAATCTAATTCACTTCATTTTGTTTTATTTTTGCTACTGTAATGTCAGATATTTTTTCTTTTGCTTCTATTTCTATTTTTGTTGATCAACTTGATTTTTTTCTACATTCATACATTTTAAATGCCTAAAAAGATGTAATTGTTATTGTATATTAGCATGAATATTCTTATTAAAATATAATGAAGCATTTTGCTTTTTTTGCCATTTAGGTGTCATGCCACCTGATGAGTATTATTACAATGTCAACAACTCTGTCTACACAAACACAGTGGCCAAATTCAGGTACTAGTATTTGAATATTTCCCTGCAGTGCATATTAACTTGTGAATACCAATGATACAAAACGTTTCGCATTTGTCAGTCTCCAGTTCGCTGTAGAGTTGGCTGATATACTCCAGCATCCTGCACCAAAGGAATGGAAAGACGTGGGCGAACACATCAAGATACCTTTTGACCAAGAATCCCAGTACCATCCTGAATATGATGGCTATATTAAAGGTGAATTTTTGCACCTTTGTTGGCACTGACCCACATTACAAAAATAACGTGGTCATGACATGATGTCACACTGTCTTTTGGACCTTTGACAGGTCATCCAGTGAAACAAGCAGACACAGTGATGTTGGGCTACCCTCTTGGACTCACAATGTCTCCAGAGATCAGAAGAAATGATCTGGAAGCGTATGAGCCAGTCACAGACCCTAGTGGTCCAGCAATGACATGGGTAAGACACAGGATGCTGTATGGTGAGCACAAAACTGATGTTGTTAACTCTGGTTGACTAATTAAGTATTAACAGCAAAAATCTACTTAAAGTGACACTTTATAACTTTTGAAAGAAGGAATTTCACATTTTTCCATTTTCAAATTAAAAGTTGAATAAATGAACCATAAAAAGCCCTTGCTCAATTCAACACTCCTATTGTTTTATTGCTATAGCCCTGTATACCAGTCTTGCATATAGTAGCTTATGGAGGCAAACTAGTTATATTTTGCTTTATGAGTTAGTTAACTGACATTATGAGTCCTTTCTACTTGTGCTAATGTTATACTCTACTTTAACCTGTAGTAGTCTTGCTTATAAGTGTCAAAAGTAAACACACTTGTTTTACAGCAATCAGTATTATACTATATAATATCTGATTATTATTACTGACGTTAGAATGTAGCTGGTGGAGGGGACGCTTGTTTTATTTACTTTAGACTGTTGGGAAATCTGATCCATAACAATGCATTTTGTTTTATATGTCAAATCTTTATTTGTAAAGTAACTAGTATCTCCACCTTTCAGAAAATAAAATGAAAATACACTGCCTCTTCTTCTGAAGTATAGTTCTTGAGTGAATGCACTTCTTTATTTTCCTCCATTTAAAGTGGACGACTTAATGATTAAAAATACAGGCTTCATCATTTACTTATTGTTTGTGGTACATATAATCAGCTGTGCTTTACAGTGTCCCTTTGCACTGAATGTAAATGCTTTTACGTCTTTCCACTGTAAGGGTATGTTTGCCATCGGCTGGCTGGAGCTGGGGGAGGCTGAGAAAGCTCAGCGTTTACTTGAGAAGTGCTTCAGCAACATCCAGGGCCCGTTCCAGGTACCACTCTCACACCCACATTATGCCTCTTTACTGAATATTCAGTGAATAAGTGATTACCTTGTCCTCACAGGTATGGAGTGAATCATCAGACGGCTCTGGTGCGGTCAACTTCCTGACAGGTATGGGAGGATTCCTGCAAGCTGTGCTGTTTGGTTATACTGGCTTCAGGTCAGTCATCAATCTGCCCGCCGTGCACAATGGGAAAAAAAACACCTCAGTATGCACAAAGCCCGCACATACTGATACAAAGTTTGACATAGTAAGTGTTTTTTTTTTTGTTTTTGTAGAGTTCAGAAGGAATGCCTGGCCTTTTCCCCACTTCTTCCCCATGACATTTCTGAGCTCTGTGTCCGTGGTGTGAACTACCTGGGCAGTCAGATGGACTGGCTGCTGAGGAAAGATGATGTTTGCATCATACTGAGGGAACAGGCAAGCAGAGATGGCGACGCCAAGCCCTACGATCTAGTGGTTGTCCTGAAAGCATCAGGAACTAAAATCCCTCTCACACCAGGTAAAAGACATACTAAGATATGCAATGATAGCTGCCCATTTCAATTTCTTAGGACTTTCATTGTTGCAATAATGAAAGCAAGTACATTAATGATAACGAACAACACACTTCACCTCCTGAACTATAGCAACAAAATGGCAAGAACATAAAAACTTGATAACAGTAGTACATGTGATTATAGGAAGGGCGTAGTATTTGAGTGATAAAATAAGAAAAAGTGCAATAAAGGCTGGATTACCAACCAGGCAAGCAGGCAGTATACAACTGCCCAGGGGCCCAATATTGTCAGGAGCCACAAAAGCCCCATGTTTATTCTATTATATTTCTATCTGCATAATTGCATTAATTGCAAATTCACTAGAAACTTGCACCACTGACGTAGAATTTGAACTATAACAGGTCCTCCATTCTCCATCTTGTGGGCTCAGTCTTAAAGAGTGACCCCATGTCAAAATCAAGTTTTAAGATTTTTTAAGAAGAGTTCAGTTTATATTTTGCTCATTTCTTGTAGTTTTTCAATTAACACAGAGAAAGCCTCGGGCAATTCCATTCTCCATTTGGAGCACTGTAAGGTTTTTATAATCGATTGATCAGTGTATAAAATGTCAGTGAAACACTCGCATCATTATTCTCTGAAGCCCAAGCTGACATATTCAGATTGCTTTGTTTTGTCTGACCAACTGTCAAAAATGTCAAAATTTGAATTTACTATCAGAGTAAACTGGGAAACACTGGTTGGTGTCCCAGGGGTCTGAGAAATTAATGAAACTGCTATGTGTAGTTTAAGTCAATATGGACCCGACAACAAATGTTTGCCCTGGGGCTCCTCAGGAGGTTAATCTATGATGATATGATGAGAAAAAAATCATAAACTGCTAAACTGAAGATATATGTCATCTTTTTCACGTCCAGAAATGTATACGTATTTTCCTGTGAATTATCATGTTGCACAAAGTCTTGATGGCAGCAGACATATATATTGATGCACTAACAGATTATTTTGAATTAACTCATATACATCTGTATTTTCAGGGCAGCCAGTAACTTTTCCTCGAGAGCCAGGATATGTTTGCAAACTGGCTTGGACGTCTTCCTGCTGGCCTTTCTGAAACAGGAGCCCTGACCCTGCTAATCATTTCACTTATGCATATTTAAACATATGTTGAACTTATGTTGTATGGTAACATTCACTTGACCAACCATGGACACGATGTACAAAATTCAAAAAAGAAGGGCAACATGAGTTCCATGTTTTTATGGTTACATCGCAGAGCAGGATCATAAGGGATTTACAAAATGTGAATGGATTATTTGTTTAGATTTAATGAAAAGAAAAATGCAAAAAGAAAAACTGGTTTTGTGAGAACTGTGAGGTGGGGAACTGATGGTGAGTATGTAGCACCTGCTCCCTTGTTTATTTGTTCATTTTAAAATTTGGTACAAAAATGTCTTGAAATTTATTTACACTATTTGGAATACTTTTTGAAAAAGCTCCTCAGTTCTATAATATGCCATGTTACAAAACCTTGAACCAATTATGTTGTATTGTAAATGAAATATATTCAAATAAATTCCCCCCATTTGTTTCCATCTTTTGTGACTTTGTTACAAGTATGTAAACAATATTGTGGTGGTCTTGAGACCTCAACACACTGCACCTTAAGAAAAGACATGCAAATAGACAAAACGCACGCAAACTAAGAAAAATATCTTCAATAATTTGATAATGCATGCACAGTATTTAAAAAAAAAAACTCCGTGAGAAAATAATCAATAACAAAACCTTCCTGGTTTTGCAGCTCGTTCGGTTGTGTTTTCTGCATTATTCCTGAATTTGCTTATGTTTTGTCTATATACATGTCTTTTCGTACATTTCGGTGCATTGGGCTCTGAGGGTCACTGTACAGTTGAAAAGTTTACCTTTGTGAACTGGGCCAGTCTTTGCTGTGCTACTGATGTCTTCAAACATCCTGTAGCTTTGCTTTTCTGGAAAAAGAAAGCAACAACTCTACAAGTCTGCAAGAGAATATGGGACAAGGGACAGAAAGAGGCCATCACATCTAAATTTACTTATAGCATTGCTATGCTTTAGGGTTTCTTAAAATATACTCGTATGTGTTTTGTCGCAGTCTCTACCAAACACGCAGGTTACCCATGGTCGGATCGGAGCAAATCCTGGCTAACATCGATTGGTTGATTTAAATCTGAGCAGCGCTGTAACACCGCCCAGCACTTCCGTCGTGTTCGCATGATTTGTATTCACATGTCGACCGTTTCCGCACTCCGCACCACTCCTCGCTATTCATCCAAACGTCTGGCTCCGCCTTTTCAGAGACAATCCACAAATCGAGCAGCTCCTCTGGTCACGGAGCCCCGGGATTGGCTGGTGTGGTTTTGAACCAGTTAAACGGTTTCAGCGGGTGAGTTGGATGCAGAGGATACGGTGGAGCTGTTACCGTCCAGGACGTCCTGTAAAGTTTACACATGAGCCGAAAACAAAGTTGACGTTCCTTCATTTTAGCACATTTATTTTCACGTCAGTATGCGACAGATTTAGTTTTTAATATTAGTGGAGCAGCGAGCATCGGATTTCTTTTTCAGAAACTTGGATATCAAAGGTAAATATTCAAAGACAACATTAGCGTTAACTAGCTAACATCGTAGCGTAAGCCTTTTAATTGCAGGCCAATTTAAAACGTCATATCCAACTCAGTTAAGTAAACTTACTGTGTCTACCAGTAACTGTCACTGTCTTAGGAATTGGAATTATTTGAGTTTTAATGCTCGTTGGTCTCTTTGGGTGTTTTGATGTTAGCTAGCTAAGCTAACTTGTTGCCTGGGTAACGTTACGTTACTTAACCACATTTATATTATAAAACGCTCAGGTCTGTGTTAGGGTGCTGTTAATGTGCTCTGTTTTTGCTGTAACGCGATGTGTCAGAGCTGAAGACAGCTGTGTTACTGTCGACCACACTGTTTTCAAATAGCTAACACACTAATACGTCCGCGAAAACAGAAGACATTACGCATGCACCGACTTCACATAGAAAGACAAGAACAGTGCAAAATGGATCTGTCAACGCGAGACTGAAAAACAAACAGAAACCAGAAAAACCTAGACTGATAAATGACTGCTTCAAATGTGCAGTTTCGCATTATTTGTCAATGTACTCTATTAGTTTGTGTATTGACATTATGAAAAGGCAGCGTTTCCCCAGAATTGGCAGTGACTTGAAATGGCATTTTAATTGTTTAGTAAGGTTGCTTGTCTGTGTCACTGATAACCTAGATAGTTAACCTTGCAACACTGTTAACCTTTGAATGAGCTGTAGGTGTGTGCCTTATATTTCAGGATCCCTTTTCGAGCAGAAGTGACTAAATAGACTGTAATATTACATTTAGATATTTACAGTGTAGCTTTTATGGTAGATAAAGTTATAGTTTTTCTTTTTGTAATGTTAATGGTGGGTGTTTAGTTGGTTTAAAACAGGTGTGTTCAAATAGTCATACTGAAAGGGCGAAAGAGACTGCCAAAATTGTTCATGCCTTAATGTTCTCTAGGTGAAGCTCCAAATTTGTCCCAACTTGTCTTGATTTTAATTGCTCAATCTTTGCCCCAGGCCATCACCATGAACTCTGTACTATCATCTGTACGTTCTCTCGTGCAAATGTTTGATGGCAAAACACAAGAATTCATCAGTGACATTGATAATGTCCACATGGTTTGGCTTGAGGAGATCCAACAAGAAGCCAACCGCATGTTCTCAAGGTATGCTTAAAGTAATGTCCTAAAATTCAATTGAATAAATTGTTAGGTCTCTTGTTTTGTTTTTTTCACAGGTTTCCATCTTTAGAAATATTTCGTTCTGGGTAGTTCTACTTAATAATTGATTTGAAGGTTTTTACTAATAAAGCTGTTTTGTTTTATTTCAGAGATTTTAATGCGGAACCAGAATTAATGCCAAAAACACCATCACAGAAAAAGAATAGTCGCAGGAAGCGTGTATCTGTGGGGCGTCAGGAAGACAACCAAGCAAAGAGAAGGTTTGTTGCTTTCATTTCACAACAGTAAGGTCTAAATTATCACATTTCTTCAAACCTGAATTTTAAGCATGTTGTGTCTTTGTAACTCTAACTAAATGTTCCTTTACTTCCCAGGTTTTCAAAGGGAAAGCGCAGTAACCTTCGTGGCTCATCTGTCAAATCACTGAACTTCATTGCTGAAGAAGAATCTATTCCTGAAGCTTCCGCCTCTCAAGACAGTACCACTACACAGCCTAAACGCACCACCCGTAAAAACAAACAGACAAAGCCAGAGGTGGCAGAGGATGTGAGCCATTCACCTCACAGCAGCTATAAAACGGAAGAGGTGCAGAACAAGAAACCAGAGCTGGTAGAGGAAGAAGAGGTGGACAAAAATACCAAGGTGAACAATGCAGAAGTTGAGCCTGATGACTTACCTAGCACTGCCCCATCTCCACCCAAGAAACCCTTACCTGAGGTTGTCGTCAACATCTCCTCATCAGACCGCTTGTCTGCTGAGTTTGCTAAAAAGCAGGAGCCATCTCCTGGCCGTACAGCTGCTAAGATTGCAATAGCTGGAGCTGCGCAAAGCTCACGGCGGAGCTCTGTGCGGTGCTCCCTCAAGTTACGTCACTCACTGGCTGGTCTGCGGCACAGTATGACACAGGAGTCTGTTCGCCGTGCATCCCGTCGTTCCATGCTTAAGAGGAAGGCAGTGCGCACGGGCAACTCCACATGTAGCAGCAACATTAGTGGTGAGAGATGAGCCATATGTGGCTTATAAATACATAAAATGCAGAACATTTGCAAATTCTTTAGTACTTTGATTCTTATTAAGCTATGTTTTATATCATGTAATGTCTTTTCTATTTGTAGTGGACTCTTGCATGGACTCTACGGAGGAAGAGGATAAGGAAGTGTGAGTAATAAAATTTTTATTTGCATGGATGCATACATTGTCGACTTTGCATCTAGAATTTAAGCTATTTGTAACAGTAACTGGTAAATTTGTCTTCATAACCTACTTTTAGCTACATGTGACTGGTCATGAATTCATAAGTTCTTTTTTAAATATGAATGTATTCACTGCTATAGCATGCCAGAAGCTGTAACTTCAGACACAGAGGATAATGCTGCAGCAGAAGAATCTCAGGAAACTCCAAAGGTATAAATATTTTTGTCTGTTAAGTGTCAAACTGAAATTGAATTCATCCAACACTTATTGATCAGCTGATATTTAATATTATTTATATCAAACAAATGCTTACCTAGATTAACCAGAGTATACATCCATCTGTTGGGCGTATTACTCGTTCTGTGGCTGCAAACTCTCCCACGCTGGCACCCCCATCGTTGTTTATTGCTGAGCAGAAAATGAGCACTCCCAACAAGAGAACAGGTATGAAAAATCAACATGTTTTAATTAGATCTTGTTTAGTTAGATTTTAGTTAATATTTCTTGTTGAATGTAAAAATGTATTGGTATCTGACAGTTGTAACAAAATGTAACATGTATGCACTAAATACATGTTTGCATTTGTGTTTCAGTTGTCACTGAGAAACAACAGACTTCCCAGTCAAGTCGGAGGTGAGTTGTGGGTGTGTGTGCTGGGTATCATTTGATGGGCTGTTGTCCTGTCTCTACATATTGTCAGGATTTAGCTGTTGTCCTAAATGACAGAGGGCAGAATACTGTACTTTTTGATGACTGCAATGACATGATGTGTCAGTGTGTTGAGACTGTTAAATACATTCTGTGTTGTGTCTTTTTTTTTTTTTTTTTTTTCTTTTTTTTTTTTTTTTTCTTCTTTTTTTTTTTTTTAAACAAAAACATTTTCTGTGTCTCCAGGTCAAGTCGAAGCACTAAACGTAAAGCACCAGATACTGTAGAGGAAAGTCCCACAAAGAGGTTCTCTCCTCCCAAGAAAAGCCAAAGTGTAAGATGCAAAAATCTCTCTGAGTGTTAACGTTGTAAAATGGAAAATATGAAATGCATATGAAAAATGATGGATGAATTTTTTTAATCAAATAGTAATGCTTTGGAATTTCCTCTTCTTTGTTTTTTGATAAACAGGCAATCAGGCCCAACATGAGATCTTTTCTCCACACTGTGCAGAAGAATCAGATGCTGATGATGACTCCAAACTCCCTCGGCCGCACAGCTGTTATCAAGTCCTTTATTAAACACACCACTCCGATGAGGGTTGATCCTAAGGTAAGTCAAACATTTAACTCGTAGCAAAGCAACAACATTGTAACTTTCCAAAGCTACCTTTATAGTAAAACTGTATCTTTCACCTCCTGTTTGTATTGTAGGTTTTTGAATTTGAGCTCTCATTATTAGTGCTGTTTAGAGCAGAAAATACTTATTAACTGGCCAAAAACAGATGTGGTGTTATAGTGAATGTAAAGTAAATAGGATTGTGTCTAAACCATAATCTTATGTAGCTTTTTAGAACATTTTGTAGCTTGGAACAGCACAAATAAACATGGAGAAATGTCACAATTAAATTTGATATTATTGCGGTTGATGAAGTGTGTATTCTTAAGTTTAGAAAACATTATCGCTCGCTTTTGTTGCGCTGTCAAACTATGTGGTCCTCTTATTTGGATATTTTTTTCTCCTCTCCTCAGTTGAGTGTTGGTATAGTGGTAAGTGAATTTTGAAGAACTTTGTGGGCGTTTGATGGTGTCTAATATCCCATTATGCAATTTGATTAAATGTCTGCTCATTTAGAACTTAACTTTAGAAGAGCCCCTTTCCCACGTTTATATTTCAACCTAAATGGTCAGGCATTTCGTTTACATCAGAGCTGAAATTAAGGCTGTCGCATCTTCATAGCTCAAGATTTAGAGAGATTTCTATTAGATATGGTCTCTAGTGAGAACAGAAGCTGCAACATTCCTGGATAAATAATTCAGAAGGCTTAGGGTTAAATGTTGTTTAGAATTAGACCCTATACTACACCTCATGTATTTTAGACAGACATGCGCGTAAGCAACCGAAACTTACTCACAATAACTGAGCCCTGCAATTTTGCAGGGTCCTTGTGTGAAAGGGGCTACTGGATATACATTTTAACAACACCCCCAAGCTGTACTTTTTAGTTGATTGTGTCTCTGATTTCACAGGTCACTAATACTCATACTTTGCAAGCCTTTATAATCTAACAACCCTTCAAACCACCTAAAAAGCTTTGGTAACCTCACTGTTTGCTGACTGTGACACTCCTGACGCTCCTGGTGGTGTTTGGACACTGTTGTGGTGATGCACTGGGTGATTCTCTGTTGGTTTTGCTTCATTTTGTGTTTTGTTAGATGAACTATTGTTACAGAAGATATAGGTACAACAGTAGTTGTGCTTGACTGTGCAACAAAGCTTGTTTAAAGCGATACAAGATCTATCTTTGGAGTTTTATTCACCACTGAGAGCTGTAGGCAGTTGGTTACGTGGTTAACTTTCTGTACATACTTAAGGGTATCCGCAAGTCTTAAAAAGCATTAAATTCAGTTCCCTTAGAAAATCTAAAAACTTTGATTAATAAATTAATGATTTATTTTCAATTGGTTAATCTGTCAATCAATTTTCTGTGGCTTATCTGGATCCAGGCATGGATGTATTATGAAGCAACAAGCCCCTGGGCATAAACAAGTAACAAGCCCCCCCACCCCACCTATACTCCCAGACTGAGAGAAACACAAAACGACTACTTTTTGCATCTCTAGTTTTGCCTGTCTTTGTCATCTTTTAATTGAGTTCTGTGACTTTAAAGTAAGAAATGTTAAGTCGCCTCATACGGCACCTCTAGTTCAGGGGCCATCTGACCCCTCTCACTACACTCACAAGTATACGTTGGAGACTTCAATGGAGATGCTTTTTGTTCACATTGAATCGAGTGACATCATGCGTTTCCAAACTGTGTTGTGGTTCCTTTTGAGAAAAGTTCAGCCTTGCAAGCAGAAGCTCAAGCACTAGCCAATCTAATCACATTTATGCAGGTCTAGCCTGGCATTCAAGGTCAAAATGGGGGTTGAGGGGTTGAGAGGTTGATTAATGTGGTTGGGGATTACAGACTGTTTAGTTATCCATACATGAATTATATTAATGGGAATTATTGTTACATTTGGTAATGACCTGAAATGTCTGAAATGTGATTTGTTGAACTCTGGAGGAACCCTGTATTTGCTGAAACTGTTTGCACAGACGTTCAGAGACCAATAATCATAGGACAGAGGACAGGATGTCTCCCTGATATCATGTGTCCCTGCTGTTCAATAATATCAACATGAACATAAACTTGACTTGACTTATTCTCAGAGGTGATCTTTTGGATTATTTTGATATTTTCCACCTATTACAGTCTGTTTTTAATTAAGTGTAGAAGGTGTTTTCTGAAAACAACGTTTCCTAAATTCTTTTTATCTTATTCTGTCATTGCTTTCTGTCTTGTCAGTCAAAAGAGCGTCACAAACTGGAAGCACTCAAAAAGAAGCAGGAGCAAGAGGAGGAAAGGATGAAGAAAATGGAGGAGGACAAGAAAAAGAAACAGGAGGAACTTAAAAGGTTAATGATCAGTGTCTTTCAGAGTCAATACACTATGACTGGACAGTTTAGTGATTCATCTTTTTTTTTATTATTACTATTATCACATTTATTTATAACACATATAACTTTTAAATTTTGTTTTCTAGGAAGAGGGATGAGAGGCTAAGAAGGGTGTTTGAAGCCAAAGTAAAAGAAGAACAGAGAGAGGAAGAAAAGAAAAAGAAGATCGAGCAGAAAATGGCTCAGATTGATGAGAAAAATGACAAGGTATGCAACAAAGTTGGTGATTGAATTTGTATGTTCACCTCAAAACAGCATGATATCTCATCTTTGATATTGTGTCTCTTCATGCAGCGTCAGGCAGAGGAGAAGGCCAAGAAGAAGGTGGCCATAAAACGTCAAGAGGAGCTGGAGCAAAAGAAGAAGTTGGAAGAAGAGGCTAAGAGGAAGAAGGTTCAGCAAGCAGTGAGATGATGCTATTATTTATTTAGTCATATCTGTGCTTTGTTTGGTCTGTGTGTTTGATGTAGCCATACCTACGGATGAGTAGTTTTTACACACTTGTATGTTTTAGTGTCTTTAACGCCTATCTCTGGATTTTTTTCAATATACAGTATGTATGTATGCAAAGTACAAATTGTTCATCACTTGTCATGTCTGCCACATGACAAGGTTTTTTTTTTTTTTTTTAACTTAATTTCCTTTGCCATTATACATTGCAATCAGGCTTTTCTTATGCTATATGTGTATGTTAAAACTTAAGGAGGAAGAGAAGCGGCAGCAGGAGGCCAAGAAGAAGGCTGAGGAGGAGGAACAGCGAGCTCGTAAGCTGGCTGAGACTCGCAAAGCACTGGAGCTGAAGAGGGAGCAGGAGCGAGAGAGGGAGAGGGAGCTGGAAAGAGAACGACAAGCTGCTGCTGAAAGGTAATCTATTAGTGCCATAAGAGCTACTTTATAAAGTGAGTAGCCTCATTACCTTTTGAGAACGAAAAAGGTGTATTAAACTGAAATTTGCACAGGTGAAGATGAGACTCCAGAGCTTGTTTTTCTGACTTCTTGCCTTTTTTCTTTTTTTTTCCAGGGAGCGAGTGGAAAAAGAAAAAGCTCTTGCTCTGCAGCGCGAACTGGAGAGAGCAGCGAGAGAGAAAGAGAGGAGAGAACTGGAGGAGAAAAGAAAACTGGTAATAAATTTAAATTTGGAACCAAAATGTCTTTAACATGTTTCTGAATTGTGAATGTTTGAGCAGTCCAAAATTAAGTTTTATAAGTTTTATAGTACACGCACGGGAGATGGCACATAACAAGTCTAAGCAGTCACATGGTCAAAAGAAGCCACTCAAATAAGTAAAACTGCTGATAGGCAAATATCTTACCCTACACTTATGTGGCTGAGACTGGTGATCTTTATTTGATGTCACCATTAGAGTCCATAGTAACTGATTGATGCAAACACCTGAACTCAGATTACTCTCTCAGGTATATTGCTCAGGTGCTCATCTGTCTGGTTGTTCATGTGCTTTTTGTTCCAGCAGGAGGCGCAGCAGAGGTTAGCTGCAGAGGAGAAAGCTGCTAAAGAGAGGGAAGCTGCTAAGCAGAGAGAGGCTGCTGCGAAACAGGCTGCTAAGACACAGGTAAACCAGCAAGGGAAAAATATACTTAGTTTAGCTAAACTAGCACAACAAAACATTAGCAACAGTTGACATAAAGGTTAACTATTCTCAATATAAAAGATCTGTTTGTTTCATTTAATTGATGATGTAATAACTAAATGTACTGCTTATTTTTTTCTGTCCTCTGCCCTCTGTAATGAAGGCTGCTGCTGGGCTGAACGTCACTATGGATATCGAGGTAAGACCATTTTCACTGTAAACGTCAGATACATTTTAAAAAAACGTTCTGCACCTGTGCATGTAAGGCAAGAAAAAGATTGGGTTTGGTTGTAATTGTTTTTTATTGACGGTATTATTTCACATGAATCATTTACCTGAATGTTGAAAGGTCTCTACTGGTTTGTTATGCCGTGGTGGAAACATTTACAACTTTTGTCCTTATCCTTTTCAGAACTCTGTAATGAGTACACCGGTTGGAAAAGGTGGTGGCCTGAATGTGACTGTGGATATTGAGGTAAAATTTTAATTACGTACAAGTATTTCATGGATTTCTGTCTTAAAACGTGAGCGAACTAATTTCTCATCATTCATAATCTCAAGATCCATAATGTGTGTTTTATCCTCCTCTGCAGCAATCACCACAATCATACGCCATCACTCCAAAGGGCGGCAACAAACCTCTGGTTATGTCCAAAAGTGCAGAGGATTACGGAATGGACCAAAACAGTGACGACTCTACTGATGATGAGTCTGCCCCGAGGAAACCGATTCCGTCCTGGGCAGAGGGTATGTGTGAATGATCAGGCTCAGTCTTCCAAACTGCTGCAGTAGTGTTGTACATTAATGCAGTTTAGTGATTTGTGTTTCATAACAAACAAGGTTGAAAGCGACTGTTAGGGATGGGAATTTCTAAGATTTTATTGATATCAATGCCATTATCGATTCTGCTTATCGATCCGATTCTTTATCGATTCCTGTGGATTTTCTGTGTAGAAAAAAGTAGGTCTATACAGGTTTTCAGTGTCAACAATGCAAATTCTATTATGAGTCCCTGAACACTGAACAAGATAGATAACTGCTCTGTAGTTGTTCAATCCCTCGAGGTGGGGGGTGCTGTCTGCCTCTTCAGGTCTGCCTTGTATTAATTTACTAAAAAAGAAAAAAACAAACTACTGATGGGAGCCAGCTCCCATCGTTCACTTAAAAGAGCCCGCTCATTCGCGACCGGCCCATCACTAATATGTACCTTCACTGCTCTGCTGAGACTGGGAAACACTCGTTGACCGGCGGCGTATAGCGTCAAAAACATGGCACTCCTGATATTTAATGCCCTGCTGCGTCTACAGATGTTCCAGCATGTTGCTGGTGTTTCCACCCTTGCTTGAAATCTTACTGCCACAGACATTGCACATTGCGCTGTTAGCGTCATTTTGTGTGAAATTAAGCCACACTTCCTCGACTCCTTCGTTGTCGCTCGCGCTGACTGCCTCTGTTTGTAACTAGCATGTCTACTGTGTAGCATTTCTCCACTGTGTGGCAGACTGTCCTGGATGCTATCAGAGTTTAGGCTAATGTTGGCTTTTATTGAATTTGGGGAAGTTATACTCGTGCTAGTGTTAATGTTTGCTGAACACATCAGGTAGTGTTCATATCCTCAAAATCCTTTCCTCTGGTAATGTTCAAACTGAAAACATATTGTTTTAAAAATACAAACAAGTATGTAAGCCAAGAGGCCAAACGGGGTTATGTTAGAGTGACTAGCTCTGTTCTGCATAACAAGAACAGCATGTTTTTATGTCCACAACCTTTGCATGGAACATCAACTGATACACCTGAAACATGCAGCTCTAGCCTTTTTAGCATGATGTCATGTATGTAGCCATTAAGTGCATATTAACAATCTTTTTCCAAGATTTTGTTTCATTATGAGTCAGCTGGAAAAATTACAAAGACAGTCAGAGGCCTGCAACAGTTGTCAATTTAGCCAAAAATGCCTGTTACCTTTTTTTTTTTTTTAAATAATATACAGACCTGTTTGTTGTAAGCTATATGACTGCAGTCTCAGGTTGTGTAGTCTTAAGTCAAAACATTGTTTATATTTTTTCTTCCTCCCAGGTCCCAACCTGCAGCAGATCATCATGAAGCAGTACTTCAACCCTCCTGATTTAGACTCTTTCTTTGGAACGATTGAACCACCAAAACTGGAAAACATATTTTACAAGAGCAAGCCTCGCTATTTTAAACGCACCAGCTCTGCTGTGTGGCACTCACCTCCAATTGGAACCAAGTAATGTCTGTACACGGATACAGATATACACTGCTGTATATAGTTTAATTTTTTTGCTTTAAAACGTGTTTCCAATAAAGTAAAGTTTTTTTTCTGAATGATTTTTTCCACTATTAAATTTGTTTGAAGGTTTTAGGCACCAACATTTTAGAAATATTGTTACTAGTATGTAAAATATCATGGATTTAAGTGATACATGTGATGAAACTGATGCTTGACTTGTACTTGAAAATGAGTCTGTATTATAACCCAGTGGGATATTTGAAAGTTTTTGCCAATTTACCAGTAAAAACTTTCATTTGTATGTGTGTTGACTGTAAATGATAGAATTCCCATGTTTGGGATTTATCAAGTGCATTAAAATGGTTGGTTGCACCAAATATTGTGCAAGTTGCAGCTTTTGAATGCCTCGATAATACATGATCCCCAAGAGAAATGTATATTTTTCATAGGCTGAGGTGTGCCAGTAACCAGTTGGAACTGCAGCTGAAAATGTTTGCCCTGCACACTTTTAGTTATGAGCTATTTTAGCTGATCAGACATCTGCTCAGGTTTAAGGTTGGTGGAGATATAAGTGTTATTTGTCCCACCAGGTCATAACAAGTTAGGCAAAGAGATGTCAATCAAACACAGACCTGCACAGTACGAAATCATTCCCAAATAAGATACAATATGTAAATATATACCATGAGTGTGCAGGGCCTTTAAATAAAAATCAAAGTATTTTATTTCAACCAGTTTATGTTGATAAAGGCCCTTTAAGAAGAAACCACCCATCTTCACATCCTAGTAGATATTTCTTTTTACAGCAAAGGACATCACTGCTTTAGTTGTTTACATGCATTTTATTTAATGTAACTGCTGCTTAAAAGATATAATGTGATAGCGTATTATTACCATTTAAATTTTGATTTGCACGCTTAAATCCACTGTTCACATGGGCATTTAAGAAGTTATTTGTAACTATCCCACCCCTTTAACTGCTGATAGTGTTGCCAGATCGCAAGGTTTTCCGCCCTTTTTAGTTAGTTATTCTTAAATGGGCGGGTATAATTTGGGCTGCTCTCTTGTACCATTAGGGCATTATATTCCAAATATTTCAAACAGTAAGGGAGGAGCTGTCGGGGAGTCAAATATACTGTGTGAGGTGAAAGGGACAGGTGCATGCAGGTGTCCTAAAGAAGAGGACTACGCCTGCACTCAGAATCTGGGGTTATGTTGTATAACGTCCGCTTAAAATTAAGAAAACTGCTGAATTTGCATGAGAACCACCACGTCTTCAGTGTGAAAGCAATTTATTGATGGTTGTCACTACTTACAATTGTACATAGCAACAGGAACTGTTAATAGCTAATTTGGCACACTTGTTTGTTTTTTTTATTTGTATTTTATTTATTCATTTATTTTTACAAAATGTTAACAAATACTGATTAAAAACGGGTCTCAATTTGTATATTTCCTGTTCCCTGTAAAATTTTACATCTGTTCATATAATTGAAGACATTAATGTTAATAACGTATAATGTAACATCATCCTAACGACTTTGTTGTAGCAAAATTAGGTAGATTGTAGACTTTGCGTTTGCTACTTTTTGTCTGTCAAATCTGGCAACACTGACGGCGCTAACGTAGAAAGAGCGGAGGGAGCGACCTAACGTTTCACAGACTGGTAACGTAAGCTGCTCTGCAGAATAACTTCTGTGGCTGGAAATTTAAGGTCGGAAATATTGCACTGCTACACAACTACTCACGTCTGCGAAAAGTCCCAGATCGACAAACCAGGTATGTTTGTGTCACAGCTCGATGCTCATCTATCCTGTAAGTTGTTAGCCTACCTGTCGTGTTGTCTCTGGGATGAATTAATTCATGGTTGCTAACTGTTTGGCAACGTTATTCATATCTTGTAACGTAACTTGTAGCTGTCGTCAGTTAGCTCCTGGTGTGGTAGAATAACATGTTAGGCTCATCGATAAAGTCAGCATTATCGCCACAGTCAAGGAAACTTTTCCCTTTTAGTTTTGTGTTGAAGTTAGCAACCATGTTAGCAAGCCTTGCTATCAGCCCACCTTGACCCAATGTCTCTTTACATAAGCAGGTAAACAGTCTGTGCCTCATACTATCCACAGTTTTGTGAACATAGTTATTAGCTGCGACTCGAAGATAAAAGCTGTTTAGCCAGTTTGACGGTGGCTTTGACCAATAGTGTCTCACTTAAACACACACGTTGTATCAGTTTATCAGGTCGTTAAATTGTGAGGTGAAGGTCAGTTTGTCTGAATCAATATGAATGCAGGTGTCCCCTCAAAGGGTCAGCGCACCCAATCAGGATACTCCACAGAGCCGGGAGTCACTTCATTTGGGCATTTTCTTTGTTAGAAAGAAGTTATTTTACTGAAAACTGTTCACAGTGAGGTGGATTGCCCGGAGAAATTCCTGCATGTAAACTAAATGGTTAAATGTAAAGTGTTTTGATTTTCCATTTACTGTGTTGGGGTCAAGGCAGAAATCTCAAGGGTAGATATCTTAAAACGTGCAAGTAAAACCCAACATGAGCTGCATGGATAGATACAACTAGAGTAACTGAGGAAAAACCGTTTGCCCATCTGAATGGTGAATAGCAGTTACTTGAATGATGTGCATGCTTTCATGAAGTCTTTTTGGAAATCCATTGATTCGGTTTAGCAAGCTCTTCAGTGAAGTGTAGTGAGAAGAATGATGTGTCTGGTCATGTTGGCAGGAATGGTGGAGGGGTTAAGGTATCATCAGCCAGTGTCAGCTGTGCTCTAAAGTGCTTTTGTCTTTTGGCGGTGGTTTGTGATGCAACATACACTGCATCAACTGAGTTCAAGTATCCGTCCAGGTCTTTTATTAGCAGTTGTCTGAAAGGTCTTTGCTTGTTGTACTTTTAAAATGTGCCTATACAGATATGTACTGCCTTAAATTTGACTAGCAGAAGAGTGTCGTGGAAATTTGTTCACTCACTTATTCATTGTTATAATCCATACAGAAATGAGTTCGCAAATCCGACAAAACTTCCACCAGGACTGCGAGGCTGCCATTAACAGACAGATAAACCTGGAGCTGTATGCCTCCTATGTTTATCTCTCTATGGTAAGAAACGCTTTCAAGCCAGCAGCTCGATGTGCATCTTCTCTGCTCAGCGCTCATAGCTCACTACTGCTTGTGATGAAACAAATGTTTTCTCATCTTTCTTTTTGTTCATTTTTAGGCCTACTACTTTGATAGGGATGATAAATTCCTGCCAAATTTTGCAAAGTTCTTTCGCGCACAGTCCAAAGAGGAGAATGAACATGCAGAGAAGCTGATGAGTCTGCAGAACAAGAGGGGAGGCAGGATTTTTCTGCAGGACATCAGAGTATGTACTGACACTTCTTCTACTTAACATTGTTACAGTGTGTCAAGAATGTCAGTTTTATTTTTATTTTTTTCACAGCAGGTTGGTTAAAGAAAAGGGCTTTTGGAGATAAATTTAAATGTTTACTAAATATGGTGCAAGTACCATTTTATGATGAAATGATTAATTATCAGTTGGTTATTTTAGTGGACTCAGCATATCATGAGTATTGAATTGTTGTGAATTATTTATGTCTGTCTTAGAAACCTGATAGAGATGAGTGGGGGAGCGGCCTGGAGGCTTTGGAGTGTGCCCTGCAGCTGGAGAAAAGCGTAAACCAATCTCTGCTGGACCTGCAAAAAATGGCAACTGATCACAACGATCCTCATGTAAGCAGCAAACTAAGGGCTAATGCACACAGGCTCCGGCTCTGTCAAGTCCCAGCTCCTTTTACAGCTGCAGGAAACAATCTGCCGCCATTTTACTCAGCACTATTGGCATTTGACTTAATATTAATTTTAATGATACATTTCATTTGTTTCTTGACACAGCAAAACTTGTTTTTGGTGTTTGTAGTTAGCGAGGGGTTAGGATTATGGTTAGGGTTAAACCGCCCATTCAACCTCAGTTTGTGTGATCAGCTATACTCTGTTGTTTAATATGGCCAAATTCACAATATAGCTGTTTTCGTTTACGTATTTTCTGTCGTCAGACAACGACCAGCACTCATTACCAAGCTGCTGGGTTGTAAATAAAAACATTATTTTATGATCACGACATTGTCAGGCAATATCAACAAAGGGGTTAATGACAGCAGCTGTGCTGTGAGAGTGGGTGTACTGACATTTAAAATAAGTGATGGCAGAGAAGATCTGAAGACAACAGGTTGTCATATTCAGTACTGCTCAAAAGCTGACCTGTTACACATCTAAATAACCTGCAAACCTGTATTCATGCTTGTAAAACACAAGAAATGTCACCAAAACATCTAAAAAAGCTGAAGTCCGCTGGAGAACAAACACTAATGAAACGTTTCTGGTGGAGATTGAAACTGCAATGGAGCCACAGCTGGATACTGTGCAGGTATTGTATGTTTCTGTGGTGTGAAACATACAATACCTGCCATTTAGAGGATCTGACAGTCTAATAAGAAGCAAAATTTTGTCATTTATTTTCCACAGATGTGTGACTTCATAGAAACACATTTTCTGGATGAGCAGGTGAAATCTATCAAACAGCTCGCTGACTGGATCTCAAACCTGCGTCACATGGGAGCCCCTCAGACTGGCATGGCCGAGTACCTCTTTGACAAACACACCATGGCTGAAGAAGGCAGTTAAACTACAGTGTGACACTGATCATCCTGCTCACCTCTGCATGCAAGCCTGCCCCCAAATCCTGTACATGCACTACATATGTTTGCAAAAGCCATATATAGCTCTCTAAACTGGATTACTCCAGACCTCACTTGATGTTACATTCCAGTTTACAAACTATCATAGATGTGTTTTGTAGAAATAAAAACTGAACAGACCTTTATTTATTGCTTATTATGTGTTCATACTTATATATGTCACTGATCGTGGTATGGTGGCTAAAACAACAATTTAATGTCTGCACTGCAATTTGAAATCAGCTTTTTAAAATATTTTCTTCTCTTTGAGCAGTAAGTGTATGGAGGCTGGACTGTGCCACTAGAACATTTAAAGGCTTTTATAATATGTAAAATCACAATGACATGGAAATGAATTCAATACTTTAAAAGTGGATTTGAAAATAACTTCAAAGCACACTTTTTGTTACTCCATGTATTGTTGTATGTGTCTTATGATATTCCATCCCACTGCTTCCACATTTGTCTCCTGATATTAGCATTTACAGTTTATGTTTTTCCACTCTTAGCCAGTGTGTCACATAAAAAATAATTTAGGTCTAACCCAACCTGGGGGTTGACTCCTGTCTAACCTTTTTATCTTTTTTTTTTGTTGTTGTGAATGCTGGATACTTTTACCTCTCTTGAAATGGCCCTAGAAAGAACAATTGCTCTTTGGTTTAACTGTTAACAATTCCTGTCCATACAAAGGCCATGCCTCTGTTTTAACAAACATTGGGAAGCACTGCTGTAGAATCACTTTATGTACACCATATATCATTCCTGTTACAGACAGCTGCTGTTTTTGTGTTTTGGATCCCTAATTTTAAGTCCTGGTACAGTGGTTGCATGTCTTTAAATAGAATGAAATGAAAGTAAAGAGCAAAGCAAAAACAAGTAATTTGGAGACACATTAGTAAATAGAATAGTCCATAATTTAAAAACAATATCATTAAAATGAATTTATCGGCCCATTTAGTTATAATTTAACTGATTTGTACGTTCTTTTGTGAGTTTCATTTAAATTCATGTTCGATGTCCCTCTTTGTTGTTTTTTTTTACTGATACACTCGAAAAAAATCACCAAATTGATAATTAACCGAGGTTATGAATTACAGAGGTTAGAAATTAAAGTATTAGTCTCAAAGATCTCAGTTTCTTATCTTTGGTGACACCTACTTGTATCACTAACTCTGTGTTAGTGACTCGTGTTCCTTGTCATTTTGCGAGTGAGTCATACCAGACTCCCAGTTCATAAAACTAAAATGCAAGGACTTCTACAGTATATAATGTCAACATTGGATCATAGGTTCAGTCGCCATTGTGTTACCTCATTCTGCGACAGTGACTTAAAAGACACTTATTTAAATGCAAATCTTTGAGATTGCCACTTTAAGATGGCACACTTAACCCTCCATATGTCGTATAGGCACATAGTATTCATGTCAAACTGCCTGTCAGTGAGTGTACCCATGAAATACAGAGTGGCTCCTTTAAATGCGCCAGTTGTATGAGGTGAATTGCTCATGTTTTGTGGGTTAACTGCAGATGGCGACTCAGTAAGGCGACTGTACAGTAACTTCTTTAAATTAATTCTAATGTTATCTGGGCACACTGATGTAGATAAGCAGGTGAAAGCCATACAAATGTTTCCTCAGCTATTTCATTGTTGGACAGATTGCCTCTCTCTGCAGATGCTTTATATAAGATGTTTTATGAATATACGTTGGTGTGAATTATACAGTATCCTTGAATAATAAGAAAATAAAGTACTATACAAATTATTTGCAGGTTTTAATTTTTTATTGAAAAAATTCTTGTTAAAATGACAAAAGAAGCATAATGTGATAAGTAATATTTATTAAGAGTACACTGATGGAAACTGATAAGACTTCTAGAGTTTAAGAATATACACATTTTGGCCTCTTGTCACTTGAGTCTCTGCAGAAACTGCAAAGTATTTATTATTCTTCCTTCACATGTTGACGGTTAAATCTCATAAGGTGCTTTTTGCATTACAAGTAGGTTAATTCTTCTGGAAGAGTTTGTCAGGAAGTAAGAGATTAACTCAGTGTTTGCAACAAATCCTTTTCAATTGTGTGTATGGCTTCAGATGATGTAATGCCTTTCAGATGTAAGATAGGTCAGTACCTGTGTGTGTGTGTGTGTGTGTGTGTGTGTGTGTGTGTGTGTGTGTGGGGTGTGTGTGTGTGTGTGTGTGTGAGAGAAATATTTTGAATGCCACACGTGGTATAAAAACAGTGTGTCAATCTTGTTCTCTCCCTCCTGCCGCCTTGTTCACCCCACCATCCACCAAGACACCCAGCAGGTCCCCTTCAGCCAGTGAGATTCCTGAATCATTGGGGGAGTTTTGCTGATTGGTTTCTTGTTGCGATGATGCTGAAGTGGAAACTGTGTTCATGTTACTGCTCAGCCCACCGTTGGTGCCCCCGTTGCTTGCCCTCATGTTGGCGCTGAAGTTCCCATGGTTACTAAAATTACTGTGACTTGTACCGTTGCAGAGAGTTCCCGTCGTGCCAGCGCCGTTGGTGCTTGTTGCATTAATGCTGCTAGAGCTGCTGTTGGGATTACTGGGATTTGCTGCGGCTGTTCGAGAGGGAGGAGTGAACGAGAACACCCTTTCTCCTCCGCTTCCTGCGGCTCGAGCACTCGGGGGTCCAGGCTGGCTGTCGGCTGAGGGGAGGTTGTCCAGAGTAAGGCGAGGAGGGGGAGGCCGGCGAGACAGCAGGCCGTGTCCTGGTCTGAGTTTAGATATTGGGCAGAGTTCAGGTAGAGGGTCAGGGAAGGAGAAGGTAGGGGCACTCTGCATCTCCCCATCCTCACTCAGCCAGGGGAAAGCAGAGGATGGCGGTGGGGGGACATGGTTTGGGGTGTCAGGAGGCAGCAGCTGTGAGCCCACCGTTGGAGGGGCGAGGGAGCTGCAGCTGCGATCCCATTCATTCTGGGCTCTCCGGGCGGGTCGAGGGCGGGGCACTGCAGGGGGCACGCAGTGGATGGGTGTTTGTGGGCAGCTGTAGAAACCTGGTCTCTCATACAAGGGCATGGTGGAGAAGGCATAGTCTGGATCTCGCTCCTGGTTCAAAGGCTGGCGAACTTGACTCGGAGTTGATGGAGCCTCTGGGTGCAGGTAAAGAGGGAAGCGACTTAGTGGAGCTCCAGGACGGCGGCGCAGCAGAGAGACCCGGGAGGAGCGAGGAAAGTTAGGGGACTGAACACCAAGAAGACGACCCAGCCCTCCCAGCAGTGGGGTGGAGTAGTTGGCTTCTTCATGTTCTTTGATCTGCTCCAGATTGGACTGAAACTCCATCTCCTCCTTAGGAACACTGGTTTAGATCACACAGATGGTCACATGACAGCGTATTTCAGAATTGTGTACCAGGAAATAAAAACATTACTGAACCTGATATCCAGGGCTGAGCCCATGAAGGAGGGTTTGCGGTGTTCAGCACTGGCAGCAGTGTAGGGAGGCTGAGGCTCAGACTCATTCCAGTACATATCCCTCTCAACCAGCGGCAGGCTGTCGTACATCTCATCCACAGACAACAAGGACACCTGGGACACGATGAAAATGACAGCAGGTACAACAAGACAGCTGCTGTCTACAGCTGATAAAAAAACAAACATCAAACAGTTTAGATCCAAACCTGTAAATTGCGATCAACAAGCCAGTTGGTCTCAAAGTCATCATCGTCTTCACCAAAAGGGTTTATGAGTTGCTCAGCCACCTGAGACCATGAAAAGAAAAGGTCAACAATACAGCTCAGGATTTGACAAATTAATATCACACAAAGAATCTGATGTTCCTCACCTTCAGCCAACCAACGTAGAAGAAAAACTGCAACAGGGTGAACACAGGCAGGTAGAAGTCCAGATCATGACCTGGGTAACCCTTAGCTGGATCCAAGAACTGACGACCAATCAGACAAGCCAGGAAAAAGCTGTAGACAGCAACTGTCACCACCTAATTAAAAAACATTTGTCAAGTCCGGCAGTGTCTCGTAGCAACCACAGAGAAAGATTTACCAAGTCTCTAGGAGAGTTGTTTTATTGCTCTTTTGGTTAAATTTTTAATTTTGATTAAACCAAGTGAATCACTTCAGGTACCTGATGATTACTATAAGAACACAATTAAATTTTTTTAGGAGCAAAAACCAGTAGCCTCATTTTGGCTTAGTGTCACAATCATTGGCAGGGTTGTTTATTTTTCTAACACATAATCATTTTGTAATTATCACTAAATGAAAACTACTAAATCTATTTGTTCTACTGCCACAGTATACAGCATCAACAAGACCTGAGTATAGACAAGAGGCAGGCTGATCCAGTCATAACCGTACAGCTTCATACACTTTGCCCGTAAACTATTCAACTCCTGAACAGAGAAAAAAGCAGGACATGGAGAAACCATTTAAAAAAAATGCTTCAAAGACAAGATTTTATCAAAGAGACGACGCTCTGCTGGCCTGCAGACGGATGCACATGAACACCTACAGTGAGAATGGCTGTGAGCGCCACGTCATTGTTGATGCGACCCTCAGTCCGAGCTCTCAGAGCCAGACTGACGAACCACATGCACGGGACCCAGAACTTGTTATGAGGAGAGGGTAAGTCCTCTAGGTGCCTCAGCTCCTCTGATGTCATCAAACCTGAAAGACAAACACGGCGTGGAGATAGAAGCAGCCGAAACAGCATAAACAGAGAAAGCACCACACCAGTGTCTTCATGATTTTAAACAGTGCAAACAGAGCCAGCAGCTCTGGGTGTGGTTGTCTGGTATGTGACAAGACTGGCAGGCCAATGAGCAGTGAGTTTTAGTGGTTTCATCACCACGTCGTACCTGCCTGCACCAGGTGCTCCGTGGTGGGGAACCTCTTGTAGACGGCCGTGCTGACAGAGCGGTAGATGAGCACACCAGACAGGTTGGCGTATCTCATCAGAGTTCGGCGGGTCAGCCTGGACGCCTCGTCAGCCCCTCGAACATGACCACCCACTAATGCTGCCAGGCGGTCCGGCCAGGGGACATTCTCAAACTGGCCCCACCAACGGGACACGACCAAGGTCACGTAGAAACCTGGTTAAAAATGTAAAAATTGTGGCATTAGAGGCTGTCTGCAGTGGTGGTTTCCAGGAATTTAGATTTTTGCACATTTGGACGATCATTCAGATTTAAATGAGATGGTGGTGCAGTTAAACTATCATCATCATCATACAAGGTATAAAACAATCAGCCTCAGACTCACCCAGCACAAAGGACACTGGGATGAGCTCTGCATAGCGGTCACAGTATATGGACAGCCTCTCAAACAGCCTCTTCTGGTCATCATTGAACACAAACCTGGTGAAGGAAACATCTGCTGAGTCCCATCTATGACAACTGAGGAGAGACCTGTGACAAGAACCGGAACCACTCTTTTTCTGCTCTAACATATGACAGCATATTATTCCCACCATGATAAAAAAAAATATATATATATTGTTACCTCATGACTGGAAAATATTCTTGTTTTAAAAAGGTTCTTTTCATGTTGTAACAACATATTTTTTGTGTTATCATGACATATTCTCATTATAAGAAAATACCTAATTAAACCCTTTTTAAATGTTAAATGTTTCTTAGCATCATTTTGTCTTGTTATATCACAAAATGTTCCAGTTATTACAGTCAACATGTCTCTTTAAAACAATAAAATCTTTCTCACTATAACAACATTCAAACTTCTCTCATTAAAACAAGAAAGTTTTCTCTTTATAACATAAGTTAGTTTGTTGTCATGAGAAGTAACATCCATATGTTGTTAGAATTAAAAAAAAAAAAAGGGTCCAGTCTTATTAATTTAGTATGTTGTAATAATGAGAAAAGTCATTATAATGTGAAATATAATCTTGTTATTGCAGGAAACTGAGCAAATATTTGGTGGTCTGGTGTATCGAACCTGTGATGTAAACAGTTGTTCTCTAAAACTCTAAAACCTCCTTGTTGAGTGAATACATACTGTTAAATAATGTCACAATGAGACCTGATGAATCTGGTCTATGTATTGGCCGATACTGACTTATCAAATATTTGAGAACATTACATAGTTTGACCACTAGAGAGCACTGACAGGAGTATTTTTCAACTGGAGAATGTCTTCCTCAGTATGTATGTGTGGCCTTGACAAAGGGAAAAATTTATATCAGAAAAAATATCAATATAGGGAATAAAAATCCAGTATGGGTCAGGCTTTCTGCAGAGTGGAGGACATGAACAATGGCAGCTGAAGTTCAGTGTTTTCTCTTGGGCGAGTACCTATAAACAATACTGAAGAAGTAGTAGAGCAGAGTGAAGATGATGAGCTCTCTGTAGAGAAGTTTATAAATGCTGCCTTTCCATCGCAGGAGCAGGTGAAAGAAGGTTCCCAGACCTGCATCAGCAACCCTGCGGGAGTACGTTACTGTCATTGCTGCTCCTGCTGCTGCTCTTTGTTGGCCAACTTGCTGGCTGACTGTGGCCTGACATAAAGGAAACCAGTGTGGTGTTGTTTTCTGTGCTTCGTCGTAGCTCAACGTCAGCGATCAGCCTGGATCTCATAAGGCCAGTGAGGTCTCATATCCTAAATTGTTCAGTAAAACAAAACAGGAAGCTTAGTTGAGATATGTTTATTACTTATTCTACAATCCAAATATTTAGTTTATACACTCATATTGTATTGAGATACAGAGAACAGAAACCCATGCTAAATCCACTGCATTTTATTTTCCATTTTCTACACACTTCATAATTTTCCACATTTTATAGATCTGAAAAACACCACTACATCTGAGGAGATGTTTGCAGAGCTACAACAGGCTAATACAATATTTGAGGGTCACAAGAGGTCAAATTTGCCAACTAAAACACAAGACTGTGAAGTTGTGGTTACTCACCACTGAACATGAAAACGTCTGGCCTTCTCACTCACTGTGGCTCGAGATGTGTGTCGGCAGCGTCTGAGGAGAATGTTGGAGAAAGGAAAGCAGGAAAGAAAAAGAGAGCAAGGGACTCGTACACCTCCGGTCACTTGATGTGTTAATCTGTTTCAGCAACAAAGCTGCATTGTGAGTCCAGGTCCTGTTAATCTGAACAAATCTGAGGACAGCAGAGCACCCACACTGCCACAAATAGGTTGGTTACAGGCATAACTGCTGAGTAGCTGTGTTTAGATTTTTGGAAATATGACTTAATGAAACCAAATTTCAGCCACTTCACTGACTGTTGTCTTCAAAGTTTAACACCCATGTCATTTCTCTCTGCAGAAACTTTTGAACATATAATCTCATTTCTGGATTTCACGAAACTTGATTATTTTCTATTTGAAGCATCTTGCAGCATTTGATAATATAAAGCTCCTGATCAGGTGAGAGTGTGGGGGACCCCCCCCTGCTGGAAGAAATGTGTACAGCTGAGTTGTTACTGGTCAGAAAGTGTTAGTGATTAACCCTTCCTGTCGAACCAGACGACCAGCAGCAGGGCGAATTGCGGACAGAGTTTAACTTGCTGAACCCTGAAGATTATCAGAGCCCTATTTTACAGACTGACAATAACTGGGAATCAGTTTTGAACACTTTGGTGAGTATATCATGTGTATTTATTTGTTCTTAACTCAGCCTGGAAGTGTAACTCTATTAAACTCTCACATGTGCGTGATACTTGCAGGATACTGTTTCCTACCTTATGTTTACACTGGCTATCTCAAGCCTGACCTCTTATGTCTCTGCAGTGTACATAGAGGGAAGTCACAGTACGAGTTATAGTTTAACACTGTAGAGGTCATGTCTTGTCAACTGGAAGACTTTTGACTGTGCAAGTTTGTAAAGCAAAACTTTTATGAACCATTTAGTTGTCATGTGATTTTAAGTTGCTGTATGTAACTTTTTCTTTTCTGTATTTTAGGTGCTTGACAGCTACAGACTTCAAGGCCATCATATGCCACTTAAAGAATCTGACAAACTAAATCTTCTCCGGAGTAACTAGTAGTTTCTGACGAGTCTCTGCGCTGCCCTAGAGAGAGACAGACATGGATGCTTTTGAGGGAATTCACAGCGTCCAGATTTCCTCCTCTCCACCATCTTCAGCTTCATCCAGCCGGGGATATGAAGTCCTCAAGGCGGGGAGATCTGGAATAGCAGTGTACTCCTCTACAGTCTTCTTTGGGACACCTGATGCGGTGGGACAGCCAGCTTCCAGACACAAGTCCAGCAGACAAACCGAGGAGGAAGGCTGTGTTGTTGGGCGGTAAGTGTTAAATCACAAAGCACTGGGGCAAGACAGTTGAGTTTACCTGAATGGGATAAACAGGAGAATTACATCAACATAATGCATGATGGTTGTTTGTAAAGATACATGTATGTAGCCTATTCATGGTCCTCAGATGACTCCCTTAGGGTTACCACAATGACAGTATGGTAGCTACAGCTACCCAAGTGCTTTAATTACCGCCACCTAGTAGAGACAGTTGTGTCATTTTGCACAATATCTATCAACAACAGTCTTCTCAGATGTGGCTATAATGTTCAACCAACTCCAGTCCTAAGAAATCTGACTTATGTTGAGTTGACTTGAAGAGATCTTGACGTGCTCTCTCACAATTTCCACCCACCATGAAGACTGTGCCCTGTCAAAGGGATAATGCTTTCACCTGTGACAATCACAGTAAGGTAGTAGGCAGGTGGTCGAGTCACATGACTACACATGTAAACTAGCAGACAAAAGTCTATGTTTAGTCACTAGTTTAACTCCAATGATATTATTTTAGGCGTGTTTTGCATGTAAAATCTTATTTGGACAAATGTAGTGAAGAACTGCCAAAACAGAGGAACCTCATCAGGGTTTTTTCCAGTCTGTGGGCCTACTGCAGAGGTCAGATCAGGGCTTGATTTCATTTTAATTTTTGCCTTTATTAGAAAGCACAATAGCGAGCTGACAGGAAATGCGTGTAGAGAGGTGGGGGATGAATGCAACTCATGTTCCTGGCTAAACCAGTGATGTTGAGATTGCACGGTCAGTGTCTTAAAGCCCTCAGTCACCAGGTCACCACGATATGCTTTTTGACTCAGAGGTTTGTTTCATACTATATTTTAGTGTGTGTACACACTATAGTACACTTGTTTTTATTCAATGTGTAAAGTGCGCAGCGAGTCCTTAGGTGATTTTGCACTATTAATAAAAAAAGTTAAGGTTGTAAAATGCCAGAAAATAGTGAAAAATCTCATCATTATTCCCTTATTCCCACTGAAAAGCCCAAAGATGTTGGATTTACTATCAATGAAAAATGTGAAAACCAGGAAATATTCTGATTTGAGAAGCTGCTATCAGTGGATTTTTGGTATTTTTGCCAAAAAAAAAAACCCAACTCTATTAATAAATTATCAAGATTGTTGCCAGTGAAGTTTCTGTCAATTGAATGTCAATTGACTAGTCAAGCACTGAGTGGTTTCTGTGTGCCTGGGGTTAGGGTTGAAACTGGTATGTATGGTGACTGGGCCCAACATCAAATCTTCCTTCTGGAGGTTAATCTCACATATTTGTAGATAAACAGCTGATAATATGAGGTGATACGTCATACAATGAAAGGATGAGCCTGTCAGTGTTACTGTACGTGCTGGATGTGGAGGTAAGCTCTTGGCTGTGGGGGGTGGTGGGGCTCCGGACAGGATATGTAGTTGGGGGCGCTGGGAGTGGATGCGCTGTCATGTGACCTGTGAGAGGAGGCAGAAACAGAGAGGAGACACTCGCTTTCTCGCCTGGGAATAACACCGCGGAGATGAGAGGAAAACCACTGACAGATAAGGCTGGAAAAGTGTAAACCACCGTTGGTGTTAGACTTTTGTTTATTTATTTATTTTTTAACTTGATCGTTTTTGTGACCGTTGCTGTTGTCGGTTGTCTACGTCAGCGTCCGCATTCCTCCGCTGGCTGTGATTTAAAACTGCTCAGATTAGTTTCAGTGAACCGAGCTAACCTCAACTACGGTCTGTACATTACTTGTTAATTCAACAACAACAACAGCTGAAGGACGCTGGAGGGGAGAAGCTGACACACTCACGGACAGGGGGGGAGGTTTATCTTCTGTCCTGGACACTGACTGACGGGGTAAGGGCGGCCGCTGAGGGGAAACCTCTCCGTATCAAAAAGTTGTAGCTAACGACAACTAGCTGGCTAAAAGTGCAGCTAAATGCTTGCGAGGAGCTGCTTTGACCATTAACTTTACAGCTTCAGGGGTCAATAATGACCGTGACTAACAGTCTGATGGCTTTAACCAACATGTAATGTTGCTAATGCTGTAGCAGAGGGTCCCAAACGGTGGTCCGGGTCCTTCGGGGGCTGTTTTAGTCACCAGCAGTAACTAAGTGAGAATACCATAAAGATATAATATAAATAGAGCTGGGAAAGATTTTAATAAACTTTATATTCAATTCAGTATGTCAGCATCGTTCAACGCAGCCTAATGTTTTGATGTTTTCTTGTGTATTTTACATTTTCTTAATTCTGGATCACCTGACTAAAGCTAATGCAGTCTCAACAGCCCTGTAATAAATCCTGTCTTCATGAAGATTGTAACTATTGTCTGGAGCAATAAAATCTTATTGCAGTTTTGTTGACATTGACTGTAAACAGGGTAGATAACACCCCACACTCCTGGAAATCAGTTTCAACAAAAACTGAACTATATAACCATAATAATAAGGTAGGGTTTATTAGTTTTAGCTATGTGTGCCTAATAAACAACTGAATAAACAACCATATGATATCATCAAGTCCTACATGAGAGAAGAGGTTTCATGCTCTTCACTTTATGTGTATCCCTCTGTGAATCCATGACATGAAAAACTTTGGGAAACCTCTGTCTTGTACCTTGAACCCATAGACCTTGTAGCCTACAACATAAACATTGCAACTTCATGTATTGCACCAAAATGATCTTAAAGGTTAATGTACATCTTCTGCAGTCACAATTTAAACATACACCCAGATGCAACCCAAATTAAGGAGAGAACATGAAATTTTAATGTCCTGTCAATAACCACGTTTACTTTTTTGTTCGTTGTCCTGTGAAGGTTGGTAGATCTGGATCCAGAGCCAGAGTCCAGAGGCGGGGGAGGAGGCCAGGCTGGGCCCACCTCAGGCCGAGACCATGGTGACCTCTCCCGGCTCCGCAGCTCCTCACTGGAAATCAGAGAGAAAGAAATCAGAGAAAAGGGCTCGGAGATCCTTAGGGAACAACTGGACGCTGCAAAGAGGGTGTTGTAACCTACTTGATGCTAACAAAAAACCGCTGACAATGCAAATGTCCTTCCTTGTTAAATGTGATTGTGACCTTTTCTTCTACACACTTCAGGAACTGAAACTGAAAGACAAGGAGTGTGAGCGTCTGTCGCAGGTCAGGAATCAGCTGGAGCAGGAGCTGGAGGAGCTGACGGCTAGTCTGTTTGAGGTGATCGCACTGTAATTCTGACACGTGCTTTAGGCCCTGATGAAGTCTCTGTCCACCAGGCAAACTATGTCCATTATTCACTCTGCTTTTTGCTCAGTTTTTGGTCTCCATCAACTCCACTATATTCAGAAGCTGGTTGCTTACGTTATCTGTATGTTGTTTGGTGCTGGCTGAACAGTGCAGTCGGTTTATCCGTTTAAATTTCTCACTGGAAACACTTGGCTGCTGTTGCTGCTGCTGGAAATGACAATGATAAGAGCAAAGAGGCTTAAACAAAAAACAGTGAAGTTATGGGCACTGAAAGATGGAGAGAAAAACTGCAGAGTTGGATGATTATTCTCTGGGTTCATCACTACTACAACACAGTCCACATTTTATGGCAGGTTTAACTGTGGAGAAACATCAAATATCCTGACCAAACTTGAACTAGGAACGTTACAATTAAATGGTCTGCGTCTTAAACCTCTAAGTCACGTAGACACCGCAACTTGAATGGTTTAAAGCTGCACTCTACAGCATTTTAGCCTCTTTGATTCACAAACTCCTTTGTCATCAACTTTGTTTCCAGCAGCAGCAGCAGCAGCAACAGCAGCAGCTGTTTTCAGCAAAAAAGCTCTGACAACACCACTGGTCACTACCTGCTCAGCAAACCATGGCAGACACACTAAGTTAACGACTAGCTGGTGAACATAATGGTGCAAAAGAGTTTAATGACTTAGTTAGTTATCCTGGTTATGATCAGATTTTTTGAGTGAGACAAAACTGTACACAGATTATAAGAAACCTGGATACTGTTAGAATCATTTGTACAGGGATATAAATAACCAGGTGTCGCATGTTCTATGTAAACATCACATCCCTAATATGATCAAAACCAGGATAAGGCACCAAACAGGGATACCAATGTGCACGCACACACTCAGTGTTGTGACGCCAGCTTGTTCTGCTTCTCCCAGGTGACATAAAAAAGATCAAAATAATTCAGCTTTAACTTCTTTTTTAACAGATTTACCCTTTTTTACCCCCCCTCAGTTTAAAAACAACTTCCAATCAGATATTTCAGATGTCACTTTTTAAACCCACCATAAAAAGACAGCAGATATCTTCAACTTGTTGCAGTGTTTTAACCGTGTTAATGTAATCTACTTCACAACAGGAAGCTCACAAGATGGTGCGTGAAGCGAACGTCAAACAAGCAGCAGCAGAGAAACAACTGAAGGAGGCTCAGGGAAAGGTGTGTGAGGTTGTTTCTCTGTTTCTGTACTCCAGTTAAAACTTCAGGAGATGCCTCATGAACTGACATCTTGTCCCGTTAAAATTTCTTAGCAGCACCTGAACTATTCTTGAATCCACCTGATTTGTCTTAAAATAGGCTGCTACTGTAAGTAGTTATTTTGAGATATATTCTATGAACAATAAAAGGACATAAATAGAGTTTTGTTGATGTTATTGATTTCTCTCCCGTCATCAGATTTCATCCCTTTTTCTTTTTTCTTGCCTCTGCTGTTTCTGTGTGTGGCTCCCAGATTGACGTTCTGCAAGCAGAGGTGACGGCACTCAAGACTCTGGTGTTGACATCCACACCCTCTTCACCAAACCGCCAGCTGCACCCACAGCTGCAGGCTTCGGGAACCAGGGGAGCGTACAAACATGTCGGAGGACACATCCGCAACAAGAGCGCGAGTGGTGCCTTTCCATCTTCACCGGGAAAACCAGAACCTTCATCAGTTTCAATTCAGCCTGTGGCCAAAGAGGACAGAGAGGTAAGCTGAACGACATTTTGAACACTTACCTATCTTATCCTTAAAATGTGTTTCTGCATCTTTGGACTTGTGCATTCTCTTTTCCCAGCACTTACTCTCTTGTTTCCAGTTCTCCCTATCTCTTACCTAAGCTGAGTTCTCTTTGCTTTTTGATCCGTCTTTTCTCGCACTACTAACCTCTGCCTGACTTGTTCTTCCTCTCTGTCTTTGGTGTCTCTTCCTCTCTCAGCCTGCTGTTCCTGCTCTCCTCTCTCTGATTCTCTGCCTGGTTCCTGGACAGTCTGTCAGTGTGACCTATGACTCTTATTGGCAGGAGCGGGGAGAGGGGCAAGGCATTGACAGCAGACAGGTAACTGAATCCGTTCGATCAGGCTCGGTGGAGTTTTCGCTGTAGCTGCTACATCTGCATTTATGGGACAGTGAGCAAGTTTTTCCTGTTCAAAGTGCCAATAATCCACAGTATCCCTTGGGAAAAGTGTATTATCAGTCTTCATTTGAGAACAACATTGTTTAGATGGGAGTTTAGTTGCACAGAAACTCATAAACTGAGCGTGCTGCTTCTGTTCTGCTCTTTTTAGCATTTTCTTTTTCAATCAAAGCAGTAAATAAGAGTTGGTCTTTGTAATGCAAGTGTTTTTACTGGAGAGTAATTTTTGACTGTAAAAATATGCCGGTTGTGCTCTATGCAGCAGGGACAGAATTTTCACTTTGTTGTTCAAGGAGGTGCTAATAATGTGGAGAGCAAAATCATTCCTGCATGGCCTCCTTATGCCTCTCTCACCAACTATATTTTTGACATGCCCCATTGCTCTGGGGATGGCAGTGTCAGTTTCTTAGTCAACCACTTTGCAACTGCATTGAAATTTGGTACACATACCACCTTGTGGCCCAGGAGGTAAAGCGTGTTGTCCACTAACTGCAGGCAGTTCAATCCCCAGCTGACTTTTCCACATGTCAAAGTGGCCCCCAGTTGGCAGGCTGTTGCCTTGCATGGCGTAAAGCGCATTGTCTGTTATATAAGTGCAGTCCGTTTACCATTTACATATCCATCGGATCAGCCCAGAGGGTGAATCCTAATGGTTTTGCTGAGTTTTTCTCCAGTGCCTTCGACAGCTCAAATCTTTTCTTTAGCGCCATCATCAGGTTAAAATTTCAGTTTGTCCATTACTTTGATTTGTGACCAAATACCTGTCAAATTAATGATATTCCCACCAGCCTCCATTGTACTTTGTTTATTATTGTTTATATTTATAATCAGCAAATTTTAGCATGCTAACATGTGGGCTGGTGAATGTGGTAACATAATACCTATGTAACATTAGCGTGTTAGCATTTCGCCCAAAGCACCACTGTGTCAAAGTACACAGCCTCACAGAGTCGTGAGGCTGTAGACCCTTAATCTTTTTGAAATATGACTTAATGTTAAGTTTCTGTGATGTAATATAGTCAACATATTAGACAGGTAGTATATTGACAGGGTGAGTGATGCATTGTTTTCTGTTTGCAGATGGACTCAGTTCTGTATGCAGAGTTTCTGATGTGGAAGGAACATCCGAGTCTAGACCGCTCCTCCGCCTTCCTCAGTCGAATCTACAGAGAAGACATTGGACCCTGTCTCTCTTTTACAAGATCTGAGGTCACAATCTCACTGCTTCTTAGAAGAAACATTATGTCACTGCATTTGTCATATTTTGATGTTTGAATTTTCATTGACATTATCGATTCCTGCTCTCCACAGCTGTCCCAGCTGGTGCAGAGCGCAGTGGAAAACAACTCTCTGACTATCGAGCCTGTGGCCATGTCAGCGTTACCGATGGTTAAAGCCTCAGCTATAGAATGTGGAGGCCCTAAGTGAGTTGTCACGTCCACCTATTAAATGTCATCCTCTCCTCTCTGGTCACCATTCACTCCTAAACAATGGCCAAAACCAACACTGAAAATTCACTCTAATTTGGTTTTGGTTTCTCCACTGATGATTTATGGTCATGGGCTTTTCACTGTCTTACCATTTATCAAGAGAGGAGTTTTAATCAACGGGCACATTTCTAATCACTGTCTGATTTAAAAATCTTTTTTTCCAGTGGCTTTAGGGCAGCAATAGAGACGTAAGTCCTCCTAAGAACCAATAACCTGTCCAGCTTTTCACTAACACAAATGACTGTGGAATGAAATGAAGTCTGCCTATCCAGACATCGTAAAAGATGTAAACAAATCTGTAAACAAATGACCCACATGGGGCTCTGCATGTGTCTGTCTAATCTAACCTAGAATCTTTTACTCTTTCAGTCACTAACTTCGTGCACCTCTGTTGTTGTGCTGTCTTGTAAAACGTATTTCCACCTGGAATGTGTTCTCCTAGGATACCTACGTTTCACTGTTGATAATACCTTAAGAAATGAAAGTCATGTTCAGTGTTTGCTGTGATTAAAACGTATCCACATCTTGTAGCTGTGATTTTCATTTTTTTAACAGCTGATCTTTCTCCGTTTGTAGGAAATGCGCATTAAGCGGGATGACACGACTCTGTCGACATCGCATTAAACTTGGCGACAAGGGGAGCTACTATTACATCTCTCCTTCCAGCCGAGCACGGGTAACCATCACTTCGTCCCTGTAACCTTCACTAGATACACTGCTGTTAAGCGTTGCTGCATGTCACCTTGTCCTCCTTTCACCCTTCTAGATCACAGCAGTTTGCAATTTTTTTACATATATCCGCTACATCCAGCAGGGCCTGGTGAGACACGATGGTAAGTTAACCTGTATTTACATGTGAAATATTAAGTTGTTTTTTGTGGTATTTGTCTGTTTTGCCTCCTTTTGCTTTTTTCTTTGCCAACAAGGGTTTTATTGAGCCGACTGACGTGTTGTATCTGTTGTTGTCATCTCTCTGCCGCCCTGCAGCGGAGCAGATGTTCTGGGAGGTGATGCGTCTTCGCAGAGAAATGACTGTGGCCAAGTTAGGTTTCTACCTCACTGACCAGGGCTAGTGGACCTGACAGTCCACTGAGACACCCGACAGGACAAGCATGATCCTAGGACATTGATTATTCAGATGAGTTTGGGTTAAACTGTGGTAACAAACAGGTCGTGGATCTGTTTTTGTAGCAGAGGTTGTACAGCATTAGTTACAGCAATAGTGCTGCAGCAGAGGTCAACCAACAAGGGAAGCATGTTCTGGTAATTAAAAAAAAAAAATTGAACCACAGCTAAAAAGACATAAAAATAACACAATTCTAAAGATAGTGTTACTCCCAGATATGTCAAATATATTCCGTTATACTGCAGGCCTCCAGTAATTCTCCCAAGTGAAGAGAATCGTTTTTTTATCTTGTGAGCTCTGAACCTCCCCGGTGGAGTACATACAACTTCTCATGTTAGCACAATAGATTCTAGATGCATTATTCTGTTGGAAAGATGAGCACAGGATGAAAACAGCAGAGAGTTAAGTTGATCTCTTACCTCATGTATTACATACGTAGATAATTATATATGTAAGATGTTTGAGATTGACAGTTTCCATAGAACAATGATTTGAGTTGTTTTCTTTATTTTTACATTAACGTAATGCTCACCAGCACCTCGTAGTTGCTTTCAGTTATTAGGTCAAACACCACAGCCAAGACTTTTTGTCTCAGCATGGCCTTAATTTTATTGATGCACTACCTGTTCTAGAGGCCTTGTATGAAACACAAAGGAAACGGCTGCAGCCTGTTGCAAGAAAAATAATTTCACATTATCCTGTAATTAATAATCAGATAAACTGTTAATGAATTAATTATTATACCTCCACATTCAAAATAGTGACAGCTTTACAACGTAAACAGAAAATAAACAAGCTTTAATACATGTGATCGCAATATGCACAACTGTTGCAACTGTAGTTTTACACGTCTGCAATGAACAGGATGTAAATACAGAATAAGCCATAAATGACTTTGCATGAATGCAGTACATAGCCATATTATGCAATGTATATTGGTTGTACCTCATACTAAAGATTTATTACTATTAATGACCAGTTTTTTTTATAAAGAACAGTCTTTGAAAGATAAAAATGAAGAATATTGTGTCAGAAAGTGCAATAACTGCTTCTTAGCCTTATCTAGGGCTTTGAGGTTTTCCTAACCTCAGTGTGCTGATAATTAACTGTGTCTTCCAGTATACACACTCCATTAAAAACGAGGCATTGTAGCCTATAACCTTTGTCCCATGTGTGCTTTATAGGACTTTGATTTCTGGTCTTTGTAAAGTTCAGTCTCTCAAAGTTTGAGAGTGATGACTCATCACGGTGTTTCATTTCAAAGCAGTACAGTTGGATGACACAGAGACCTGTTTCTCTCAGGGCACGTCATTGGTTTTAGATTAAGGTCACTGCCAGGAACCGCCTGGTTACCCCGATACAAAATGCTCTGATACACACCCACAGTTGCCTAACAGGTTTGTAAGCAGGAAACAGGCACATGGATCCTGAGGAAATGCTGAGACCATATCCCACTCAGAGGGGCTTTATGGTATAAAAATCTTTTTTTGGAGCAGTCATTCCACTAAGATTTTAGTTTCCGGATTGAAAAGACTTGTAAGCTTGTTATTCTGTTTTCATGGCCTTGTCGTACAGATTACAGCAGACCTTAATGAATGAGCAGCTCAGGGTGACATAATGTGTAGTCAGAGGACAAACTATAACATCAAGGTAAAAACCATCTAGATATCTGCAGTGCTCAACGACAGGGACACTTAGTTATGTAAAACATTGATTTGTTCAGCCTTAGTGTGATTATAAATTAAGACAAAATATTATACTACAATAGACAGTTCAATATTATTATTTTAAGTTGCAAATATATTGAGGACATAAAGTTAACTTTAACATAGAGGAACATTAGAATAAAAAATGACCAAACTCTTACAAATGTTCAGTTAACTTTTTCCTTGACAACACCGAGCAGTGACCAACTCTTCTTTCTTGGGAAAATATCTGCAACAAAGACGTACAGTTATTCATATCTACTGAAATACTTTTATTATCTTTCAGGGCTAAATGAACAGTTCCTATTATATTTATTTTACTTGTTAACATGACTACATGATTTAATAGTCATTAAATGTGCTTTTCTGATCCACATCTTACAGAATTTGTTTCCAGTCTGACCAACAGTCCTATAGTCTGTATCTCAAGAGGAAGGTGCCGGTTCACTGAATAGATGTTCCCAGAAATACAATTTATTTATACTATTGGTATAACATAGCAAAATCTGGTTCATTAAATACCTTCGATAACAGATCATCATCATCACCAGCATGGCCACACCACCGATCACTACTATCACTGCAGTGACGACGGAGACAGCAGACAGCGAGGAGGGCTCTGGATCAGTTCACGCATGCACGCACGCACGCACACACGCACACACACGCACGCACGCACGCACACAGAAACGTTCAGCATCAGAAGGGACACATATCTCAGCAATGTAAGTTAAGATTTATTTATATAGTATATTTTAAAACAGATGTTAAAAGAAAACATTTTAGCACAAAATATCGAACAGCAGAAAATGTGAAAATGTGCTTGAGAGACGGCAGCAGCATCTGAACCAACCTGAGCAAATAAAGGAACCTGGTGTGTTCATACACTCCAGGTTTTGTGGACAAGGAGAAATCTGTTCTTCACATTCATTAATGTCTGTGGCAGTCAAAAACAAATCAATGAGAAATGCAGCCTTTAGTCATTATTATTGCTTTTAGTGAAATTATATCATATGAAGATATTTTGGTCTCATGATAAATAATAAAAAACTATTAAGATGGCAAAAAAAGGTGTAAAAACTTTAAGAAATAGTTTATGAAACAATTTCATCTCAAGGTGAATTCAGTAGCTGTTCTGTAGCTTTTGATCATATCACATGATATTCCACAACTGATGAAGTTTGCCCAGTGGAAATGGCTTTGTAGATGCTGATTTTTATGAGCACTTTCTGAACTCCTCCATTTTGGATTAGAAGATGAGATTGTTCGTTCATTCCTAAACTTGTGGTGTTTGGAACGATTTGTTGACGACTGTTTCCAATATCAAGAATTAACTTTCTATCTCAAAGTTTTAAGCCAACACGGACTAAACAACTTTAAAATCCTCAGAAAAATGGAAATTTGAACATCTACAATTCCATGCCAACTGAGGAAAATCTTGATACTATCGAAAGCTCCAGAACAGATACTAAATGGACTTTGTGGGAAGATTTTTTTTGCCAGTTGCTGTTTCCAAAGTCAAGAATGAACTTCTGTCTCACATCTGTTTTGGTTCACATCTGACACATAAACCATATTGTAAAACACTGGTGTTAATATGATGTCTACTACAGCTGTGCCACCCGGCCTTAGTTTAGTCTTTGTACCTTGACATGTTGGAGGTGTGGGGCTCCACTGGAGGCTGTTTGGATCACAGCTGACAGATGAAGATCCCAGCAGCGTGAAGCCTGAGTGACACTGATACAGAATCACAGAGTCACAGAGCAGAGAGTAGCCAGACTGGATCCTGGGTACTGGACCACAGCTGGGATCTGGGAGAGATGTCAGTGAAAAAACAACACAAACGTGACATCACACTCGAAATATTTCTCTGTCCACACTTCCTCACCTGTGTCTGGTTCTTTCCAGGGGCTCAGGTCGAGGTGGGGGATGAGCGGGTGGGAACAGGCCAGCATGTCCTCGGGACTCTCAGTGCGTGAGAATGCGTCAGCAGGGACGAGGCTGATATGGCTGTTATCACAAATAATGCGGGACAGAGAGACGGCGTGGAGATGTCTCCTCTGGGTGCTGGTGAACACTCCCTCCCTCTCCCACCAAAACCTCAGAGGACAAAGACAGATTTAACCTTCTCTTCTGATTCATGTTGTTAGATCAGCAGATGATCAGTAGAGGATTTAGTTTTACCTGTCTCCATCTCTCAGGGCTCTGAACTGTCTGGCCAGCAGGCAGGCCAGGAGCGGCCCCACTCGGCCTCCAGCCAGAGCGGGCTCAGAGATGGCTCCCACCCACACATCGATGTTGTGTGGCGTCCCGTACAGGAGCTGGAATTTGTGAGCCAAAGTGAAGTTACCCAGGATTTCGGCCAACTCTGTCGTAGAGTTGGGAACAGAGAGGCCGCAGAACCTTCGCCATGAGCCGTATCCTGATGGGACAAGATGAGACAGAAAGCAGGAGTTTAAAGGTCTGATACAGGAAGTGAGACACTGAGGGAACATTAACCTTAATAAGTCTGGTGTTAGAAAGCCTTTTTTTAGAATCAATTTTCCAAACAGAAGTTACAAAGTGCTTAATGAGAAGAGGAAAGAGGAAAGGACATGGCAGAAATGGCAAAATATAAAAACTGGGAGAAAATAACTGTGTAACCCACAAAGTAAAGAAAAAAATAAAAACCAAAGAAAAATAGGTGATCTGGATACTCTAGAGATTTTATCTGAGGCTGTTTCAGAGTTTACAAGCAACAGTAAAAGCACAGTCATCAATCTTCACACAGACATGAAAAAACCCAGGTGTAACCAAAACCGTTAACAATAGCTGCATTTCATTTAGGTGCTGAAGTTCCAGAGGCCTCGTAAATATTTAATATGAACTTTTCGTTTTCCCAGAATTTTGTGCTTATGTCTCACCACCACCTGAAATTTATCAAAAGCAGCTGCAACCGCAACTGTGCAAAAGCACCTCCTCATAGATAAACGGCACACTCTGAGACAGATTTTATAAGTGTACTGACTTTTCCAGAGTGAACACACAACAACAGACCCAAAACCTGGGATGCAGCAACTGTCATGATTACTGTGACAATCTCTTAAATGAATGATGACATTTGAAAGTAGTAGATAAAAGTCTGTCTGTTGAAACAGTCCTTGTTGACAGTCATCAGCCGACTTTCAGTACAAAGTGACTACGTAGCTACAGTATGAGGTAAGAAAGCTGGTACCAGGCAAGCCGTGGTCTCGTCCCCTCTGGAGGTTAAGGGCCCCAAGGTCCAGAGGCATCCCTCCCTGTGCCTGAAACAGCCTCTCTGTCAGCTCCTCCACCATCATCTGACCTGGAGTCTGCAGCTTGGCTGGAGACAGCAACAGGCCGCGCAGCACAGGGTCTATACCACCTGAAAGACAGAAACAGAGCTACTGAGTGAACCATGTGTAAATTAAGTAGAATGAATTACAGCTTTGCTCTTTACCTTCCTCTACAACCCTCCAAGAAGCAAACAGCGAATGGTGCAGAGGCAGTGGGGGATGCTGGGAGTTCGTGGTGTATCCTGGCCCCAGCCTGGTCACCATTGGCTGCACGGTGACGTGGGCAAATCGAAACGCAGCGGCTGCAAAGACGTTTGCGATGCTGGGATCCACTTCAGGATTATAACCTTCATAGGGAGGCATCAGAAGGGACATGGCGATGTCACCAAGGACCCGTGGCAGGTAATGCTCCCAGGTTAGGATCTGGAAAAGACAAGGGAGCCGGTCAGAGTGCTGGGTGTGCTCACGTATGTAGAGGTGAATGGATGTCAAGATCAAACTGTTAGCGCCACCTGGTGAACGGCTCCCATGATCTTGCGGGCCTCCTGATAGAGAACATCAGGGCTCCAGTGAGGGTTGAGCAGGTGCAGCTCGCTGACCAGCCGGTTGTGTTCTCTCAGGAAGAGCGTGTGCAGTGCAATCATTCCCAGATGCTCATTGGCTCTTGAATCACCTGTGAAACACCGATGATAAACAGCCTCGCCACTGAGGCCTTCAGAGAACAGACGAATGACCACATTTACTCACCAGCTTGAAAGCAGGATGTGGTGTTCTCCCGGTGCGTGGATCTGTCCGATGCCCCGGAGGTGGTGGAGTTTCGAGGGCCGCAGGGGTCCAGGTGTGCCTGCTGGCGAGGCAGGAAGGGCATGTAGGACAGCTCCTGGTCTGAGTGCTGGGAGTTGAGGGCCATTGAGCCCAAAGGAGAGGAGCGGTTTCTCAGAGCTGATGCCAGACCGGTGGAGCTGCCGTACACCATACTGGCATCTACAAAAGAGGTGATGGCATTGAGCTGCTCTCGGTGCTGATGAGGGAGGACTGCTGCATGACAGCTGGGAGCAGAGCGGAAGAAAGGCATACAACTCTGGATGCCATTACGGGGATCTGACAGCGGGATCTGGGAAAGAACATTTTTTTTTTTTTTTGTTATAGGTTTTCTCATAGTAATACAGTAACACAGATACATTGTTGTATCATTTATTCATTGTAATTAACTAAATTGTTATTGATACACACTGATTAATATCCTGCCTTTCTGTTTTACCTCACTGATCACTCTGTGTTGTGCTTTTGGAGTCACCTTAACTGGACGCCCACTTCAAGGGAGAGGAGCCACCCAACTAAATTGAGACACTGAGATCTCTTTTTTGGGAGGCATGTCACATCCAGTCACATCCGTTCACATCCACAGATGCGTCTTGTGAACAGCAAACTCAAAATGTTTAAGTGTCTCCAACCCACCCAACGTCTGCTCTCGTTTCATTGACTGGACTCCAGGTTTGCTAACTCCTGACTCCTGACTAGCTTTTGTTGATGTCATGAAGTTGTTCACATACTTTTTCCAACCTACACTGTGAATGTTTGAATGATGTTTTCAGTATCGACAAGAACAGTACAATGACTTAGATGAAGATGTTTAAGACAAATTTATACATAAATGCAGGTGATTCCAAATGGGGGTGAAAAGAGACAGCAAACTGAAGCACTTCAGAGAATCAGCTGATAGTTAGTGCACCTCTATTGGGAAGCAGGGCGTGTCCCGGCTGCAGGTGTGTGTGCAGTCAGCTCCGGTCCTGAAGGCTGTTGTACTGGGGCTCTGAGGCGTCAGCACCACATCATGGTCTATCCACTGACCCCACTCCACCAGCAGGTGAGACAGAGTGGAGTCCAGAGAGATGTTGTCATTGTGAGTGAACAGCACCTCCTGAGACACCAGCCGCACCTGGACAACAAACAGGGTGAGGAGTGATGAGAGTTACAGCGGCTGACAGGACAGAGGACGACTGAGTGCTGCCACAGGACTCTTACTGGAGGGAGGCTGACGTTATTGTAGGTGTGCTCTGGGTCCCAGCCTCTGGGTGCCCCCCACACATCCTCATACTCTGGAAGCAGCCAACGGGAATACGGGATGTTTGCAGCGCCCCATCTGGGCTGCTGTCTGAACAGGACACGACAGACATGTTAACCAAAAAAACAACAACAAAGTCGATTCAGGACGACTCTGCTCTGTCACTACATGTTTTTTTTTTGTGTGTGTGTGTGTCAGCTCTGACCTGTTGTTGCACTCTCCTGTGATGGATCTGTAGCGCTCAGACAGACAGTCGCTCTGACAGCTGGGTCTCTGCAGCTCAACAGAGCAGCCTGTCACTTGCAGTAGATTCTCCACATCTCTTTCACTCAGCAGCTCTATAGGAAAATACAGTAAACATAACAAGATACGAGCCATGCACATTATAATTTACCTTCTGGGTTTGTTTCTGGGACCTGCAGTGGAACAGTAAAACTTAATGGAAACATAATGGAAGCCAATGTAAACTATTTAACATACAGGTGCAGAAACATCTCTATGTGCTGTGTAACGCTGCTGTTCAGTACCATGAGGGTTGGGCTGCACCATAGTGTGAGTGTAAACCATCTCTCTGATCAGCTCCACTGTGTTGTCCAGCAGTTCTGCAGCTCGGATTTGAGTCCTGGTTCCGGCTTCAGTCTGTTTGAACTGAGCCAGCAGGTCACTGGGTCTCAGAGCGCCTTCAGACAGAGACTTCTTCCCCCTGGCAAAATCTTAATTTTTAGTGCCAAGACAATGCTTCATAGGGGTCTAATGATGATTTATGCTTCACAGTGGTTCAGTTTGATTTGAATGAATTTTTACCTCTCACTTGTACGAGCGTAAGCAGCATCAGTCATCTCAATCGCCCTCTGAAGAGCCTCCTTCACAAATACAGACCCCAGATACACAGGTCCTGAGATTACCACAAGGAAAACAGTGGTGCATTTAGTGAGACTCCTCAGTACCTGCTCTTTTCAGCAATAATCAAACAGAAATCCTACCTGAGGTGTTGTCAAATACTTTGTTCAGTGAAGCGTGCTCAGGGAAGGAGAGCAGGACAAGAGCCAGTCCAAACAGAGAGAGGGACACCTGAAACCAAAGGACATATCTGAGTTATCTCAACAAATCAGGTTCTTTATTCTATTAAATTAATTAAAAAAAAAAAAAAGAAGAAATAGAAAGAAACTCACCATGAGTGCTGTGTCCATCTAGAGCATTAAAACTGTTCAGTCTGTGCGGAAAGTCGTGCACATCTAACCAAGCTCAGAGTATCTTACTGCTGCGCTGACCATGACTCATCTTGAGAGCCAACAGGTGTGTGCATGTGTGTGTGTGTGTCAGGCTCCGACCATCAAGGTTGCCATTTATACACTGGCAGCAGGGCCAACAGGTATGTGCAGAATCCCCTTATCTGTCCTTCTGGTGACAGGAACGCAACATCAAACACTGGACTCACTGCCTCGACCAAATAACCTTTCAAATCAAATTTACTTCTGTCCTCCCGCCCATGATGAAAACCTTCTGTCATATTAGGATCAATTCAAATAAATCAAACAGTTCTACTGATCCCTCCAGAGCACAGGGTTTGTAGCAGTGGACACCACCTAAATTCCAGGCGGTTGAAACATTGGATGTCCAAGCAACGTGCCACAGTGGGAACAGACTGAAAAGATAGGTCACTTTTTTACTTTTCTTGTTTATATACTTTTTTTTATTTCGCAATGACACATTGAGTTCAGTATTTTGGATTTGTTTTTTATTCAAAGTGTGACTGTGTCTTTGCCACATGCCAGTTCAGTCTGATCGCCCATGTGCCAGTAACTCACAACAGGTGGGTGAGGAAACAATGATTACTGGAAATGAAGTACCAGGAATGACATTGAAAATGAGAAAGGATCAGACAGAAAAGTCTCAGTTAAATCGCTGTGGAGGACGTGAGTCATGAAGCCTGGACGGGTCCAGTATGAGCCTTTAAAACTCAACTGTGAAGCAACAGTTCTCTGCCTGCTCTCTTCCCTTTGATGCACCAGGTGTGTGATACCATCAAATGAGTCATCAGTCCCATTTCATTAGGTTGTTATTAACATTATCTCTGCTGACCCACATTACCCATCTTCTCATGTACGTGCTGTTGATGTTCAAGATCAGAAATGTAGAAATCTTTTGTTCTCAAAAATATCCCACATAATTTCATCCAAATCACAAAAAAATATATTTCCCACACTTAACCCCAACAGCTTCAAGCCGTGAAAGTTGTTTGAGTTGGGTGGTTTGCCTTAAAGTATAAACCAAATTCTATTTTTTCAATGCTTCCAATCCATCACATTGACTGACCTGATACTGCTTTTGTCATGGATATAAGAGTGAAAATATACACATTTTTTGACAATACCAGGGTTTAGCATGGCCATATGCTGACCAAAACTTTTGTATCAAAAAAAGAAAATAAAAAAAAAAAGAGCATGATGTTTCATACACACAGTTTTATTCACATAATATCACCTGGTTAAACATTTCACTATTATTACTGACAGTTTTTTGGGACATGAAATATTTGATTACTGTACATGCTTAACCTCAGTCATTAAAAAAAGAGTAATGTGATGATACCCTGAACTACACCTGAATATTGATACAATTGGCAAGTAAATGGAATGAAGAGGATAAAACTGGAAAGATCCGTGCAAAACAAATATGAACTAAAAGTTAAAAAGATAATACTGCTTTCACTGGGGAGTTAAGTACCTTCATTTCGAGTTGGAAAGCTTTGATAAATATCACAGTGCATAAATTAAGCCATAGCTTCAACAGCAGTTACACTTACATTACATTCAGTGTTAGTTATGTTAGAGAAGCTGCTGTCCACACAGCGCTGATCTGGAGTTAGGCATGCTGGGACCACAGGAACCGATCGCAGCGCTCGAGCATCGTCTGGATCATCGCCCTGAAACAAAATCACAAGAAACAGCACATTCTGATTCTGATCTCTTCAGATCACTAAGATAACTGTCTCATAATCCTTTTCTCTGAGACTGGGCAAACATGTTGTCCTATAATAATACTCTCATCAAGGTGTATGTATTGAAGGGTGATGCTCATAATTTTCCTTCAATATTACTGCTCAATCACATTGGTTTGTATTCTACATTTGAAGGGAAGGTCCACTGTATCTACATAAGCTTCTTGACCTCTCCTGACACATCTGTTACACCTATGTCATCTGTTTCAATGCTGTTTGTATAAGTGTATCATAAAATGACTGCTATTGATTTCTAGGCTTGGAAGGAGAACAAGAATCAAACTACGTGAGATAATTCCCAGACTGATCAGAATGCCTGATGGAGATTTATGCATTTCTGTTTTTTTTGTAGTCTGCTTTTAAAAACACATCTGAAAGAAATGCTGGAACTGTGTCCCGTTCTTACAGGCTTATAACATTTTCACAGTGTGGTAATCAGCACCCTGACCCACCTCTGCCTCTTCTCAGTGACTCTCAGGAGCTCACAGACCAGTTTGGAGTGGGGGGAAAGAACCAACTGTACCCCACACTCCTCCAGGACGGCCAGGGCTCGGTCAGGTCCGGCCGTCCGAGCCAGCATCAGGGTCAGGTTCTCCAGGCTCATCTTTCCTCCACAGTCTGCTGAGCCGTTAGACCAGCCGCTCCCATTCACACCTGCGACCTGCTCCGAGTCTCCCACACTGCTGCGCTGCTGAGACAACTGGATCAACAGCTTCCATTCATCCAAGGTCTGGGGCTCAACACCTGGAAAATAACAGAGAGAGTGCAGATGTTAGGTTGCTAGATAATTCACTCAAATGAAATGAGTCATTAAGATGAATCATTCATTACCTGTACAATTCTTGATTTATAAGTACATGCTGACTGTCAATACTGATAAGTTTTTGGTTCAAGCACTGTACCAACTGAAAGTGAACTTCTGAAAGACAAGACGAGCGGTTTAAGAGAATTTGTGCCATTCACCAATTTTCTCGTACTTGGAATTTTCTCCTAGTCATACAAGTCATGAGCAGATAGACTGCCTTTCTTCACAGGGGTAACTAACACGCTTGACCTACGATTTATAGTGGCTTAATCTGAATGAATTTGGAGTTTAAATATGATACCAAAACTGATTTAATTAAAAGTAAATCTAACAAACTTAGTGCACAATTGCATGACAACGTTTGATGTTCACCATATGATCATCACTGTGATTTGCCAGTTTACTAAGAGGTTGTTTAGATTTTTGTATTTTATTATATTTCACATTTCATCACAGCAGCTTATACATTTCACTAGTCGCTAAGAAAATAGTCTCACTCCTCTTGCTTCCTCAGGGTCTGTCTGCAGGTCACTGTCCAATATCATCCTCTGCTGCATCGGACAGTTTGACATCACCTACCGTAGGCTGTAGTGGTCTCTTGTCTGATATCTCAGGGACTGTCGACTCCTTGACCAACTCTCATACTAGGTCTTAGACTAGTCTGGGTTTAGACAAGATTAACTTGTCTGTTGTGTATTCATGTACATCTTTGTGCGTTTGCCTTGGCTGGTGATCCCATATCTTGTGTTGGTGGTGAGGTCATAGTACATAGTTGATGTAAACATGCTGCACTACTTCCGTCTTTTGTGTGTGTGCACTGGATTTCCATGCAGCAGATGTGTGGACTTCAGCATGTATCTCAGTAAGATTGTGAGAAACAGTTTTACCCTCAGGTTCCTCCAGCAGGCTGATGTCATCCAGCTGACAAATGGTGGAGAACGCCTCTGTGCGACGCTGCAGCTCACAGCAGAGGTAGAGGTAGCCCGTCCAGTATCTACACATGCACACATACAAGAGGTTATACATGACACTGTAAACTCACTACCAAACACTGCCATCAACAGCAGAAGACAGCATGCTCTTTAGAGGTACCCGTGACTGCGGCATGTCTCTGCCATCTTCTGCTTGGAGGACAGGTCTGCAGGGAGACGAATCAGCAGAGACAGCAGGCGTCCGTAACCCCAACTGAAACAATGTGAATGCCACCTGCAACAGAGGTCACATGGCGTCACAGTTACAATTATTCTTATATTTTAGTTTCACTTCAGTATATTACTGTGTCCTGGCCTAAATAGAATCCAGTAATGAAACATACTCACGATAGTGGCTTACTTCACATCAGTCCAGATATAATGATTTTATCTTTTTTTTTTTTATTTGATATCTAGCTTCAGATTTATACAGACAACCTACCAGGCATTTGAGTAAATATTAAATAAAATATTATTTCTATACTTTTCACACCTGCATACATCAGATGCAATGATACAGAGACAGTACACAGATGTTATTTTGACACATTAATAGAACCAGACCTGGGCTGTCCATCAGGGGTTAGGGTATCACAGTGTTGAGGAGCATCATGGGTAAGTGCCAGCTCCAACCAATCCTGTCTCAGTGATTCTGGTTCAAGAAGGCATTGCAAAAATGACAACCTAGAGAAAGTAATAAATAATGAATGATGATGAAGATTAGGCAACAAAAAAACAAAAATTCAATGTCTTTCTTTGACATAAATATAAATCTGACGGTCTACCTGTGCTCCTCAGTTCGTGATTGGACCAAATTATCCAGGTAGGCCAGGAAGTGGCTTTTCTGAGCCATGGTCATTACGTCAGCAGGAGTTATCGTAGGATAGAACTGGGAAAACGAGCGTACAGCTGCCTCCCCGTGCTTCTCATACAGCCTGGATAATGACAGGGTAAAATGACTTCACAAGGTCCCTCACAACTTAAATATTATGAGTAGATGAGAGAATTACGGGCACTGACCTGTGTAAGTGAGCGAGGAGAGGAGGTGTGCTCCAGGGCTGCAGCTCTCTCAGACTGCGCAGGGATCTCAGTAAATCACCTCTCTGAATAACCTCCACCACCTTACTGGACTGAGTCAGATCTATGGAGAAAACACATAAATTAAACTACGAGAGTATAAACTTTCTCATTTATTTTGGTTCTATGTGATTACTTGCTAAAATTTTTGCAGACCGTTTTCTAATTCAACCAGATCTGCATTTAGAAATAATAATGGGCACAGTGACAAAACAAAAACTGGTAAATTGGAAATCATCAGATTCTCTGTTTCTTTAAAAAACGTTTGATGAAACGTAATGATGAATTAATGTTTTTATCATTCAAAAGGAAGATCTAATTTGATTAATTTCTGAAACAAGAAAAGTTTTTTCGGACGTTTGAGGACCTTTACTTGAGTACTCAGAGGAAACATGACAAATTTTGAAATACAGTATCTGTACCAATTCAAATACAGCATTGTTTTTCATTAATTTGCTTTTATTGATTTTGTTAATTTATTTAAATGTTTTAATCAATTTTAATTTCCAACAGGGACAGCCCAATGCTGATTTTTTGTCTCTTATTAGGTGTGTTTTCTGTTGTTTTTTTTTTATTTATAGACAGTTACAGTTCAGACAATTATCTTCCTGTTCAACTTGATTACTTCTGGTAATTATTGTATTACTACTACCACTAATTATTATTATTATTCTTAGTAGTAAGCATTATATAAATATACATATTTTTTTTTTTTATCAATATACCTTTTTCCTTATTTGTGAAATGTGAAAGGTGAAAATACCAGTACCTATCAAATAAAATAAAATAAAATAAAAAATAAAATAAACCTGAGTTGGTATGGTATTGTCAAGCAATTTAAGAAGAAGCTTCTGACCTAGCATGCCCTCAACGAAGGAGCTCTGCACATCCGGCTGCTCCTGGTAACACAGCAGGCACATCTTTCTCACGCGCTCTTGATCCAGCAGATAGAAGTAACGGCGCAGGAAAATTGTGCAGCCCAATGCTTGTGGTTGCTCCTGGTTTCTAAAGCAGCTCAGCTCTGTGTATAATGTGGCCAGCTGTGTGAGATTAGCCAGGAGATCTGATGGTACAGGTTTGGGGGACACCACACGCACAGGCTCTGGATGGCTCCAATTAGACACTTCAGACACCTTCTCCGTGGAGCCACACTGGTCCTCTCGCTCTCTGATCTGAGGGGACTCTTCTTTCTTCTCCTCTGTAATGTTCTCTGCTGCCTCTCCTGATGAGCAGGAAGACTCCTCCGGCTGCTCTGAGCAGGAGTTTAGATAATCCCTCTCCCATCTCTCCTCTGCTGGTCCATCCATGTTTGCGTCACTGACAGCAACTGACCCAAGATCTGCAGGTCCGAGTATTCGCTCCAACACTGGCAGCCACTCCAGCAGAATTTCTCCCAGGCAGACTGGATCTAGTAGCACCAAAGGATCTTGGATCTGGGAGCTGATGTTGGGAAAGTATTTGTAACATTTAAATATCAAAGTATGGGTTCTGAAAAAAGGTTGTGAAATCCTGCAGCGGGGATTCTGACACAATGCATAGCAGTACTTACATAGTTCGCTCTGTTGCTGATCGAAGTTCCTGCATGTCGGCCTCCGTGTTAGGCATTTCATCATAAACTCTGTGAAGACAAATATAACTCAATGGTTTTCTCTTCTTGTGGTCTATTCATAGCAAAGGTAAAGAGTGTTAGGTTAAAGTTTGGCCTAAAGTCAAAGAAAAGAAGAAATAACTGTGGTCTAATTTCTCTGTGTGTTCTCTGTACTTACTCATTTTCCATTTCTTCTGAGTATGCAGCTGTGGTGGCTGACATTTCGGACTGTCCGCCCTCTCTAAATTCAGGCCGCTGCCAGAGTTCAGAGTTCATCTGGAGGGTGTTGATCTTCTCTGTTGTCTTCTTAACAAAACTAGAAACACTGTGGAAAAGAAAATTGAATCAAATAAAGTTGAACTGTGCTACGAAACATGAACCATTTCATATTGATGACAAATGACTGAGTGTGATGCCTTGAAATGAAACATGCCACATGTGCCTTCACAGATGAACAATGTGAATTAAAAAAACTAGATGTGGGTCTCCAGAGAAAAGGGGAAGTAAGCCATCTAAAAGCACAGCTGCACTTGAATAATAGGCCTGGAGGAGTTTCAATCCTCAGAAGAAATGACAGAGGTACAACCCACAAATAATTTCATCAGTGTTCAAATATAATTAAAAAACTCAAAACTACACTGCAGCTGCAGGGTTGCATGAGATTGCATTGATTGTCTTCTGCTTAAAGCTGTTAGCATGTCTGTCCTTCATTTCTCTGGACATTCACCTGTCTCTGACGGCCTGCAGTGCGATGCGAGGGGGTTTGGGGCGGAATGAAAGGGGGAGGTGGAACTGCAGGCCTTGCTCAGATCGCTCAGCCTCCAGACGCTCACTGCTCTGTGGATCTGAATAAAGATGGGGCAAGAGCCAGAGGAAAAACACAGATGGATGGAGTACTGGAGGGGAATGATGACAGGGAGAGTGCAAAATGCAAGCAGATGGCGCAAAGGTGCAGGACACCACTATAGAGAGAACGAAAATCAAATGCTGCACAATACAAAAAATACAGAACCAAAATGGTGATATATGTGTGATACAATGGAGAAGAGAAGAAACTTGGTATTAACAATCAGGCAAAGTGAAGGTTATATTCAGAAAGCATGACAGTCATCAGATCAAGGAAATCCAGTGGTGCCGCAAAATGTTTGATTGTATGATTTTATGTATTGTTCAAATCAACTTCAAAACACATCAGTTTTAGTAGCAAACATACAAGAGGCAGGTACATATGATTGTTATGACAACTGAGATAAAGTCAAAGAGTAAAATTATTATCAGTCACATTTATATTGATAACTCTTTCTGTAGCTAGAGATTACCCAAAATACAAATATCTTGTTTAGCATTTTTCCTCCATGTTTTGTTTTTTGTTATTCTGTTACTTTAATTGAATGGTAGATATTAAACTGAAAATAACTTCACTCTCTTTTCAAATTGAACTCAAGAAGAGGCAGAGACGAAGTTTGTTCCTGCCACAGACACACACACACACGCACACGCACACACACAATATATGTGTAGAGAGAAAATACAAAGAGCGAGAAAGAGTCAGACACAAAGAAAAACGTTACTACTGGTAAATATAAATGTTCATCCGTCCATCCTAATCTTCCAGTGTATTTGTGCCAGTGTTTACAGATTAAATAAAAAGTAAATAATAAGAAGTTATCAGGAAGAATATATCACAAAACAGGTGTTATCTGATTATTATTATTATCAAATTGTTAGGGAAAATCAGTTTATATACATAAATATAATAATAACCAAGCCTTTTTGCAGCCATTCTTTATGTGTGACGTCTTGAAATGAATGTACAAATAAAATATCCTTCTGCTGAACTTGATTCCATCTGGTAATAAATTATATTACTACTAATAGTAATTATTATTAATAATAATAAGAGTAATTATTATATTAACACTTCTATTTATATTATATTATATACTATTATATTAAAACTCGTCATCAGTTTATTAATACCATTAAAATTAGACAGTACCAAAGGGACTATTTACAATATAATTTTGAACAACAGTTTTGCATGTTTAAAGAAAGCAGTCATTTTTATTGGCAGCATCTGTTTTTTTCTGTCAGCTAATTACAGAGCGACAGCTGCCTCTTACCTTGATCCACCTGATCTTCCTCCTGCACAAAACTGAACTCTTTGAGCCTCTCCTCTTCTGACATGGACTGATTGATGAGGGAGCTCGTCTCCTCATCCGACTGGCTCCCTCTGCGGCTGATCACACGATAGATTCCACAGTCCAGGACGTTGAAGCTCTCCTAAATAAAGATATACATGTATCTGATATCTTTACACTCACTGTCTTGTGTGTATTCAGATTAGCAGAAGCAGCATGCTTCAGTTACAATACACTCATTTTTATAAATAAAAATGCATTGAATGCATATTCCTGTTCACAGCGGTGTGCTGCTTCTGTGTAAAAAACAGAAGATGACGTAGTCAAACCATGATGTAATTGGTTGATGTGGAATTATTCTGGATGCCATGAAGCTCCCTGGACCTCATGACGAGTCATGAGAGAAACAAGTTATGGTGGAGATATTTAACTGGTTAATGTTTTCTGACTTAATACATGCAAGTTTAATTCCACTGCTAGAGCCTGCTAACACTTGTGCTTCATTAACTGAATGGTATCCATAGCAACAGGATTCAATTGGTAAGCTAGTAAGTGAAAAGTAAGTAAATGAAATGGCAGTGGGGTGCTAATTGTTTGCATTTGTGGTGCAAACACCTTGTACGGTGCAGATGCATCATCTACAGAAAGTTTAACTCACATGTGAGGAGATGCTGCTCCTGCGGCTGCTGGAGGCGGAGTCCAGAGGCTCCAGCTTAGCGATGACTTCCTCCAGCTGGCTAGTCAGCTCCATGTGTGTGGTGGAACTGAGCTGGCACTTGAGATGTTCAAGGCGGTCGATGGGAATGGATTTCCTGGCCTGAATTAAGAGTTTGGACTTAAATTCATGAATCTACCAACATATGAATTCAACTCAGGTGACGAACACACAAGCCGTTACTCTGATTATAAGAAAAGTGGTTAAGATACTTAAAAATTGAACCCATGATATGTAAACTTGGTCTTTTCATATTTATCTTTCACCTCTTCATCTTTTACAATACATTTTGATTCTTTTAATATAAACTACAACAGCCTGTAAAGTCTTACAAGATTATAAGGTTAACCATAGTGATAATGCCTTGTTACCTATGTATTACAAGTATAATAATGTTTATTGGCCAACAGCATTAGTCATATGTCAGGCCACTGAAAGTTAGACACCTCAGGTCAACAGGTATGTCCTGTGCTTTATCCTTAGTAATACATAAAGTCAAGAATTCAAACGAACAGCTTAGCCCAGATAAGACTGGAATCTAGGTTACACTGAGACGAGGTCAGCTAGCATGGCAGTAGCAGCCGTCTTACCCTGCTGGTGGTGATTGTGTGCTGAAACATACAGCAGATGATAGCAGCAAGAGGCCAGGACTCCCTACGCAGAAGACGCTCAACACAGCGCTCTGCAGATAACAGGGAGAGGTGGGACAGACGTCCGCTACCATGGAGACAGAAGAGCTCACTGCGGTAGACTGCGATATCAACCAAGTCTACAAAACCAGAAAACAGGTTTCGATCAATTTAAAGCTAAAAAAAACATAGGCAGAGAGGGTACGTGTGATCATTACTGAAATTATCATTCAAACAATTATTATGATCATAGTTATCAATAATTATACCAGGACGACACTGACACATATGGTTACATGAGATCGACTGTGCAGCACAAAAAATTCGATTTTGGGGAAAAGCATTAAAAGAGTGTGTTTATGAACATGTTTTGGGAGTTCAATTATTCCAGTTTTGATTTTTGGAGACAAAGCAGCAAACAAACCTTTGACTTCAGTCCACAGAAGCAATTGTCCATTCTGAGGTGTGAAGATATAAATGGCTGAATCAGTCCATGTCAGCAGGTTTTGGTCTCTAAACAAATAAATGAAGGGTACAGTTTGTCAGGTGACAGGCTCACCTGCAGTTATTTTTTAAATTATGTTGCCTGTAATTTACATATTTGAGCTTGGTTTTTGATAATAAAAAAAGATTGACACATCTGACAAGAGAGATGACAAAATGCATAAAGGATATGTTACTTTACCCCAAATAAAGCAGTTTAGGGAAGGCAATTGACTGGGGGCTCTTCTGCCCTGGGTTGTAATGTGGCTCATTTCTGCAGGTAACAAGGACGAAAGGACAAATTAGCAGTTTGGCCTTTAACAAAAGAGAACATGAAAGCAGGAACAATCAGTACCTGTAAGTTATGAGAGGTAGTGGAGGACAGGCCAGTAGTTGTTTGAACTGATGGGTGCTCAGAACCTCGCCATTAAAACTGGCCTCCCACATTCGAGACCCCGGTCGGCCACAGTACAGCAGCGGTGGCTGACCAACTAATAATCCCCTGTTCTGAGGGAAAAAACAAGCCCCGTACTCCCCATCACGCTCCTTATTTCCAACACGCCAGAACTTTTCCCTGAGGGTAGGTAAAGACAGAAATACACGACTGCTGAGAGATGTCCATCTTAAAGAAAGGAGATTTTCATGAGTCATGAAACATCATCATTTTGACAGAGCTGTTTTGGGGACCGAACTTATTGGCATTTTCTTCATTCATTAATTACCCAAATTGATATAGATTTAGATGCATTATAATTGTACGGCCCTTTACTGCATGTCATTCCCCCTCTCTCTGCCTCCCCATTTCCTGTCTCTCTCTACTGTGCTATCCAATAAAGGCATAAAAAGCCCCAAAAAATATACTTAAAAAAAAAAAAGAAAAAAAGAGGACATTAATAAATGTTACTTTTATCAGTCTTCTGTACGTTCTTATCATATGCAGGGTCAAAGAGTCAAATGATACAGAGAAACAGTATCTAACATGAGCAGAGAAATGTAGAATTGTAGAATTTGAATATGAAATTATAAATGTCAAGATCAGTGTTTCAATGAATATGGATTTACCATCTTGCTAAAGGACACTTAAGTAGGACAATATTTATCTATATGGGGGCATTAACATGGGTCCTCTGAGAGTCTATTTCCCTATTAGAGACACAAGAGATATGCAAACATATTGTTACTCACCTCTCTGTGTCGCAGAGATAGCAGCGGCTGAGGGAAGACACAAGCAGGCGGCCATCTTGGTACCCAAGCTGAACTACTCTGGAGTCTACAGTGGTAACAGTCTGAACAGGGAAGATAACAAATGACCCCTGGACACAAAGAAAAAAAGTAATCATATAGGGCTTTGATATGAATCATGAAATATCAAAAAGGGCTATAACAGAGGACTGGGGTACAGCAAGCGGGAGTGACACTGGTTCATTTTGACCGAATCCCGACTGAGTGTCAAAAAAAAGAAAAGAATGTCAGGTATATTTCTTGTGAATAGAAAAGATTTTTCAAAATATTATTGTATGTCAAAACAGCTTTAAATTGCTTAAGTTGTTTTACCTATTTTAGCCTATTAATTGCAAATGCTTACACTTTCGCATGCCTGCCAACTGTTTTCCATTTTCCAACCTTACGTTTTAAGATTGCATTCCAACCTTCCTGACAGGTAGAGGATTTCAGTATCAACATCAACCAATCAACATCAAAAAGAAATAACAGCAAATGTGTGCCATGATGTGCATGTACATAAGCTTGGGCACCCAGTCAACCAGCACTAAAGGGTAACATCTACTGTGCAGAAATCACAGCTTCCAAAGGTTTCTTGTAGCCAGTTAACCCTGAACTCTGTTTTTGCTTTACAGTCTTTTTCCCCATCTCTTCCTCTCAGAGCACTTACAAGTCAATCACAACTTCACTTTGTTGGACATGCCAAGTATTAATCAATTATCTTTATTTTTAGATCTTTAGTCAGCTGCTTGGATGTCACTTTGATTTTTGAATGTACACACAACACCCTGTGAAGTAAGAGGGGTCAGAGAGTTCATTAACCTCTATCACTTGGCTCAAATCAAGACCTGCTGATTCAGTTAAGCTCTGGAACCATACCAAACCACAAGTGGATCAACTACAAAGTGCCTAAACATTTTAAAAGGCTAAATTTATATTAAAGGAGACAGATAACTTTCACTGTGAATCAGCAGATGATACCTTGCCCAGTTTGGAGGATCCTGCACGCAGGAAGGACACCTTGCCTCCTGAGTCCCCGACAAAAACTCTGAGCGCGCTGGTGTCCCAGCAGAGTGCAGTGATGGCCTGACCTCTGTGCTCCCAGGACACACTGACTCGCTCTGGACGACCCCGCCGCTCCAGCTGCAGCTCCCACACCACCACCAGACCCTGACTGGACCAGAGACAAACACTTTGAGCAATACTGGCAACACAACTAACACAGAGATATGCGTTATATGAGGTAAGAAGAAGAACATTAGATGACAAAGGCTCATTTTGATTGAGGGCAGATGAGTATGATACATTTCTTTACTCCTTAGACAGAGTCTAACCTTGTTGCGGCAGCAATAAAATCTTCATCATGAGGACAACATGCCACCTGAGTGATAGATCCCTCCTGAAAAAGAGCACACAGTGGATGAGGAGTTAACAGGAAATGAAGAGAAACAGAAACATACGAACACTGCACTCCTTGTAATGTGCAGCTGTATTACTTAACTGCAGAACAACAGTCAGATCAGTATTTCTGCACAATAGGTACTCAGCCACATATCACCTTGTGAGTGAGGATGATCCTTTGCTTCCAGCCCTCCCTCTGAATCAGGTGCAACCCCCCTGCTGATGTTCCTAATGCCAGCCACTTCCTTGACACTGCCAAGCATGTACACTGTAACACAACAGATTTACATTTAGAAGGCGCAGACTCATCCCTTCATGCAAAGATGTTGTTAGATAAACAAACATTTTTTTGTGATAACATGTTGTATCTTGTGTTTTTAGTGCACCCACTTCTTAGAATACGACAGTTTCAATCTTTTTAAAATATATTTGGCGAGAACAAGGTACGCAACCTTATATGTTTAATAATTGTTTTAAGTGCAAGTAATTCAGTAATTTCTCACTCTGCACTGCTGTAAAAACATTAATAAGAAGCTGCTATAAATTATCTGTGTGATTTTATTTTAAGACATTCAGACACATGATGGTGAAACCTACCTTGAGCCTGCCGGAGTCTAGCCGCAGTGCAGACAGAAGTGGATCGAGGCAGTCAAACTCTGCCAGTACATGACTGTGGTTCTCTGGCACAACTGGTATCAGTGACATCTTCCCTGGTGATCCTCCACAACTGAGAGAATGAGAGAGTCAGTGAAGCATGAAAAATGTGTGAGCCTTAAAGAGTCACTACCCCGCTTTCTCACATACCACAGCTCTCAGCTGTGTTGCATCACATGACTGTTAGTAAACTGACCAGTCATGACTCCACTTACACTGTCTCCAGCCTGGTGAAACACCCCCTTTCAGACTTTAAGCCTACATCCACAACTTGGCAAAGTTTACTGATGTTTCTAGTCATTACCCACATAAGGAAGACACCACTAACACAAAATGAATTCTTTACTTCACATTTGCATACACAAAATTCTGTTTTAGGCTGGGGTTTATGTTAAAAAAAACAACAAAAAAAAACATATCATCCCTACTGTAGTATCCTGGTCCTGGATCTGTCAGTTATTTTGCCAGAAAACATTTTCACAGGACCAAGGACCACCACTCAGCTCAAAACACAGGATAGTTTGACTTCAGTTTCCTTGCTGTGGTTTTACATGAACTTCCAAGGAAGCAGAAGCAAAACTAAAGCTGCAGATCATTACTGTAACTATATACTGTGAGTATTTCAGTGTGAATGCTAGAAAAATGTTTTAAAATTAAATGTTGGAACATAAATGCTTCTCAGCAATAATTAGTTGACACAAGGAACCTCAGAAGAAGGTGAGAAGCAGCAGTGAACTCTGACCTCTGACCTTCTATTTGTTATCACTCTACTGTGAGCAAATGCATTTCAGATAACATCAAAAGTAGAAGTCCTCAATGAAGAGAAATGACCTTAACCATGACCAGATTATTTTAACTCTTTGCATTTAAAGCTGCAACTTACTTACAATGATTTGATTAATGAATAATGTATTTGTCTATAAAATAACAAATAGGAGAAGGAGCTAGAAACAGAAACTATTTGCCATTTCTCCATAAAAATGAACAAAATGCTTATTTGACTGTCAAAATATTTGCAGGAATTTTCTGTTGATCGACTAATTGATTAAAAGTTGCAGCGCTACATGAATTTTTGTATAAATAACATTTTGCTTACATTTTAGTTAGTCGAGGTTGAGATACTTTTAACCAATTTACAAACTGCTGGCTTGTTTATACCATTTCATTTTTCATCACGATTTGTAAGCTCATCGTATGGTCTCCATGTAAAACCTTAACTCGTTAGGTCAACGGAGTTAAACGGAGTAAATATACAATTCATTCTCTGAATTGTTGTGGAGTAGTGGCATGAAATGCTTTTAGCCAAGAAAAGTACCAGTACGTCATGTAGCCTACACGAGTTCAGTGTTTGAGAAGTATTCAGGTTGAGAAGAGGACAGCGATGTAATATTAACTTGTTTGTACACGGTAAAGTAACTGTTTTGTTGAGTTGCTGCATCGCTATCACAACCAACCACAACGGGCAATTAGATCGGCCAATTCAAGGCAATAGGCATCACGAGACCCGTCTGCTGACACTGATGCTAACCGTCCAGTCAAAACTACCAAGTCGCCAAAAGCCTAAAAACAAATAAATATGAGCTCAACATGGCTTTGTTACATGTCTTAACGTTTGTTGAAGGTATGATCTTAAAACGCAGCTCGTTTCGCTACCTCGCCCCAGTGTCGTTTTATTTGCAATAACAACTTAGCAAGCATGCTAGCATAGACAGTGATGTTGCCATTCACTCGCTGCAAACTCACCTGATGGTCAGTGACACTCCAGAATTACCACCTACAAATCCACACCAGGTCGTTATCTTTCATTCCCGGTTTTCTTGAGTGTTTTTTGGAGAAAGCCAGTGGTCGGTTTCACGCCACCCTGACGACCAGCCGACCTGTCACAGCTCCTCTCTGCTGGTATGAGGACACTTCCTGAAGGCAGCGCGTCGGTTTCACCCACCGGTCGCGCTGAACGCTCTGGTCCGCCGCAAAGAAAACTGAAACTGTCTCGAAATATTAACCAGTGCAGCTTCGCACTCACGAAAGCAACAAAAATACAGCTCCAGGCGCTGTAGTCTTAAAGTACCAAGGCAGAAAAACAACCACTCTCGTAAAAACTGTGATGAATGACCAAACAGAAGAGTATGTGGAGGTGCATGGACTTAATCAAATACTAGTTTCAACAGACAGTGGCATGAACAAAAGCTTTATGCCTCACTTTAGATTCAGTTACATTTTGTCTTCAGTGCAGACAGAAGGTGCAGACATTACAAACCAGTGACAGTGTGATTTCAGTTACACACACTAATGCACTCGAGTGTGAAATGTCTTTACAGTATTGCTATATTCACTTCCCCCTTTTGCTTCTGATTTTCTAGAACTTTGTTCCACAAATGGAGCCAGTGCTCAGAGCGACTCTTTGTGATGTCCAAGCTCTCTTTCTCTGCTCTTTGCACTGATGAAACATATGTTGGCAGTCCTCTGCTTGCATCTCACACCTCAGCCTGTTGTCCTGAGAGCCTTATTCTGATTTCCATCTGAAATTTGGTCATGTTACACATTTTAAAAGTCCCATTTAACCATTACCAGCACCAATCTCTCAACCACTGAGAAAACACAAACTAAAGAGAAAGAAACTAATTACAGTTATTTGTGACTGAGATGCAGTTAGTCTCTGTTGAACATTTGGGGATGTAGCAGCGTCCATCTATATCCTTATCATTAAGCCCCTGTGGACTATGTCACATCAGGCTGTGGTCTGTGGTTTCTTCACAGCAGTCTGGAGGACCTTCACAGGTCATTTGTCCATATACTTTAATGTCTTCCTTGTCCTCTCTCTTTGACAAACCATCAGACCTCAGGTTTTCCTCATCATTCTACGGGTTTGCCAGACGTGGAACTTGTTATAGGCTGTCTGCAACATCTCCTCCAAGTGCCCTGTGAGCTGTGGGAACATCGAAGAGATTTAATATCAGTGCTACCTGGTAGAAGCCACTGTGTCATTATAATACCATAGAGACTTACATTTGTACTTAAGTACTGGCGCTGGATCTTTTCCTGAAAAGGACGAAGCTTGGTCATCTGAAATCTCTCCAGGTTTGACTTCATTTTCATCACCTATATGAAAAGAACATGATGATGAGAAAAATTCAAAAAACTCAAAAAGTTAACTACTTTATGTCGTGTGGCTGTAGCTTACAGACAGCTAGTTTAGTTTCACTATTACAGGGTTCCACAGGTTCTTGAAATCCTTTTAAGTTTGTCGATTTGAGAAAAAAATAAATGAAGGCCTCACAATCAAGTTTTTGACAATAGACATAAACAGAAACTGGAGTTTATTTTATTTTTTTATTTTTTATTTACTTAATGTTAATAAATAGGCTACGTGCCGCTATCTGCATCTCTATTGCTCAGCTTACACAATATATTGTTCTGATGTGCTCTATTAGAGAAGTAACATAATACAATTGAGAAGTGTTCACAGCATTCAAGCCTCCTCTTCTGTCTGCTAGTTGTCATTATAAAATTTTTAGTGTTGGAACAATAATTAACTATGTCATGTTGGGTCTTGGTGTTGAAAACTCCTTGAATTTGATGTTTATGAAGATGTGGGAACACTTTATTTGGGATTTGTTGGCACAGATTAAACTAAAAACATATGATATTGGTCAAATTACTGTGATTCAGTGTTGTAAAACAATAAAACATGAAAATGTCCAATGGGAATGAAAATCTTTAATTGGCTTTTTATGCTGATTATTATGTATGTAATATACCTCATGTTGGCTATACAGTTATGGACAAGGGTGGCTTATATTTTTTAAACCACATAGAAATGCTAATAATTTGAATTTCTTCCAGTCATTTAATATATTGGTTAGAATATTAGTCACCTTCTCCTCCAGAAATGGTGTATTTACAGGAAAACAGGACCAGAAGTGTCTCAATAACTCTCCAGCAGCTACATAAAGATGCTTCAACTCTCCTTGAACCTCAGTGGGTACCATCTCTGAAAGAAAGAATAACAAAAAAACCAAACAAATTATTCACATAAAGGTGTCAGATACAACATGTTGCCATTTTCAAGATAAGATTCTGGTTGACACAACAATTGATCAACGGTTCAGTAGAAATGTCACAAATGTTAAAATAAAAATCAATCAATACAAAGGATTAGGTCTACTTTTCCATAAATAATCCGTACTTGCATCTCTGCAATACAACGGACAGCAACAGGGAGCAACGTGAAGTTCAGCATGTACTGAAGTACCCACTGGTCACCATCTTTCACAGTTAGTAACATTAATGCACTTAAACGGATGTACAAACACACTTACGATTTATGGCTTGCTGTGCTCCTGCCTGCATGAGGATACCGCCTGTAGAGAGCGCTGCAATGGCAGAAGTAGCTGCTGTGCTGGACAACACCTGCAGAGACACCGTTCATAGCAATTTAAGATATTTACATATTACAGAGTTTTCTTTAGGAAAACTGAAACTCTGGATTATTTCTTAAATCACTTGAAAATATCTGAAGAACACAATCATGTGTACATGATCTTAAATCGCATGTTCCATTCAGAGAGGTTTGATTTTTGTTTTTTTGCAACATTTGTTAGATTTTCAAGACTCGTCGGAGAATCAGCACATCTGAAATCAAATATGAAAATGAACCATCTCCTGTTAAATCATGTGAAATTACTGTATATATAAAAGGTTACATATTATGAGTAAACGTCTACCAATAAATTAACAGTATTTCGCTCCATCTCACTCAGCTATGACATGAAAAACTTTGAATATTGCCCTCTGAATGTAGCACATTTTCTCTGGAGGAAAGCTATCTACTAGATGCATGTGGCCTAAACACTTCATCAAGGATGGTTTCTCACATTTGCAGATAAACACAAATCCCTGACAGATGTCTACAAAATGTTTCTCCCTGTAAATGACAGGGGTGCCTCAGTCTACCTACCTACCCAGTTCACAGTACTTCTGAGGGGCCTTAAAGTGGGAAACCTTGAGGAACAAGAAGGAACTAGAAGGAACAAGTCTCCTGATCTTGACCTGAAAAGGTTTTGCTTTTAAACATCTAAACATATGATTGGCTCAAACCACAAAGATGATCATTAATCTTTGTCCTAAGGTCAATGACTATTGAATCACTACATACGCTGTGCACTTGGGTGAAGACAGCAGCCAACCGATTACAATCTGATGAATACATGAACCAAGGGTGAGTTAGAAACACCTGGCGAAGACTTGATGGCAATAATTATCACATTGCCCTTCAACCAAAGCAAAGCATGATAAAGTTACAGGAATATAGAGCATGATCTAACCTGAGTGAGGTTGGGTTTGTAATTGGCCATCTCATGCTGAATGTAGTTGACAGAGTTGATGATATCCTGGCTCGTCGTATACTGTTGGGACTGAAGTGGCACAGGACCATGAGCATACCTTATAAATAAAGAGAAGGAGGGAGAAATGTTATATTAGAACATGTCTAAAGGCAAATATGTGGCTGTTCTATCAGCCTCAAATATGAAGTGGTAACTGCAAAACAGAAGCGCATCCTATCCCCTCGACCTGGGACTTATATATACATCCTCTTTATGTGCTGAAATGACAGTCTGGTGTTTAGTTAAAGCCCTCCACAGGAGCTTCATCAGAGAAATCAGTGCACTGACCTTTAAAATGAAACAGCAAATGTATTATGAAACAGTACAAAGTGGGCTCTCTATCAAGAGCAGTGATTCTCATGGTGGGGGCGGAGGACCCTCAAGGGGTGCTTTTATATCTTCATCAAAGATATAAAAAGCACGAATCTTATCAGAAGAGGGACACTAGGACAAAATCTTGTGGTCTGTGGTCTAATTTGTGTCAGTTTAGGCATCCTTGATGTGAAAAAGTTTGAGAAGCATTGGCCTAGAGGAACTGAGACTCACCAACAACAGATGAGCCTGGCAAACAAAATAAGCAAATTCAAGACATCACCCACCTATTAACATATTACTTTGACAGTTCTTGAGACAAAAGTATTAATCTAAAAAACTGTGTCATCAACCCCTGCCATTTGGAATTAACAACATGCTAAGTTTCCCAGTAAGTAACAAACAAGAAAAAATAACAATAAAATCTGGACAAACTGTACCTGTCAGACTTCTTGAGGTTCAATGCGACTGTTTTTGGTCTGTTTTCCCTTTGCAGATCCTCATATTCTATGGCTTCTTGCAATTTCACCTTAAAGAAAATTAATCAACAGAAGAAAGGTCACTCAATCTGTTAAGAGGAAAAATTGAATTTTGGGCATTTATGTATAGCTACAGAGCCACCATACCTTCTTCACAGGAGGTTGAAAGAAGTCAGAATCCCTAGAGTTTCCATCTGTGCTGCTTGTTTCACTGGCTTGGTCTGTTGGTGTTTCCCTGTAAAATATGATGCAGTTAGCAAATAGGTAAACACACTGAGCAGGTTATTGGTAGTTTTTAAGAATGTATTTTCTTTACCCCTTGCGTGAGCCTGCTGCCAGCACCATGGCACTGTGATGGTTGAACCGCTTTATAATGGCATAGTTGCTGCTCTCCTTCACTGTCCTGTTTGCATTGGAAGTTGAGGGTAGTGTAGTGCAAACTCCATAACCCTGTGTCACAAAAAATAAGTCTTTAAGGTGGAAGCAGGAAGTGGAAGAACAAAGCTTTACAAGTAAATGATTATTAAAAAAAACAAGATGTGGCTGTGGCTGGCTAATCATCTCACTTAATCTCACCTCATCCAATGATTTATCCTCTAACGACAGGAGGTCAACCAAAGGATTCTTCACTCCTTGAACCACCATCGATTTTAACCCTGCATGAGACAGATATAAAACTTCAACTTACAAAAACAGACTTGTGGCTGTGTGCTTTACTGCTTTACTAGAAAACCCTCCTACCCTTTTCATCTTGCTTGGCACATTCTG